TCAAACGAGGTACTTCATGACGGGTACTTAATTTGGATGTAATATGGTCATAAAGCTCTTTATATTCATCTCTGATATAAAGATGCCTTGTTCCGGCAACAGGGAAGATACAACCCTTTGCTCCACTTCATTTTCGCCACTTTTTTCATATTTCACCACTTACCTCTTTTATTCATTCCAAGCCTTCATTTATTGCCTTTCTTTTCCTTTCCTTCTTTTTTTTTTGCCTTACACATTTTTCATTATTGTTTCCATACCGTGACCACGGGTGAAAGAGTATAGAATATACCTTCGCCTATTTAACCATCATTCTCCCTGCATTTCAACCACACTCAGTCCCACTCATCTTAATTTTCAATGGCCACCACAAGGAGCTCAACACAAAAAAACATGGCTGCAAATGATTCCATAGAGCCAAGCACAAAAAAAAAAGATTGCAAATAAGCCTGAGGATGCCTCCACACTCAATAAACGAAAAAGAGTAAACCAGCACCCACAACGAAAAAAGCGCGCCATCCCACTGCTACTGCTGAACTGCGTTGTCGAGGGAGAAGCAACGTCGTTCCCAGTAGAGATTTTCTGCGATAAATCGGTCGGGATGCTCAAGCAAGCCATCAAAGCAGAGAAAGCCAAAGCATTTAAGGATATTGACGCTGACCAGCTCACCCTCTACAAGGTCTCCATCCCTGACAAAGGCGAGGTCATCTTTGAGTCAGAAATCGAGTCAAAAGAGGCTCTCACAATCGCGTCAATGGAGCTTTGGGAGATATTTAAGGAAAACTATCCATGTTTTTGTCAAGCCACCACAGCGAGGTATATCCTTAGCTCTTGATGGACTGATTGTTGATATTTCCAGCTGATGAAGCTTGGTTTATATCTTAAACGGCCATGTGCATAATATCACCATTTGGTTTGTGTCTTGATAACTCAACGTTCTTTCTCATTATTCGCTTTTGATACTTAGCTCAGAAAAGAAAACAAGATGGAGATTCTGGTGAGTGCTTTTGACCGAGAATCTGGTTATTGATCATTTTAGAGTGATATGTAATAAATCAAAAATATTGACTTTGATCACTCTATCTCCTTTATCAGAGTCACCCTCTAAAAAAGCTCGTCCAAGTATAAGTAGCAGAGGTGCTCTTAGGGATGCGATTACAGAAGCAGGGCTTGTAACGAAAGGGATAGTGAATGGTAGACCTGCCATCTCGCGTCTAAACTCGAAAGAGAGGGTCAAGGTGCTTTCGTACATGGGGAAGTCATCAGTAGATAGTATTTACTACAGCATTATTAGCGTGGCTCGCGAGCTCCGAAATTCTGGTGGTATCAAGGATTCCAAAATATTGACTGCCTCTGAGGATCGTATCTTCCCTGTTGCCGGAACAAGGCATCTTTATATCAGAGATGAATATAAAGAGCTTTATGACCATATTACATCCAAATTAAGTACCCGTCATGAAGTACCTCGTTTGAACCGACTCTTTATCACTGGAACGCCTGGAATTGGGAAGTCAGCCTTTTTGGTCTATTTTGCCATCCGCCTCCTTGCCGAACACGATGAGGAAAATCCACCGATTATTATTTTCCAAGAGGAGCAGCATACCAATTGTTATGTTTATGGAGGAACAACTTGCCTACGTAAAGGGAATATAACGATGTTCGAAGATTTCCTTGACCAACGTGAAACGTGGTATTTAGTTGATAGTGGTGAAAATCCTCAACCAGGTAAAGCCAGGACGATATTTTCAGCATCGCCAAGAACTCTCTATGGGCATTTCGTTGAACGCACCAAGGAAAATACACCAGATAGCTACTATCACATGTCACTCTGGAGTCTGGATGAGCTTAAGGAATGTAGAGCCAATGTAAAGTTTTTTCATGTAGTGAGTGAAGCATTTTTGGAGGAGCTTTTTTACTACTTGGGGGGCGTGCCAAGACAGGTTCTACAGTGTCCAGCCGATGTACTATCCAATAATCAAAAACATACTGAGCGTGCTAAAGAAGTTGCGTTATTTCGCGTCAATGATGCCATTAGTACACTCGAGAAACCAGCAGATCTTCTAAGCCTCTTTGCACGAGGAAAAGATGCGAGTGGATTTAGTCGTTTACTCCATAGAGTCCCACTTCTAACCATCTCGACTTCTACCTGGTATGGGCATCTCGTTGGGTCGAATCACAGATTATGGACAAAATAAAAGATAACACTTGGGTCGATGTGTTGGCGAGACTTGTCATAGGCGGAGAGGATATAGATAAAGGCCCACTGTTTGAAATCTATGCTCATCGCTTATTTCGACATGGTGATATTAGATTTCCCTTTAGGGATCTCCAGTCAGGCGAAACAGGATTTCTTGATTTTCCAGCAAATCCAGAAGAGGTGTTTATCCGGACTTCAGAGGAATTATCAGGGCTCACTCAAGCAGCTGGCAAGTTGTTTGTACCAGAACATTCTAAATTTCCGTGCATTGATTTTGCATTGGGACCCAACGAGCTATTTCAGGTCACAGTATCAGAGAAGCATCCGATCAAGCAAGCACCATTCAAGGAGATAATTGATTGTATTATGACCTGCTGAAGGAGACCAATCAAAGTCGAAGGGAAGTGATATATTTTCCTCTATTTTGTGGTGCCAGGAGACGTATATGACGTTTTAAAGTTCAGAACTTTCTTACCACCAGAAATACGGTCGTCCAGAAGCATATAAATGCTTAAAACATGTAAGACAGCGTGTCATAAAAATCGACATCGAAGCTGCATATTCAGGAGGATCAGCCGGTACGAATCTGAGAATTAAATCGAATACCAATCAAGTGGATGAAATTTGTCTTTTTTTAAAAAAAAGCATTATACCCTTCCTTGAGAAATTTTTACAATGGTTCATTCTTTATGAATGAAGCCATCATTATCCACTTACCCTTTAGACAAAGGCGATAGCGCTTTTAAATCGGTCCTACACACATACTTATTGAGGGCCCGTCATAACCGCTGTTGCATATTTCGTTTAATTGCAGCTCTCCAGCCCACATAAATAGGATCTTTATATATAGAAAACAAATGAATAAATACTCGGATAATGTGGTGCTGCAATGTTTTAACCTAATTGATATTGTTTATACATGATCTCTGTCACTCAGGAAATTAAAACAAAACCTGTGAGGAAAAAATAAACCTCAACGTGCAGATTATTATTTTTTGCCAGAGGAAAATGTCCCACGACAGAGTAAAAAACCTCTGCGATACTCTCTATGAGCGTTATGATGCCATTCTCTTGGATCGTGTTATTCGTCTATTTTTTGAGTTGGCTTTATCAGATGGCTGTACCTTTTTTTGGCTTATTAACCTCTGGTGTTGCTTCAGGAGATGCTTCGACTCGGGAATTTTTTCAAATTTAAAAAAGAGACCTCCAGCCAAAATGTCAAGTTTGGTCCCAGCCTGAGAGAGAAGTGTCTGCAAGAGCAAGCCAGATTTGCCTTTCAGTACGTGCATGTGCACATGAACTTCGTCACCAGAGGTCGAAGCCACTTGCAGCGAATGAGCGTGCTGCAAGGCAAATTGTCCGCTCTTAGTGACGAGCCTATCGTCAAATGGCAATTCATTTGAGAGAGGATTCCTATTCCGCCACTCATAGAAACAACTTGCCACTTGCTTGAGAAAATTCCGATGATGCAGCTGCGGCAATCCGCTTGGTGTGCTCACTTCTCCTTGCTCAGGTTTATTGAATAGCGATATTTTAATTTATCTATTAGTGCTATATTACAAAATTGTGTCTGTACCATTATCATAAACAATGGCGAGTAAAAAGAAGTAAAAGAAACGATCGCTACTTTTTCCTTGGTCCCTTATCCCTGCTTGGCCTATTGGACTTGTCGTCCTCCGCTTGAGTCGACTCACTTTTTCTTTTATTTGATCCGCTGGGTTTGCGCAGTTCTTCCCTATTTTCATCTGCAAATACCACAACTACCGTCTAATGCGATCTTGGTATTGTTAATGCCCTTACGTTTTCTTCGCTAGACCGTCACAACCCTGACCTGCGTCAAACGATGAAGGTGAGAAGTAGGCTCGTCAACAGCCTGTGTGTCTTATATGCGTTGCACCAATGCTCACTGACAGGTTGAGTCAAAACTCGAGATATCAAAATAGTCTTCGTTGAATCCATGGGGAGGAAAGACACCAATCCGGCAACAACAATAGGATATGATCAGTTGCATATTTCACAGTACACGTGTTACATGAAAATTTATAATACAGACATACTAACGGCTCTATGCCCCATGGTGTGGTGCCCGAGACAAACTTGCAGTTTTATTTTGATACAAATTTGGATAAATGCCCCATGGATGTGATGTGTGAACCCACATCCTATTCTCACTTCTGCTCCCTGGTTACTATTTGTCTGTCTAAAATTTTTCATGAGCTACTACAAACATGACTAGGTCGGGAAAGGCCTTCGTCTTGAAAAAGTTGTAAGTATTAGCTTGACAGTGCTTTCTTGACTAATCTCTTTATTTCTATGCTTGGTCTAGGTGGTGTTTTTTTATGAGGAGGACTATTTAGACAACATATAGACCCCACATATCTTAATCATAATAAATTGGTTTGGTGGCATTGTTGTAAAAAATATCTTTGCTTAAGGGACAGAAAGATAGACACAATCAGGAAAAGGCAGGACAAAGAGTGTCAACAAGATTGACAAGAGAAAATAGAGTCAAATAACCTTGACTACAAACAGCGCCATAGAATGTCAAAAGAAAAGATGGGAGCTTTATAGGTGAGCTCACAAACTGAGTTACCGGAAGACAAATGCTTGTTGTGAAAAGGGGAAAAAGATAAATGGCAAGATGAACTGCAGGTGAAGAATAAGACATGTGGGGAAAACTGAAGACTTTATTAAAAAGGAAGTTTCTTTGGCTTTTATACTCAGTAGTTTCTAGGTGAGGCGGACCCACCTATGACTACAAAGGCTTTGCGCAAAGATTCCTTTAAGCTTAACACGTCTCGATTTGCCACATTGTGCCTTGAGTAATGAGCTCAAATGCTATGTTTATTAGTATTATTTCACTTCCTCTCTATTGTTCTATACATCTTTCTGTCGTGCCGCGATAGCCTCGCGTCGTTTCGCTGCATCGAGATCAACCGTGCTTACAACAGGCATTTGACCGGTGGCCATCAGCTGTCTTCTTTGATGAATCTTATAATGGCAATATTCCCTGCAAAAAGTATATAACAATGATATGTTCCTAGTATCAATACATCGAATAAAAAGACAGGAAGGTATTGGGATTTTGGGTCTCATTTGCTTCTTACCAAGTACCAATAGTCATAAGTACGAAGGCACCAAATCCCCAATTAGCTGCACTCTTTCCGAATCCTATCAATCACACAGCCAGAAGTAAGGTTATCTAAAATAAGCTGAAGCAAAAATGAGTATAGCTAGCGTAATCATAGTATGGTAGACTAACCAGACTTCATGGTTTTAAGTAGTCCGACGCCAAAGCCCACAGCTATTCCGTCAACAAATGATTCTTTTGCACAAGGCGATTTCCTCATGGAAGAGAAATCGCGTGTAGGTTCTAATGTCTAATAAACAGTATTGTTGAGATTAGATTATTTCCTGTAATTCCCTGAACATGCTCACAAGGATCCGTGCTTTATTAGAAATGATCATCAAGCAAGGACTGACTGTGAGGCAGTATTAATGAATGCTTAAGGAATATTGTCACATGGACACATAGACAAATGGATCCTATCTGTCTGCATATCCCGATAAAGTCAGCTGTCAACATTTGTCACTTTTACCTTGAAAGCAGACACAACTTGGTCTCTGTCAGGGGCTGGTCTCGGGTCATTTAGAATCGGCACTGGAATTTCAGGAAGAGGTTCTTTCCCATGGTTATTATTGACACCTGCCATAGCAAACTAATCTTTTCTGATTTGTAAAGAAGGTGATGGAGTTAATAATGACAAAAAGAGAAATGGTAAAGACCGAGGTGATCAGTTCTTGTCCCACGCTGCTTTGCCCGGTAAGGTTTAAGGCATACAGTGATCTAAGCTGGAATTGAGACAGGCACGTGCTGGTTTGTGATTGAAGCGTGCAGGTTAATTTTTCAGCGATAATCCGATAATCCCAACTTGCTGATTCATTTCTCAGTATTGTTAAAATTTTCAGCCTGCTTGACCAAGTGCTCTGCCATGCACTGCTTCTTCGAGCATCAATAAAAGATTGATTACATACAGCTACAGAATGAATAATGTACATTCAAACACCTATCAGTTTTGTATATGCTTAAAAAAAGATACCAGCCATAATCACCCTTCATGGCTTCCTCGCAAAAACACCCTGGTTGAGGTCCGCATCTGCTTTAGCAATTTTAGTGTTGCCATAGAAATCCTTTGTTACAACTGATCAGGGCAGAGATAAAGTGATTGATTATTCGATTTCTTTGCGCAGATAGGACCCACTCAGCTCTGCTGAATAACCTTTTAGAATCATTCGACGTGACCTGGACACAAAGGTATGCTCGTGCAAATGGAGCAAAATATTCCATTCCTCCTATTCCTCTGTCATGTTGGTAAAAGCATGACACCCGTTTTCCGGTAGCGACGTTCTTGTAACACTCACATAATAATGTATCACATTAACATCAGTCATCACTTTGTAATATTCTTGGTCCAGAGGGGAAAGCTGATCCCAACATGCTCAATCTTTGGCGATGGCAAACATCACTGCTGGTTCTTTGGTCACTTCTTGAGCTTTCTTCCCGAAATATTCACCATTGGCTGTCTTCATGTTTTTAATGATACCCAAGGTCGCCAGGTTAAGGAATAGTGATATGAGCACAACGTCAGGAACGTCATCCCAGACCAGATCGTATTAATAGCCCTGTTAAGGTTTCCCAGAGCTCCTGTGCCGTCTCCGTGTCATATGGGCGAGAGTCTGGTAGCAACTCTTTCATCTTCACATACGTTTGTGGCAGTGCTGAATGATCGGCACTGCTCACCATTCAGTGAATTTGGCTGCATCTACCATCATATGAATGATTTCACGGAGAACTTTGACCTCCTCATCATCGAGTAGGTGTCGCTCTAACTCCTTTGCTTTCCCTTTTCTCGGAGAAGTCCATGCGATGGCGAGTCCCACCTTGCAATGTTCCCTGCCAGCAACTTGGGATGTTTGTCTCCTTGTTCTTGCTCTAAAGCAAGCATCGCCGCGGCATTATTTCTGAAAAAAGATGAAATCTCTTGGCATTAGTTCATTTAATCTCTGGGCGGACTCGCATACCTCTGAAGTCTTATTGATGCAAAGCTGGGTCTTATATGAGGCGAATACCAACCAGTGCATCCCCTTATGATTTTATCAGTAGAGAGCTTGAGAGCTATCGCTTTTTTGATATTAGCACCTTGGTCTGTTGTTATGCAAATGAGTCTTTCTCTCATATCCATGCTATTAACAACCTCAACTGGAAAATGAATCGCAAGACCGGAAAAAAAAAACGTACGTTAATACAGCAATAACTATGAATATAAAAAGATAAGAGGCAGAATTTTACTTACCAAACTTCCGGTGAATAGTTTCGGATGATTTCACTCCATAGACTTGTTTCATTCCTATTACATCAGACATTGGTTCGAAGTTTTACGTGAAAAATTGCAATGTAGTCCCTAAGAACTTCCTTTGATCGATGCTTGTCCAGCAATCTGTCGTGACGGCAGCGTAAATGTCATAGGAGGCAATATACTTTTTGATTTCGCGTCTCATCTCTCGAATCCGTCGATCCATCCTTTCTTGCAAAGTCGCTGTCACAGGATTATCGAAATAAGGATTGACTATTTCAAAGGCTGCTCTCACTCCATTGGAGGCTATGAGCAGTAAAAGCATATCTTCGAATGCTTCTTGCTCATGAGGGAGCTTCTTGAGTCTCTCATCAACAATATTCCGCGCGATGTCGAACCTATTCTTTCTTGGTAGGAGAGGCATATCAACTTTTTCTGGATCGGCAGTGCATAGCAGAGCACTTGGTCAAGCAGGCTGCAAGTTGGATTATTGAAGTAGCACGCTGAAAAATTTAACCCGCACGCTTCAATCACAAACCAGCTTGTCTCAAAAATCGTAGCTGCTTCGCTTCCACTGTTTTAAAATAAAATTTGAAATCCTTAATATGGGTAAAATGCAATACTCCAAAGGAGTGGAGTAAAAATTTAAGAAAAGGCAGTCCGTTGTTTTGTTTTTTATTTTTTTATTTTAATTTTTTTTTTACGCAGCACCTTAGCTGTTCCTTTACTCCTATGCATCTGTCCATTCGGTTGTCCACATTCAAGTACACCCATCCACACAAAAGCACTTAATCTTAGTGCATCCTTCTCTATCTGCTCCCTTCCTCCCTCTCTCCCTTCCTTCCTTCCTTCCTCCCTTTTTTTTAAACGAATCTCGTCTTCGAATTTTTCGTCCCTTATACTTTTCTTCTCTTTCATACTTTTCTTCTCTTTCATACTTTTCTTCTCTTTCATACTTTTCACTTTTCGATATGGTTGCATTGGCTGTAGACTCTCAGCTTTTGCGCAAAGCCAATTCGACATTCCATGCCAGACGTATTCAATTCAAGGAGTCGACGCGACTAGACCTTAAGCAAGAGCGTTTGAAAAAGAAGTATAGACCTGTCAATGCTCCTGCTGACAAACCTACGGTTAACAAAACTGTTTCCTCCAGCGATGCTTCTGCTGCGACTGCCGTATCTTACTCTGGTGGCTCTGCATCAAGTATTGCTACAGAGGACTCTAATGGCTTCAGACTACCTGCCAAGGTCCTTTATAGCAAAGATAAAGTTCAGCTGGCCTGGCCACAACCACGACCAATCGGGCCTGGATTGAATAACCTCGGAAACACTTGCTTCCTCAACTCGGTCCTTCAGTGTCTGACCTATACTGCCCCTTTGGCCAACTATCTGCTGTCAAATCAGCATAGCGACTCATGTATGTTTTGAAATGAAATATCTTTCAGACCTGGGTCTGATCTACATGTTTCTCAATGTGACTTTGACTGCATACTTGGCCATTATATTATGTGCCAATTAAGTCCAATTAGATTTAGCTGTTAGTCCTCCGCATTACTGACTAGTCCGTACCTGGAATCACGATCATCTGCAATGCAATAGGCAAAACGACCAATTTTTGTATGATGTGTGTGCTTGAGAAGCATGTGTCACGTTGTTTCTCTCATAATATGAACGAAGCGATTGCTCCAAAAGTTATCGTAGGACGTCTCAGGAGTAAGTTACAGACTTAACATGAAACTTACTTAACAGGAAATTATCCATGGCTGGGGTCCATAAATCTATTATTGAAAGACTGATATAATACATTCTTGATCCGCCTATAGATATTGGAAAGCAGTTCAGAATCGGACGTCAAGAGGATTCCCATGAATTTGCAAGATGTTTGATTGACGCACTTCAAAAGAGTTGCTTGGTGGGCTATGACAGGTATTCTTATGAAAATTATACAAAATGTAAAGATTTCAATTGTTAATATTTATTCAGCCATGCAGATAGGCCAACTTATTGCTATTATTATTACTATTATCATTATTATTATCAAGTAAATTAGACAATCGGGTTAAGGAAACAACTATCATTCATCAAATCTTTGGCGGTTATTTCCAGAGCCAGGTCAAGTGTCTGAAATGTGGTTATGAATCCAATACCTTTGAGACCTACCTTGATGTTAGCTTGGATATTCGAGGCTCAGAAAGTGTACAAAAGGCGCTTCGTGATTATACAAAGCCAGAAATTTTGTCAAAGAGCAATCAATATAAATGTGACAAGTAAGTTTTTTTTTTTTTCTTAAAAAAAAAAGCTTTAGATAATACAATGGTTAATTAGAGACTAACCGTGGAACCCTTTTTATTATTTTACTTGTTTTATTTTATTTTATACTTTTTTAGATGTAAAACACTTGTGGATGCACGAAAGCAAATGACCATTTACGACGCTCCAAAGATTCTTTGTGTCCATTTAAAGAGATTCACATATACAGGACAAAAAATCAACAGGCACATCAGCTTTGAAACGAACTTGGAACTCAATTCGGTCATGAGCACCAATAAGAAACACCCTGATCTCTCTTACAGTCTGTATGCGGTGCTTGTCCATGTAGGGGGATCATGCTATAGTGGTCATTATTATTGCTACGTGAAGAGTTCCAATGGTATATGGTATTCTATGAACGATTCTCATGTAAGTCTTTTTTTTTTTTTTTTTTTTAAATTTTTTTTTTTTTATTTTTATTTTTAATCAATATTCAGCGTATGTTGGTTACCAATTGTATGGATTATCTGACTATATGTTTCGGCTTGTTTATCTGCAGGTGAGCGTGGTTAGCCTCCAAAGTGTCTTAAACCAGAATGCCTATATGCTCTTCTATACCCAAGACAAGAAGGCTACAAGCAGAGTAGCTACAACTACAGTGAACGGTATGAGCCCCAATGGACCAGCAGTCAAACACACCAAGACCAGTTTGGTTCAAATGAAGAGGCCTCGGATAGAGGAAGATGATCTTGGAGACAAGGTGGATCGTTCAACATTACCCCCAAAGGAGAAGCGTGTAAAATATATGGAATCAGCACCATTAAGCGATCCACAGGGACAGTCCAAAGAAGAAAGAAGGAGATCGAAAAAGGAGCGTAAGAGAGCTAAAAAGCTGGAGACACTCATGGCGTCAAAATCAGAGATGAATGACTACGAACTCGCTACGTCGACTGGATCTACTTCAACTTCTAAAGCAATTTCATCAATGGGAGCACCCTTGCCTTCAGGATCTCAAACAATATTTGGAGTATCTATGGCCAATGGAGCTGGGTCCTCCAGAAGTCAAAGCCCTCTTGCTGATCTTGACACTATCTTCAAAGGATCAACAGCCAAGTCGTCATTGAAGCCCACAGCTATTTCTATCCCTACCAAACCCCATTCAGACTGGAAGATCACCGATGGGGCTATGAAGTCTCCGGTTGCGGAAGAGCTTCGTCAGATGAAACTTCATGAGCAAAAGAAGAAGGAAGACAAGGAGAGCGATCTAAACAACGACAGGGACAAGTCAGCAGACGAGGTGGAGCAGGATGGCTGGATAGTCAAGTCTAAGGCGGCTATGGAAGCCGTTGTGGTGTCTCATGATGAATCATCAGTTTCGAAGAAAGAGAAACTACAGGCTCTGATTGAGCGTGAGTCCAAGTTTAGGAGTGCAGAAGTTAAGGAGGCTATTCTAAGTGAGCAAAAACACATGCTCGGAAGTAAGATCTCGACATGGGACGAGCCCAGCTTAGAGTTGACTAAGGCTCGTGAGGATATTTTGCGTACATTGAAGCCGAAACACCATCGACCTGATGCCTATGATGTCGAGTATGATCGTGGAAAAGTGAAAAAAGTCAAGAATAAGAACAAAGGCTTGTTGGCCATCGGAGCCAATCCCAAGAATAAGTTTCAATTTGAGCAGGATGTCCGAAATCTTGTTAAGGTAAACAGCATAGGTGGTATAGCTCTTTTGATTCTTTTGATTCACGACTCTATAATGGGTGGATTAGACTAATATTCTTTGTTCGTGTCTTTTTTTCCCATCTTTGTCTTGTAGCCCAAGTTTTCAAAGAACAAGAATAACAGCAAGCGGGTGCCTAATGCTCTTTAATTTTTTTTTTTTTCCTTTTCTTTTAAAAAAAATGTGATGCTTGTAGTTTTTTTTCTGTATTTGATCTTCTACATTCATTGTTCTTTTTTATTATTTTATTTTATTTCATCGTACATTAGTTATTTTTATTGCTCCATTGCATAGATTTCACATTTAATAGACTGCAAAGCCGCACAGACTATTTGTGAATCCGATGCTCATTTTGTACTTTACAAAGTTAAGGTTTTATTACGCCCCAGAACCACAATTTTTTTTTTCCCACGCATTCCCTGTAACATATCGGTGGCCAACTATCGTTCTTCTGAAAATGCCAACCATCTAGGAAATTATACACATAAGAAAAAAAGTCAATTCATTTTTACTGCTTGGCATGTTGCTTAACGAGATCGTCGTGCGGCACAATGTGGCTAAATGCAGGCTATACATTATTCAAAGGTAAAAAATGAAAATTAAAAATAAAAATTTGACATATTTGTGAATTCAACCTCAGTTGCTTGTGCTACATTGGGTCTCCACGATCTGTGGCAAGGTTGTGTGCTGCATCTCCACATGCAACATTCCTTACCCTGTGCATCCACCCTTGCAGCCTTCTCTCCACACTTTTTTTTTTTTTTTTTTTTTTTAGTAAACAATGGTCTCACGTGAGTAATACAACGTTTTTCCCTCTCGCACATGTTCATTTGCTTCCTCTTCCTTATTACAATAATCCATTCCATCAGTTACTGCTCTCTTGTCATGTACCGTCTGATCCCTACTGAGGAAGACACTCGCGATGAGGATCGCACCGTCAGTGGCTCTCTTCGAGACCAAGGTGGATTCGAAGAGGACCGCTCATCCACAACAAAAAAGGGACCAATGCAATCCATCAAAAATAAATTCAGGGCGCTCATGAGCCCCAAGTCAGGCACAGCAGCAGGTAACACAGGCACCCCTGCTGCTGGGTTCACATTACCCAAGCAAAAGAACAAATACCTTATTGATGCTATCTTTGTGAAACGGCTCTGGAGGTTCTTCCGACTTTTATTTGCTCGACGCTCCCAGGTTCTCTGGCTATATATCATTATGACAGTCTTCTGCTGCATCAACGAGAGCGTTGTCTATTATGTTGGAACTATTCCTTCGAGATACTATAAAGTATTGGGTGACAAGGACCCGTCTGCATTCTGGTGGCTCCTGGTCACATCAACATTGGCCGTTTTCCTCGCTGCATTTGTAAGTCATTGGGTAACCAGCCCCAACTCTTTTTTCCTCCTCTCCATTATCTTCCCGCTATTCCGTCTCGTATTTTGAAACTCCCAGCCATGTGTAATATGCAGCACAGACCCCAACCTCCCTCCCATTCGTGCTAAATAGTTAAATTTGGTCTCACTATTTATTATTCATTACAATGACTTTTTTCTTTTTTATTACAGGGCAAGAGCGTCATCTTCCTTCTTGGTAGCCTTTTGTCTTTAGAAAGCCGTAGGACGTTAACATTGTATTTCCATAAGATCTATATTCGACCAAAGCTCTTTTATAGGATCTTGTACATGCATGAGGAGGAAGTAGATAATCCGTAAGTGGTTAAGCGCTTTTTTTTTTTTTTTTATTGTTGCTATTGTATGAAGTAGGTTAATGTTCCCTTTCACATTCACAATGTTTTTTTTTACTCCTTGTTTTTATATCTATACATACATTTATTTGTAGAGATCAGAGAATAACGCAAGACATTGACAAGATGTCAGAGTCTATGCGGAAGATGGTTGAGGACTTGATAATTATTCCCTTGCTCATTGTTTTTTACACATATCAATGCTGGATGATGACTGGATGGATTGGACCGGTGTGTATTTATGGATTCTTTTTGTTGAGTACTATTATCAGTCGATTATTGATCAATCCCATTGTGGACGCAGTCTTTTACAAGGAATCTGCAGAAGGTTATTTCAGGTACTTTCTTTTTTTTTTTTTTTTTTTTTTTTTTTTGTCCTCTATATTGCTTAGTCATCACAGATTGGAATCTTGGTCGCGTGCAGTTCTTATCTTGTCCATTTGACTTTTATTTATTTATTTATTTTTGTCTGTACCCCACCAGATATTTACACATGCGTTTCAGACAGTATGCTGAATCGATCACCTTCAGTCGGGGCGAAGGAGAGGCAAAGGATAGTGCAGACGAGCTGCTGGAAGTATTGCTCAAAACCCAACTAGACGTAGTTTACAAGGAGGTACCATTGAAATGTAAGGTTTCTTTTGCTAGAATTGTTCCCATTTGTTTTTCGGACAAGAGTAAAAGTACAAGGATTGACATTAGCTGATATTCAGTCTTTTCCTTTGTGGTGGGGGGTTACGATAAAGTTTTACAGCAGGGTGTATCCTATTTTGGGTCGATCCTAAGTTATGTGATTATCGCTATTCCTATTTTCTGGGGCGTCTACGATGATTTACCTCCTTCCGATATATCGGCTGTCATCAGCAAGGCAAGTCTTTGTTGTTCCACCATATCTACTTGTATTAGTTTGTTCAGAAGCTGTCAAGCCGATCCTTTGACTGATGTATTGTCTTTTTTTTTTTTTTTTTTTTTTTTTTTTTTAATATAAAAATGTAGACATCATTTGTGTCCATGTATCTTACGTTCCAATTCTCCAAAGTCATTCAGTGTAGTACAGATTTTTCTGATCTTGCAGGATATACTTCTCGATTGGGTCAACTCATGGAAGCATTAGATGGTTTGAATATGGAACTGGAGAACATTGCGATTGACTTTCCGCATGAAGAAGTCATGTCCCACGATACATCGATCCGATTCGAAAATGTTTCTTTCAACACACCTTCTGGTGATCTTATCATCTCAAACTTTACGTTCCGATTTGAAATCGGGCTTAATACCATGATTGTGGGCCCTAACGGTGAGTGATGCATATTTCACTAGCTATTCTTTGCTGATAAAGAAATGGAATTTTTTTTTATTTTATTTTATTTTATTTTATTTTATTTTATTTTTTTTATTATTTATTTATTTATACTCATTTGCTTTTGATTGGTTGATTTGGCATTATATGTTCTTGTAGGTGTTGGCAAAACATCATTATTGCGCGCTATGGGTGGGCTGTGGCCAGTTTCTAAAGGTAAAATTGGTATAAAAAAGTAAAAAAAAAATTATAATAGCAATACATAAATCAACAAAAAAAAAAAAAAAAAAATCTAATCCAGTCCTGAATGGAAAATAGGACAAATTATACTTCCACACAAGTATCGAAGAAATGTTATCTTCCTTCCACAGACCCCTTACTTGACATATGGGACGCTACGTGAGCAGCTTGTGTATCCACACAAGGAGACTGCATCGACTGTATCGGATGCAGACATTATGAGGGTTTTGAAGATTGCACGGCTGGATCATATTGTAGACGTCATTGATGACTTTGATACACCGTATTCAATGGACTGGAGCAAGATGCTTTCACCTGGCGAACAACAAAAGCTGGCTTTTGCACGTCTCTTTTATGCGCGACCCAGTTTTGCGAGTAAGGAATTCAATTCCATTCAACTCAATCCAAAAAAAAAAAAAAAAAAAAAAAAACGTATTTTATATTCATGAGATAAAAGTACTAAAAGCTCGTTTTTTTTTTTTTTTTTTTTTTTTTTTGTATAGTCTTGGATGAAGCTACGAGTTCGATGGATAGTGATTCTGAGAAGGAGATGTTCAGGCAATGCCGGTTACTTAATATTACCTGTGTTACAGTTTGCCATCGTGAGAGTCTGGAACGATACCATCAACAAAAAATTATTCTGGAAGGAAGAGGAGGAGCCTGGTCATTCGCCCAGATCCAAGAGCAGGAAGACGAGGATAATGAAGAGAATAATAATAATCATTTTGATAATAATTCGATCCATAGTCAATTGTCAGGACCGGGTATAAACCTGATGCAACCTGGAGAAGGCGGAGTTTGATTGAAGGCCAATAGAGAATAAAAAAAAAAAAAAAAAAAAATCACGGTGAGCAGTTGTGTGTACATGTACAAAGTCTAATTTTGTTTGATTAAAAAAGGAAATATTGTCTCTGTTGTGATATAGTTAATCATGCTGCTAATAAATGCAGGAACAGTTACATGGGTAATAAAGGGCATTCATGCAGAAAAAGAAAGAAAAAGAAAATTTGTAAAGTTGTCTGTCTCAAGGGGGATTGCTTTTTGTTGTTGTTGTTGTTGTTGTTGTTGTTGTGATGAATGGAGATGCATTTGTAAGGGGGTTGTTGACAAATCGGCAATGACATCAAAGATGGGTCATTCGAAATGGAGTCAAACAGGCCAATTGCTTCCATTGTACATGTAGTTGTTGTTTTATAGCCCAAAGTATTCAATCAAGGATATCTGTAGACAATGTCATTTACTCTTGTAGATAAAATAAAGGAGAGCACTCGGAAAGTGCAAAAAAAAAAAAAAAAAAAAAAAAAAAAAAAAAGGAGAGAAGAGAAAAAGAGAAAAAAGAGAAAGAGAGAAGAGGAGAGAAGACTGTTCTGTCTGTGTGTATGAATGTGGGAGAAATGAGCATGGGACAGTCGTTAGCCAATAGCAGGCGATTAAACTGAAAGAGAGTTTTGTGTGCCAGATTGGGGAGACAAAATGTTTTTTTAGATTAAAAAACAAAAAAAAAAAAAAACCTGTTGCTGACCGCAGTCTTTGGTTTTTTTTTTTTTTTGTTTTGCTTCTTTCATGTATTTATATACATCAATGTACACTATAGTCCCGTTTACTAGTAGCCAATATCTATCTAGAAAAGTAAACGCCTGCTACAGATACTGAGTTGCGCTAATGGCAGAAAGGGCTGATAGAGACTAGTGAAAGCAAAAACAAACTTTTTTACATTGGAACATCGTATTGGACCTCATAGTGAATAGTGCAACGCAGTAACGATTTAACAGTTGATAAGAGCTGTTTCACTTTGTCATCAGAAAGTCTTTTTAAAAAAAAGCTTGTGGTTTAGATCATGAGATTAGACTTGGGAATGAAAATGAAAGTGTGCACCTGCAGGTATCATCCAGCATATCCAGCATATCCAGTATGTTCAGCATATCCAGTATGTTCACCATATCCAGCATATCCAGTATGTCCAGTATATCCCAAATGTCCCCAGCATTTCCAGCGTAATGAGTGTATGATACGAGCGTATCAGTCATGATCAGATTCATGTGTAAGACAATCAGAGATTGAGAATTCTTTTGTTGCCACAATTTTCCCTTTTCGGCTGCATTGTCGGTGGAACAATGAGGGTGATGGCGATTGTCTGCGGTCATCAGTTTTGGACCGTTTATGTGTAAAAAAGTCGACTACATCCCTTTACTTGCTTTCCTCTTCCTTTTTCCTTTTTCCTTTTTCCTTCTTCTTCCTTTTCTCTTTTTCTTCTCCTCCTCCTCCTCCTCCTCCTTCTTCTTCTTCTTCTTCTTCTTCTTTCTCTTTGTTCCTTTTCGTTTCTTTCTCGCACTTCCTCACACGCCATTTGTAACAAACTCTCACACACCCACGCGCACATCATAAACACAAACTTTTTTTTTTTTTTCTCCTTTTTTTTTTTTTTTTGTTGTTTCCCCATCCTTTTCCTTTTTCATCTTTTTTTTTTTTTTTTTTTACTCATTTCTTCATTCGACGCTTGATTCCTTCTCATTCCTTCTCATTCCTTCATCATTGATTCATGTGCTGTTAAATATCAAAATAGACTTCTTTTCTATTTCTCAGCCGTATCCCTTTTTTATCTTTTTTATTCTAAAGATTTCTTCTGCAATAAATGTCTGTGTTGTCTGGACCTGTCTTCGTTATCCATATTGCAAAGACCATTGCAATTATTTCACATAACTCTGCTCTGTACAACTGAAGCACCTTTACTTTGCTGTTCCCTCCCTGTCCCTTCCCCTCCCAGCCCCCTTTCCTTCACCTTTTTCTTTTTTTTTTTTTTTTTTCCCCTTTGTTTTTTTTTTTTTTTTTTTCCTTCCTTCTTTCTATTATTATTGGCCACCTTTGCTCAATTGGTTTTGTAGACCCTTTCGGCCCTCATTATTCAAACATTCTTTTTATTATTCCTGATTCTCTTCTTGATCTTTCATTCTATTTGGTGACAATCCAACATGAATCTTTCTCAAATACTCAACCCACCAAGTGCCACTACAGCGCCAATTCCTTCAGCTAATCCTATCCCCCGTCGTCACCGAAGGACTTCTTCTCCTCCACCCTCGTTAACCTCTGCTACAACCATCCTTCGCTTTGATACCCCGGCATCACCTCATGTCCACATCACAGGTTCTACAGGACCAACAGGAACGACTGCCTCAGATACTGTTTCAAGAAAGCATGCCAACTCAATCTCGATAGCACAGCTCGAGGAACAAACCTCTTCCTTCCCCTCAACCTCAGGTCAACATAACAAGACTAACCATCATGGACACGGTGGCGCCCAGCAGAAAATCAGGCCCAATGAGATCAGCAACAGATATAGTACTCATACTTTTCGAGCAAGCATCCCTCCATCCCTCAAGGACAAACCCTTGTCATCAACGTCATCATCGGATATCTCGGTAACTTCACCTGCTCCCGTTCATTCCACTATCACCGCATCATCACCAACAACAGTTACCACGACTGCTACTGCCATGGCCACCACAGCGTCAAACAACACCAATGCAGCGCTTTTGGAAGGAAGCTTGTCCGAGTTGGTTATGAGCCATAATACACCGCAGGATATGTCTTCATCTGGATCTTTCTCAAAGAAAAAAGCTCGCTACCAAGGTAAAATGAAAAAAAAAAAAAAAAAAAAAAAAAAGAAAAATGCATAATATGCTCTCAGGGATGTTTTTTGCTTGTTTGTTATTTTCCTTTAGTTCATTGTTCTTTTTATTGCTGCAAGTCTTAACCTGATAACCTTATTTTTTCTGCTCAGGCTCCAGCACCGTGGAATCGTCATCTTTCCAAGACTCGTTCCAAGCTAATCATTCAGAGATACAGAATATAAAGTCAGAAATAGGAACTAAAAAAAAGTCGACCAAGAAAGGTGGCCGCACATCCCCTCATACTGAGACCGATCCTCAGCCGATTCGTTTTGTCATGTCAGATAAGGAAATTCAGGATAACAAACGTCAAAAAGCTGGATCGACGCACAACGTAAATGTCCCATCTCCCTCACAAGATTCTCAAGGGGAAGATGTGGCCGATCAAGAGTCTTCACAGGCTAGCCCAACACCCGATTTTGAGAGGAATGCTGATGGAAAGTACGTGTCTTTTTTTTTTTTTTTTTATCTTATTATCCTTCCCTTCGCCAATAATCAATCTTAGCTTATCTTTTAGTTTCATTTACAATATGAGCGAAATTAGAAGAGGCAAAGCCTTTTTTTTTTTTTTTTTTTTTTTTTTTTATCATGGAAAGGGGGTGCATCTGAGCTGCAGAATTGATTTTCAATGCGCGTCATCTCTTTTCGCTCACTCGCTGCAATGTTCGAGGATCAAAGAAAAAGGACACGTCGCTAATGGCCTTGTCAATTTTTCATCATTTTATCCTATAGATTCCGTTGTAGCTGGCCTAGATGCGGAAAGGAGTTCACTGTAGCCTCTCGCCTCACCACCCACTATCGCATCCACTCGGGAAAACCGCCTTATTTGTGCGGGTACAAGGATTGTCAAAAGGCATTTCATACTGTATGTCATGGTACCATTTTTTTTTTTTTTTTTTTTTTTTTTTACGGCATGGCGGACGAAGAAAACTGTAAAACTGACAGATACAAACTTTGGTTTTAAATTTTTCCATCATAGTCTTCGTCCTTGTCCCATCATCGTGTTGTACACACAGACCAAGGTTTACGCCCCTACGTTTGTCGCCACAACCGCTGTGGTGCCACCTATACCCAACTCGCACGATTAATCACTCACCAACGTACAACCCATAGTGGCATGATTCTTTTTATCCCACAAGAATCATCGCCCTCATCCTCGTCCTCGTCCTCATCCTCATCTTCAGCTTCGGCTTCTTCTTCATCCTCTCCATCTCAACACCACACACCTTCTCAGTCCCAATCTCAATCTCAGTCTCAAGCCCAATTTCAATCTTCCTTTTCAACAGCCCAAGAAGTGTCAAAGGAAGGCTCTGCTGCCACTCCACCTCAACCAATGACACCATCGATAAATCCTTCCATTGGTCCCTCTTTTATGTCTTCAGAGTCTGGGTCTCCCAAACCAAATGAGCGCGCCAAAAATACTGGCAATTCAACGCGTAAAGGCATCGCCAACCCCGTTATTGACCATAAATCATCAATCATGCTTGCAGATCCGAGTTTGTCGCGGTCATCTCAAACAAATCCTCAGCGACCATCTCACTCAATGACACAGTCCTCTGCTGCACAGACAGGCCATCCGTCGTTCAACGGTACCAAATCTGCAAACGTATCTCGAAACGAAATCATGGATGACTATAGAAACCATACCACTACCGGACACGATAGACGCAACGATGATAGAACCAAGCCTCCTGAGAGGATGAGCGAGAATGACGAGGAGAGCGACGAGATGCGGATGACTAAAGAAGCAGCATTGACAATGACCAGCTTCAGAGAGATGGCAATGTTACAGGAACAACGCCAAGCACATCCTCCCCGCTCTCCAGGGGTCTCGCAACAGCGGTCTTATCATCCGCCTCCTCAGCCTTCACAACAGTCAAACTCGAATGGTCACTACCATCCCTCTACAGAGCATTACTATGCCCAACCATCATATCGTGATTATCCTCAGGATTCGTACAATCAGCAGTCCCCTTACTATACTCCTTATTCCGCCCCGAAGTCTCCGCCAGGACCACCACACCATTACCCTCAGCCAAACTCGGGAGACTACTGGAAAGGCAACCAAGGAAGGGTAACGTCTGATGATAAGACAAATGGGTATAGCCATCACACCCTTCAGGATTTTGCGCCTAATCATCCCCAAAAGATGCAGCAACACCAACACCAACAACAACAACAACAGCAGCAGCAGCAGCAGCAGCAGCAGCCAGATTTTTACCCTAACGATATTCCATACCATCACCAGCCCTCCCGACCTTCACATTCACACTCCATGACTTTTGAGGATCAACACCGACGTGGTACGATGAGTGAACATGGCTACGATTGATTCATTCAACACTTTACCTATTACCTATTCCCTCCGCTCCCAGTCTCAGCATTGCTAATCCTTAGTCCATTTACCTTTCTATTCACGTTTACATTTACCTTTACATTTACCTTTATCATTACATTTACATTTACATTTACATTTACATTTACATTTACATTTACTAATAATAAAAAATGTTAGAATGATATCCTTCCTTTTTTTTTTTTTTTTTTTTTCTTTTTAAAAAAAAAAAAAATGTACAAGAAGACAGGAGACATGAAACTCCTTCAGATGTCTGATGGTGTGCAAAGATTGATTTATTGTTTGTAATATCAGACTGTTTCCGTTGATAGCAAGTTACACAAGATTTACTTGAGTCTCCTTTTCCATACTTTTTTTTTTTTTTTTTTTTTTTTTTTTTTTTACATTTCAAACCTCTTTGAGTCAATTGTATGCGCTTCCCCCTTGTTGAACCTTGGTGATTAAGATCAGAGTCATGAATGATTGATTGTCTTGATGAATAATCCCTCTCAAACACAGCTGTGAGCTTGAGCTTTTTGCGAAACATCGTGGTGAGTGGTGAAGATATTCCATTCTTTTTTTTTTTTTTTTTTTTTTTTTTTTTTTTGATTAGTGTGCACTTGAGGTTGAAGCTGAGGTTGAGGTTGTATCGAGGTGTCCATAAGTGTCGATCCACTCATGATAAACATCTACTGCATGACTTAGATCTAATGATCAATTGAATAATAATTAAGCTTGTTTTTTATATATATATATATATATATATATATATATATATATATATTTTATAATCCCTTCAGTTGAAAAAAAAAAAAAAAAAAAAAAGTAAAAAACGTAAAATAAATAAATAAAAAAAAAAAAAAAAAAAAAAAAAAAAAGGCTAGGCAAATTTACGGTTGATAGGACATGCAAAGGTGATCCCACATCGTTCACAGGACAACTGTCCGATTTGAGTATCTCGATTGCTAGACCATATTCAGAAATGGTTTAGGACATTACAAATCATTATCACGTTGCTTATTATTAATATTATCATTTGACCCTGACGTTAACACACTTTTGAAAGATGAAGCTTCTTAGGATGAAAGCAACATATTAATACATTTCTTTTTTTTTTTTTTTTTTTTTTTTGTTTTGTTTTTTTGTGACATACATTGTACAACGGACAGAGTGTAGATGACATGCCAAGCACTCGAAAACGGTTGCGAGTCTTGGTGAAGTAGGAGCACGAGCGCGACGACGAAATTGGCTCCTCTTGGGCCGAGTCCTAGCCATAGTGTCAGTTTTTTGTTTCTTTTTTTTTTTTTTTTTTTATTTTTTTTTTATTAGGCTTGCAGGTGTAGACAAGTGGAAAAGCGGGAAAAAAAATAAAAGTAAAAGATGGATCAAAGACAGATGATAAAAATGAGGCACGAGGAAGAGAAAAGAGAAGGGAAGAGAAGGAATCGAAAAGGCGGAGCAAATTAAGCTCGATGAAGGATGTTGGTGGCGTCAGTCATGAGATCCTTGATTTGCTTTTAATCTACTTTGCCACAGTGAAGAAGCGATATCGATTGCTTTATAAATAATTTGGTATTGCTTGTTTTTATTTTGATGATTGAATCGTTTGTTTCGCCTTTTTTTTTTTTTTTTTTTTTTTTTTTCCCTCTTTTTTTTATTATTATTATAGTTATTATTCCTAAAAGCCGCCAGCACGGAACACTCTGCTCTCGACAACATTCCAGTCTACTGTTTTGAAAAAGTTGTCCAAGTATCGTTGACGTCCCTCGCGTGTGACCCCATAGTCGGTGAGGTAGGCATGCTCCCACATCGAGATGCAGAGAATAGGGACGTAGCTGTTGTTGGCTCTCAATTTAGCAGGTGCCGAGAATTTGGAGACACCCGAGTATGGGTTCTGAGCCTGTGAGGCAAAGTCATGTTCTGTTGCAGTTTCATCGTTGCGTTGCATCCTACGACGGTGATGAGGGGATCCAGCATTGTATGTATTCAACAAAACCAAGCGACCATCCTTGTCCTCCACCAACCAAGTCCATCCTGATCCAAACAAACCAAGGGCATTGGTTGTGAATTCTCTTTTGAACACCTCCACACTTCCGAATGAGGCTGCAATACGTTTAGAAAGGGCATCCGACATTGGGCTGGGGGTGGAACTCTATGTATTTATATATAGTAATGATAATAATAATGATAATAATAATAATAACAATAATAACAATAATAAAAGAATAAGTATAATGTTGTCTCTCTTTTCCCCAATGCAGAGTCGTCAATCAGCATTCTTTCATACCAAGGATCGCAAAAAAAAGTCATTGTTCCAAGCCTGGGACGCGTTATTAAAGATCTGTGTCTCGTTAAGTGACCGTGCACTATCCATTAAGACTTCATAAAAGAGTTTATCCTCATATGGTGTGCCTATTTTTTTTTTTTTTTTTTTTTTTTTTTTGTTGTGAAAATGGAAAGATCAATAGATGAAGGGGGAAAAGGGTAAAAAGGATTGATCAGTCTTCTTTACTCAATTCAGTACGATTCTACTATTTTTATCTTAATAGTTGCAGCTTGAAGCACATTCAGTTTCTTAAGTGAGGTGAGGTAGAAGTAAAGGATTGGAAGGTTTGTTTGTTTTTGTTTTTGTTTTTGTTTTTTTTTTTTTTTTTTTTTTTTTTTTTTTCTTAGTACCTGCAATAAGCTCATTGAGACGGTTAACAAGACCAGTCTGATGATCAGTATAGATAATATTTAATGCAGCAGGCGATAGCAAAGGCTTCACACCAGCAGAAACCTCGTAGGGGAGGCTAGGAACAGCATGCAGCCTTGCTGTTGCTCTAACGGACGATACCGCGGGCGACCTGATAACCTGGATAGGTACAGGAGGAAAAAAAAAAGAAAAAAAAGAAAAAAAAAAAAAAAAAAAAAAAAAGTCAGTGCCTTTTTTTTATTCACTTGCGTTTCTTTTTATTTTATTTTAATTTTATTTTAATTTCTTTTTATATTATGTAAATAAGGATGTTATGATTACTTTTTGAAGACGGAGAACAGATCGCAGCATGGTAGAAAAGATGTTTGCGAAAGAAATAGATGCAGGAACTGATCAGTCGAGAGAGAGAGAGAAGTGGGGGGAAAATGTTAATTATCCGCTACGCCGATGTTTACTCAACATGGTGGCTTGGAAGGGAAACAAAGTTCTGTGCGATCTTTACCCTTTTGGTTTGCTCTTTTGCTCTTGGTGCTCTTGGTGCCCTTGGTGCTTACTCGGCACTTGAGGGGGCGTTCATGGATTGGCTATTGAGCATGGCTTTTTAACGTTTGTGCATGTGCTTACTTGCCAAGTTGAGATAAATCAAGGTAGCTAGCTCTTCAGAGACCAAAACGGAAGCCGTTCGCCATTGAAAACAGAAGCTTTAGGATGCTACTTTTGCATGAAATTGTGAGTGTCGAAAGCATTGAAAGACCTAAAGGTCTGTAGAGCTGACCTGGATAGGTAGTGTTGATAGTGGTGAGGACAGAGGTTATGACGACGATAGAGTCAAGACTGTCTTGGTCTTGCCGTTCACCTCGCCGTCCACACGTCAGCTGAACGAAGGTCAAAATAAAGGATGCAAGGTTGTAACTACACTAATATATAGTTCTTTTAACATTACGCCCGTCACTTTGATGACTTCACGACAACCCCTGCCTCATCTTCAGAACCGTATTGTTCTGTGAACCTTTAAACTTTGCTCCATTTTCAATGTCTGGTGCAATCAAGGCCCCTCTGCCCTTAGAAATCTGCTCCATATTGTTGCAGTTGCTTCTTTGGAATAGTCAGACTGGCAAAAGTATGGGTTAATGCACGATTAGAGAAAGGTGAGAGGCTAGGGAACTGAAACAGAATCGTTAAGAGGTTGACATTGATGTCGTTATTTTTATTTTTTTTCCCTACCTTCCTGTGGCTAGAAAATCATCCCATACCAGAGCCAAACAGGTGTTGGAGATGTATGTATACCAAGAGCATTTAAAACGGGTGATCATATGTACCAATAAAAAGGAGCCTTAGAGAGCGGCGCAGCAAACAACCATTGGTACAACCTGTCAGTGGAGCCGCGAACATTGTCTCAGCTAGAGCCCGTGTAACATGCATGCGATATCATTTGTTAATATATATATATAAACATATTTATTAGTAAATAGTAATCGACAGTTCCTGTGAAAATGCGAAATGCTTTATTATATTTTGTCATGAACTGTGCATGAGCGCCAAAAATGCTCAAGGGAAGCCAACTACACAGGGTTCATATACATTGGTTCAGAGGTATTTGGCTCGAGAACAGGGATAAGCACATGCATGGATTCTTTTAATTACGATTAGTGTATGAGGGGGGCCAAGAACAAGCTGGTTAGAATGTTAAAGTCTACTAGGATGAATAAGGCCCATTAGTTTATTGCCCACAGATGTCAGATGATGACTGAGAAAAGGGAAAGGGTGAGTGAGTATAGACTCTAGTGGAAGCTAGTACCAAGTGTCCTCTGGTAAAGGATTCAACTTGGCGCCAGGGACACAGCTTTGTTAGTGCAGTGTCATAATGGTCTAAAGAAAAACTAGATTGGTTCTGGACTATAAATGTTTATTGGAGAGGAAACTCCTCTTTTTTTTTTTTTTTTTCTTTTTATTTTATTTTATTTTATTTTATTTTATTTTTTTCATTTTATTTTTTTCATTTTATTTTTTTCATTTTATTTTTTTCATTTTTTTTATTTTACTGTGTATCATTGTTTCAATAGCGAGTAATAAATCCGGGGTCCTGAAGTTGTTTAGCAAAGACAGATTGGATTGTAATGAAGGAACTCCTTTTCAGATCAAAGCTGCCTAATTGTTATTCCGTACGAACCAAATCAAGAAGAATGTTTAGAGGAGAGAGAGATGTTTAAGATCCATCAAAGTATAGAATAAAAGGTTGTAGCAGTTTGAACCTTCTCCGCAATGTCAATGTCGAAAGCAAAAAGATTGGTAATCAAGAGCAAGCTTGTTATAATTGCATTGAGTAATAATTTTTTATTTTTTATTTTATTTATTTATTTTTTATCTGTGCAATGAATGCGATTCCTGTGCCAAGATTATTATATTATTTTATTTTATTTATTTTATTTTATTTTATTTCGAAACAATTAGGGACGACGACAGCTTTGCCTGAAAAGATTATGCTCCGCTCTTCCTTACTTTAAAGAATGGGAATGGAAGAGTGTTTATGGAGTTTACTTTGTTATAAATATATATATATATCATTACTAATCTGGAGCTGCCCTTTTTTTTTTTTTATTTTTTATTTTTTATTTTTTTTTTTAATAAAAAAAAAAAAAAGAAAGGTACTAATGTGGATCCTGGATAAAAGAGCATCATTTTAAATTAATCTGACAGTGTCTGGACAGGAGCCTGGTGGTATGTTTTTTGAGAGTGAATGAGTGGATGATCTGCAGAGAAGATTAAATCCGGTGTCTATGTAATGTATCTGGTATCAATGCACCTCTAGTAGGAAAAGCACAGCCATTCGACTGTATTGATTGGGCAAGCTTGTTCATGACACAAAGCTCAGTTTTAAAATAAAAAAAAATAAAAAATAAAAAATAAAAAAAAAAAAGATGAAGAGCTGAAGAGGTAAAGACTATTGGTAAGCAAAATATATATAAAAAAAAAAAAAAAAAAAAAAAAAGGCATTAGGGGTGTTGCATCTGCCCTTTGGATGGGTATTTTTACATTTTCCCGCCATTTTTTTTTATTTTATTTGATTTGGTTTGATTTGGTTTGATTTGATTTGATTTGATTTGATTTCAAAACAACGATAATAATAATAAAAATAATTCGTGTGGGCAATTGACTCCAGCCCATATTTTTGCTGACAACACAAACAGGAAAAAAAAGAGCAGACATGAATTGAAGACAACGGATGGATGCCGTAATAATAGTTAATAATATACCAACTCAATCTCACTCACTCTCAATTACACACACTCCTCTCTGGTGCAGTATTCCCTGCGTATGCTGACGAGTTTGTTGTCAATGCTTTTTATAATGCTGACATTTAGCTCTTGGCTCTCACTCTTTACTCTCTCTATCTCTCTCTTTCACATCTCTACTTTTTCTTTTTTTTTTTTCTTTTGCTTTCGTTTCATCCTCACAAGAAACAAAAAAAAAAAGAAAAAGAGAAAAAGAAATGTTTAGGCTTAGGCTTAGGCTTAGGCTTAGGCTTCACCGTTTTTTTTTTTTTTTTTTTTTTTTTTCCACTTTGGATCTGTCAAAAATAAAAGTAAAAATAAATCAGGGTAAATAAATAAATAAAAATAAAAATAAAAATAAATTAATTGTAATGATAATAATAATAACAAATGATAATATCGAATAACAACAACAGCAGCAGCAACAAAAACATTCATTAGTCAATCATCAGCAAGGGTCCTTTAGTTTTTCTTTCAGCTCTAGTCCCTCCATTGAATCAGCTCCTCGACTGTCCTTCAATCGGTCTTGTCTGTCTTCAATTGTCTACGGACAGCAAGACTGAACTGGGCTCTTTTGACATTCTCTTTCCCCTTTTCTCTCTTTTTTGTACGCTGTCTTGTTTTGCTCTCTCTCTTTTTTCTTTTCTTTTTTTTTTTTTTTGCTGACTGAATATGTACATACATTTATATAATACACACATCGCATCCATCAACTTGTTGGAATTTGCAGGATTGGTCTGTTACAACTCAAAATAAAAAAAGGGCTCTCATCTCATTCCTTCTGCTTTTTTTTTTTTTTCTTTTCTTTTTTCTTTTTCCTCATCTTGCGCTCTTTGTATAAATGTGTGTGTGTTAGGATGTTGAAGTATGTGTACATGTATAGTATGTGTGTATAATTGTGTTTATTTCAGACCTAAGCTTTCTTTAAGCTGACTGTGTATGTACTCGTAAACGTACTGATTCTGTTTGTGTTCTGTGAATTATCATAAACACTTTCTGTTAAACACACACTAAAAAAAGCTGTTTATTCTTCCCATTCCTTTGTCACCTCTTTTCTTTCTTCTTCTTTCTCTCTTCTCATCATCCTCATCCATCCAACTGTCATTTCCTTCGAGAGATCATTTCCCCTTCCACCTCCTTTCATCATCTTGCTCATAAACACGCACGCACCCCTCCCATTCCTCTTACGGTCTTACTCTGTACGCTGACTCTGTGGAAAACAAACACTTTATTCACCTTCCTTTCATTAGAGTTTTGTCCCTGTAATAAATGTTTCTGTAACTGAACAGTCTCTCATTCTCTTCTTTTCTTTATTTACTTTTCTTTTTTTATCATCATCAGTAACTTCATTCTAATCATTCTCTTTTCTCTCCATCTCTTTTATACGCATCCTTTTCCTTTCTCTCTTTCTCTCTTTCTCTCTTCCTCCCTTACTCTCTCACTCTCTCCTTTCCATATATTTATAAATATACTCTTTTCTTCATTCTCTTCATTCTCTTCATTCTCTTACTCCTCTTAACTTTTTTTTTTTCTTTTTTTTTTTTTTCCTTTGCGTTTGTCTCCTCATCAAACCTCATCATTTTCTTTGTCTTTTCTTTTTCAACTCTATTTCTCAAGAACGATCATACTTTCACGTCCCTTTTCATTTGCTCTTGTCTTTTAAACTCTCTCTCTTAACATTGTCACGAATATCCTGCGGCAGTATATCGTTCCTGCACTTTAGTGTGAGCTGCATCTTTATCTGGCCCATCCCTTTCCCATCTATTTGCTTATCACACCCTTCCCATCTTGCCGCGTCAACGGCTCTTCCTCCCTTCCCTCCCCCCCCCCCCCCCCCCTTTCTTCCTCCTTATACTTCTATAGCTCATAATGGCATCCAATTCATCATCCGTACCCTCACCCTCAGGCACTACTACCCGTAAATCCGCTCTCTTGGCCTCATATGGATACCCTTCTCAACCCGGCATGGCCAGAGCCGTTGCCGCTGCTGCTGCCTCTGACAGCAATGGCCCCAACTCTCCTGGCGGTGGTCTCACCGGTCGAAAAGGTTCCATCTCCACTACCCGTAGCAGCCATCGTTACTCACAACTCTACTCGATGGCTGCTGAACAAGATGTCGAAGTTGAGGATGATCTTGCAAAAGGCATGTTCTTTTCTTTCTTTTTTTTTTTTTTTTTTTTTTTTTTTTTAAAAAAAAAAAAAAAAAAAAAGTCTCATTGACCTCTTGATTTGATTGTTCATGTAAGCATCATCTGCAACGTCTAACCGTTTCTTTGTCCTACCCTTTGTCTGTGACTCTTTCAGCCCAGAAGCGACTTCGGGAACTAAAGACAAAAATCTCGACTCAGTCCAAAAAGAACTTTGTGCTCGAGCGAGATGTCCGTTATCTTGACTCTCGTATCGCGCTCTTGATTCAGAATAGGATGGCTATCGCAGAGGCAAGTCTCTCTAACGTCCTTTCTTTTTACCTTTTCTTTTCTTTTCTTTTGCTAACCTCTATCTAATTTTTTTTTTTTTTTTTTTTTTTTTTTTCACTCTTTTTTCTATACTCGTAACGAACGACTTCAATATTTATTTGTATGAAAACAGCAACGTGAAGTAGCAGAACATCTTGAAGAAGCAGATTCATCAGATGGCCTCTTCCCAGACGACCGCAAGCTTCAATCATACGGCAACCTCTTCTTCTTGCTCCAAACGGAACCACGACACATTGCAACTCTCTGTCGCCTGGTCTCCTTGACTGAGATTGATACACTACTGCAGACAGTCATGTTTACCCTCTATGGAAATCAATATGAATCGCGTGAAGAGCATTTACTCTTGACAATGTTCCAGGTATACATCAACAGACAAAAAAACAAAAAGTTTTTATACTTTTGGTGTTTCAAGGGCTCAAATGAACGGAAATGTCCTTTCAAAATGTTGACCAATAGAATTGTTTCATAATATTTCTTACTTTTTTTCTTTTTTTTAGTCGGTGTTGTCCGCTCAATTTGAGACTGCTACTGAGTTTGGATCGCTCCTCCGTGCCAACACACCTGTATCACGCATGATGACAACCTACACCCGGCGTGGACCTGGTCAGAGCTACTTGAAGACAGTCCTTTCAGAAAAGATCAACAACCTGATCGAGCACAAGGAGCTTAACCTGGAAGTGAACCCACTCAAAGTCTATGAGCAGATGATCACACAGATCGAAGAAAACGCCGGAGAGTTGCCGCCACATCTGCCCCGTGGAGTGCCTCCAGAGGTCGCAGCAGCTAATGCAGATGTCCAGGCCATCATTGCACCCCGTCTGAGCATGTTGATGGAGATTGCAAACTCTTTTCTCGACACCATCCTTGAATCAATCGAACAGGTGCCCTACGGAATCCGTTGGATCTGTAAACAAATCCGTAGCTTGACCAAGGTATGTACAAAATATCTAACGTCCGTGCGAACCTTGTCACACTGTTGTCTATTATCAATGACTTTTTTTTTTTTTTTTTTTAAAAAAAAAAGATATTTACTAATTTCTACTGGCCTCCCCCCCCCCCCACATCTGCTGCTTTTCTTCTGTTTTAGCGTAAATATCCAGACGCCACCGACTTTTCAATTTGTTCTCTGATTGGAGGTTTCTTCTTTTTGCGCTTCATCAATCCGGCTATTGTCACACCGCAGGCCTACATGCTCGTCGATGGATTGCCTAGCAAGCACCCGAGAAGAACCCTCACTCTGGTTAGTGCCATTTTCTTTCTAATATTGTTGTGTTGTTATCATCATTTATACTGCCCTTGACTGTTAATAACCAGATGACTAATCAACACTTCATCCTTATTCCTGTTAACTATCTATTTTACTCATAGATTGCCAAAATGCTGCAAAACTTGGCTAACAAGCCATCTTACGCAAAGGAAACCTATATGATGACACTAAACCCATTTGTGGAAAACAACAAGGCGAGAATAAACAAGTTCTTGAATGACCTGTGCGAAGTCGGCGATTTTTACGAAAGTTTGGAGGTAAGGAGCAAGATTTTTTTTTTTTTTTTTTTTTCCTCTTCTCTACTTTCCCTTTCTTTCTTCTTCTTCTTCTTCTTCTTCTTCTTCTTCTTCTCTCTTGCCTCTGAAAAAAAAAAAAAAAAAAAAAAAAAAAAAAAGTTTCACCAAGGATTCTTGGAGTTTATTTGCCGAGCTTTCATATTAAGTAAATTATTCTTATTATCCCTATTTGATCACTCCTGGAATGCTTAGATGGACCAATATATGGCGTTGTCAAAGAGGGAGATTAATCTGCATATTACCCTTAACGAGTTGTTCAACACCCACCATCTCTTGGCTCAACACCGTGATGCTTTGGCACCTCAGGAAAAGCACCACTTGAGAGTTTGCTTGAACGAGCTGGGTGTTGCACCCCCTCAAGTACCCCGCAAAGAAAACAAGACGATTGTACTGCCTCTCTTTAGTCGCTGGGAAACACCTATTCAGGACTTGCATTCAACTTTTTTACAGGAAACCAACATTACTCAAGCCGATATCATGTACATGGAAACAAAATCAATTCTCGTGCAACTGATCCGTTCAATCCCCGGCATCGCTGACAAGAGACCATTAGATCTTATGAAGATTGCAGAGATGGCTGCAACTACAAAGGACGCTATTCTTGTACGTAAGGGCATCAAGGTCAAGGAAATGCTGATTGAACTCGAGACATTAAATGTGGTGGATGACCACTTCACTTTTATGACGGAAGAGGTCACTGAGGAATTGAGGCATTTGGGAAATCTGCGAGAGAAGGTCAATGAGGAGGCAGCAAGTTTGGAGAGCGTATACAAGACTATTGGCGATCACAACAATTATCTTCGGAGCCAACTGGATTCCTACAAGGCATATCTGCAAAATGTGCGTATGCAGAATGGTGGTGGTGGCCAGGGTTCCGGTGTCGGTGTAGTCACGGTCGGTGGTAAAGAGGCCAAGAAGGGTAAACAACAAGTCCTTGGACCATTCAAGTTTACGCACCATCAGTTGGAGAAGGATGGTGTGATTGCAGAGAGCAACGTACCAGAAAATAGGTATAAGCCTTTTTAATTTTTTTTTTTTTTTTTTTTTTGTCAGAGTACTGTTTTGTTGACGAAGCTTCTATTGAACGTGTTATACTAACCTGGGCTCTGTTTTGTACGTTTTATTGAACCGTTCCATTATTTAGACGGAGTAATATCTTTTTCAACATCACCTCACCTATTCCTGGTACGTTCATCATTGCTCTCCATTATAAGGGTCGAGATAAAGCTATACTCGAGATGGACTTGAAGCTGGACGATTTATTAGAGAAGGTAAAGGGAGATGTTTGATATTTGAATTTTATTTATCACGCCTCATTTTTTTTTTTCTTCCTTTATTCTAATCCGTGTTTGTCGCTCTGTATGTATCTTCCAAATAGCAACAAGACCAAGTCCAACTGCTCGATCTTGAATATGTTCATTTCAACGTTAACAAGATCCTCGCATTGCTGACAAAGACATTTATCAAACGCTAATTGTGATAATGTGATTTTGTACTTTTTCAGAGAAAAAAAAAAAAAAAAAAAAAAAGAAGAAAAAAAAGAAAAGACCACTTAATAAACCAATGCCAGTCCTGTGCAAAAGCAGGCAGGGACATATAAGCATTATATTTATTCCTGTTCCTTGTGAAAGGGAGAATCATTCAAATAAGCCGTTTTCTTTCCTCTCTCCTTTCTATTTTTCAAAGATACTTTCCTCTTCCTTCACTTTTTACACTCACTGGCTAGAATCCTCTTAAAAAAAAAAAAAAAAAAAAAAAAAAAAAAAAAAAAAGAAAGCAAGAAAGAAAAGAAAAGAAAACTATTGGTAACGCCAGAGGTTTATTCAAATGAGATCTTTGATACTACTTATCAATGTTGCCATGGCGGCCATGGCGCTTGCAAGTGAGCCTTCAAAGGCTTCAGGCGATCAGGGATCGCTGACAACGGCTCCACAGCAACATAAAGTAGAGTATCCTCACATTGAAGGCATTGGCTCTGCAGTGACAAAAAAAGAAGACCTATCAATGGGCTATGTGTTTGATTTATCAAAGAAATCTACTCGTGGATATGATGAGAATGGACGACAAGAAGTCGTCAATGTTGGTCCAGGGATGACATCAACAATCGAAGGCCAAATTAAATCTAGCGCCGGACGTCGCGGTCGACAGCGTGGAGCAATTCTGCCCAACAAGTACATTGTGCGACTGAAGAGTGGGGCGGATTTTTCATCTGGTAAGTTTTCTCCTGTATAGTTTTTCAGAACAAGTGAAATTCATTCGTGGGGAGAGAGAAAACAGTTTGTTGATCTTCATTCTTCATTTAGAATGCAAGTAAAACTCCAACATCTTTCAGTGTAGAGCTCTCAAACTATGGCTCTCTCTCTCTCCCCCACACACTCCCTTTTTTTTCCTCTATTCTTTTCCTCTCCTTCTTCTAGTTCAGCGCTCAACTCGAGAATGTACACTCCTTGAAAACATTTTGCTATTTCTATTCCTGACCACCCTCATCTGATTCCCGAAACCTCCTAAAAAAATTTTTTTTTTTAGTCAATCTCCGTTCCAAGATCGCTGAACGTAATCGATCGATCAAAGTTCAACCCAATGAGCATGAGGCCAAACAGCAAGATAGTCAACAACATGAGAATCAGGACATGATCCCTAACCAGGTTGATCACGAGTATGACTTTGGGAGTTGGAAAGGATATGCAGGACAATTTTCTTTAGATTTGCTGAAAGAGCTTGAATCACATAATGATGTTGAGTATATTGAGGAGGACACGATGGTATGGGCATGGGGAATGGAGAGCGAGTCGGTTGAACAAGGCCAGGAGCAAGGAGGGAGCCAAAGCAGTAAAGGCAAGAACGAGACGGATTCGGTCTTGCTTGATGAATCAAGGGTTGAATTGAGCATTGGCCACGAGAATGAAGCTAATTTTAAGGCTACTGCTCCTCCGCGGTTAAAATATCTTTCGGCCAAGGCACCAAGTTGGGGCCTCACCAGGATCTCACAGAGAATATTGGATCTGAAAAAGGACTATAGTTACGCTTCAACCGCTGGGTAAGATTTATTTTTATTTATTATTATTATTATTATTATTATTATTGAGTGATGATATCACCCTTCTCGCCCTTGTCACAAAAGAGGGGGAGGAGGATGATGGCAACAAAGTTAATTAGCAACAAGCTTAATTAAATTGGGGTCACTCCTTTTGGCTGCATCAGTGCTGGCGTAGATGTTTATGTCATTGACTCTGGAGTTTACAAAGATCATTCAGATTTTGAGAGCCGTGCCACCAGTCTTGCTAACTTTGTTGCTGGTGAAGAAGAAACTGATACGTGCGGTCATGGTATGTATATTTGTAATGTGCCCCTCAGTCACAATGGTGTTGCAAGACTTGATTCTCATAAAGCTGATTTATTTTATTTTATTTTATTTTATTTAATTTTTAATACTGTAAAGGTACACATGTTGCTGGAATTATTGCAGGCCGTCAATTTGGAGTAGCCAAGGCAGCAAACATTTATGCGATCAAAGTACTTAATTCCTCAGGCCAAGGATCAACGTCTCAAGTCCTTGCTGGTATCAACCACATGGTTCGTCATGCGAGCAAGGATCCCAGCCGTAAGAAGGTCGTCAACATGTCATTAGGTGGAACGTATTCAAAGACTCTGAATGAGGCTGTTAGTGCTGCGGTTTTGGAACACAATCTCCCTTTCTTTGTGGCTGCAGGCAACACTGGGGATGATGCATGTCGGTATTCGCCTGCGGCTGCACCCGAGGCTTTTCCAGTTGGGGGATCTGATAATACTGATCAGATAGGATGGTACAGTTGTGTAGGTCCATGTGTCAAAATCTTTGCTCCCGGATCTGGCATCGTTTCAGACTGGAATCGCCCTGGATCTGCGAAAATTATGGATGGAACTAGGTATGAAAACTTTTTTTTCTTTTTTTTTTTTTTTTTACCAATTCATGGTTGACTGAAACTTATTATTTTTACTATTATCATTATGTATTGGTTACGTAGTATGGCAGCGCCACATGTGGCAGGTGTGGCAGCGCTGTTTTTGAGCTCAGGAAATAAGTATACGAAAGCCAAGGATTTATATGCGGATATACTCCGTTATGCCACTCCAAAAATTATTAGAGGCCCGTTTGGGGCTGACGATAGGACGACTCAAAGCCTATTGTATAACAAGATGGAGGATGTTGTTAAGGGTGCACGCAAAGGTGCGCGCAAAGGCAGGAAGAACAAACATTAGGGACAGAATTGGGAGGATAGGAAAGGAGAGGTAAACGATTGAATAAATGGGGACTAGCACTTTTGAGACGCGTCTTTTTTTTTTTTGATGTTTGTCCTATGGAATTTTGAGCATCATCACGTGCTGTAGATATTAATGTACATGTTGTACGTGGGCTTCTCCGCTCTCGACATTCATTTCATGTTCCCTCGTAAATGATAAATGAACGCATGAAATAATAAAAAAAAAAAAAACGGTTCACTGGAACAATAGACTTTCTTTCCAACTTCCATCCCATCCTCCCTCCACTGTCTCTAATCTTCACGCGCATCAACAAACACAAACGGATTCAGTTTTATAACTTTATTTTTATTTTACATTCCCTTTCTTCACTCTCACTTTTCGTTTCTTGTAATTAGTATTCTTTTCTTTCCTCCAACTCTTGTGACCTTACCTAGTCTCATCACTCATCATCCTTCTATTGCAAAGCCAATCAACCCTCACTTACTCTTTCTCTCTTTCTTTCTCTCCCTCCCTCTCCTTTCCTTCCTATCCTCCTCTCTTCTTTTACTGTTATTTTATTTTTAAAAAAAAACCCCCTCCCTACACACCACACACACCTGTTCGACCATAGTTTTATTTATATACTCACGCATAACACACCGGCATACCGCAGTCTTTTCTTTTCTTTTCTTTTCTTTTTTTTTTTTTTTTTTTTCCTGCGGCTAGTTTCTTTTGTAAACTACTTTTGACTTTAAGTTTTTTTCTCTTGCGATGGAGAACTATCGGTTTCAACAACAAGAACAGCAAGAATCACAACCACAAGTACAGCAACAAGAACGACAACAAGGGCAACAGCAACAACAATCAAACGAGCTTGTTCACTGCTTCTGGGCTTTGATGACCTATGGTGACTTACGCTTCATCTATCTTTCCTCTTCAGTACAACGTGCGGTCTCTGCAAAATACAAACAACTACTTGGTAAATCCTTCTTCGATTATATCCATCCTGATGAAGCCAAGCTAGCCCGAAAAGATCTCAACGCCTTCATGGACGTCCACAATCTCTACGGCAGTGTTACTCGGTAATTTTCTTACTTTTTTTTTTTTTTTTTTTTTTTTTTTTTCCTTCCAACTTGCAAGACCCTCTGTCTAGAGATTGTTCACTCCCAACCTTTGAATACGTAATTTTTTTTTCTTTTTTTGAGGAGAGGAGGAGGAGGATTGGATGTTTAGTTTGATCCAGGCTGATTTTCTATTCTTCTTTTTGGCCCAACCTCCTTTTTTTTCTTAGTATGTCCATTGCCCTTATCATTATATTTGCTTGCTAATCAAACGATGAAATAATTTCTTCCGCCTTCCATTTGTTTCGTAGCTGTCGCTTCCAAAATGTTTGTCCAGAATGGGAACAGAGAAAGCACTCACGAAAGTCTTCGTCCAAAGGCGCAAATAAGGATATGTACTCAAATGACATGGACATCATGGCGCAGACATTGCCTGAAAACCCTGGAGTTAATCACTTGGAGAATAATAATGAGTCGAATACCATGTCAAATGGAGCATCAACATCACACAATGGATTTCTATCAGAGGACCGTCGCAAGGACTACGAGGATGCATTTCAGAATGGCGAGGAGAATGACTACATGATTCTGGATGTCGTCATGAATGTTGTCAGTGATGAAGTTGTTCTAGGCTTTTTTCATATAGATGGGCGTAAGTAACGTGAAAAAAAAAGCCCACAATACAGTCGAACCGCTTTTTTGTTCTTGTTCCTAACGTTTTTTTTTTTTTTTTTTTTTTTTTTTAAATTGCTCATAGAGGGACTTTACAAAGGCTTTTGGTCCAACGGTATTTGCGGCGAATCCAAGGAATCGTTGCCAGTACGTATACAGCGCAATGCTCTTTGTCAACCTGCTATGACCACCTTGACTCCATGCATAAAATAAAGCTAAACAGAGAATAAAATTTGGCAATCAATAGACTTTGGCACCAGAGATTTTACGACACCTGCGGGACTCTATGAGTGTCATGAACGGAGTTGAAAAATCGACCAATGCAAATCCATCTTCACCAGAACGTCGGCATCGTCGTCAAAACAACGACAATGGGACAAAACGGATCTTTCAAATCTATGATGCACAAAACAGAAACTTGCTCTTGACATGGCCAGAACCAGGGAATTTGACTGAGACAGGCGCTCTGACTTATAGCCCCGAGCTCTATACCCAAATTGTAAAGTCTCATCATATTCCTGCAGATGCTCTTGAAAACACAACATGCTTAAAGCGCTTTTGCTCTAAGCATGCTCTTCCTAGCTTGGGCCCCTCTAATCAGGAGCCGGCCTTTCAAGTAGAGTCAGTCTTTATCCCATATGGATACATTATCTTTGCCTGTTTTCAGACTTCGCCCGTTGTTCCACCCAACACTTGGACGACAACAGCTTCACCAACTTCCTCCACAATGACACATCAGGGATCTCATACAACAGCCACCTCGCCAGGACTACGAACATATGGATCAGGTTATGAGGTGACAGGATCAAGTGATCATCCTACCAGCATCAGGACGATACCATCTCCAGGGACCGCAAACTCTGCTATGCTTAGTAGCACTAGTGGATCGCCCCCATCTGCACTGAATTCTCCACTTGTGATCCCATCTTTGCCAACGCTTTCTCCATTTTTAAAACATGCTGTGGCGTCTAGTCCATCTCAGACGGGGCCTATCAGGAACTCCAAAAATTCAACAAGCAATCAATCTTCTTCGTTTCACCCTTATTCCAGGAACACAGGTCTTTCTACCAATTCCTCGGCCTCGTCCTCGCCTTCTAGTTTGCCATTACCAGAGTCGATGCAGGAGTCTCTTAGCTTTCTGAACGATTATAAAGTGGGCGACTCTGACCGAGGTCGAGATTTATCAGCAGAAGAGCGATTAGCCCTGGGATTGAGAGAAGGCTCGCCACATTCGATGTGGCACGCTTCTACACCGCATCCAGCCATTGCAGCAATGGTTGGTCACGCCCTCGCCCCATCGTCTCCTTCATTCCAGCGCACAGTCAACAATCCAGACAGCAGATTATCACAGACTCGTCAAAAGACATCGGGTCTTTCAGCTCCAGCGGAAGTGTATGGATCGAGTAAGGATAAGGATGGAAAGCTACGAAAGTTGCCTCCGTCTCCTCGGCACCCTGCACTTGATGCTGCAATACGTAAAAAGTCATCATCTGCATCCTCCTCCTCCCCACCAACGTCCTATCAGGAAGCGGACACGGCTGAATCCGGAACACGATCAGGACATGGTAATAGTCATGTTTTGCGAGTGCAACAGGAGGAGAAGTCATGTGAAAGCTGCGGAACCACCAACTCTCCTGAATGGCGTAGGGGACAATCCGGCAAGAAGGATCTGTGTAATGCATGTGGTTTGAGGTACTCTCGAAGTGTAGCGCGCCAGAACAGACAGGCTCAGAAGCAATTGGAGGGCAAAGGCCCAAAGGCAAAGGTAGTCAAGAGCGGTAAGGCCGCGAAATCAAGTCCCAAGAAAGGTGTCTCAGCAGAGCCATCTAGTATAGGATCAGTTATGGATGATACCATGCTACATCCCAACACAAATTTTATGCAGGACAGTGCTCAGCATTCACAACAAAACCAACAGATCCAACATACACAAGCGTCGCAGTTGACTCATGCATATCCATCTGAGCCAGGTATAGGATCCATATATTCCCTCGCTGTAAAACCATCGTTTTATCATGGGCAATAAATCCCATCTGCTTATTGCCTAGAATTTCGTCAAGCATTCATGTAGTGTCAATAAAATGTATTCTATTCATTCTATTCGTCCCACTCTTCCTATTGACAAAGCCACTCAGCTTTTTTATGATATAATATTATATAATACAATATATATATACAATAATATTGTCTAATGGAAGGCGTTAACATGATGTCAATTCTTTGTCAAGATCAGCTCGACCCATTTTCATTGTCACATCCACTGTTTCATTTCGAGTGTTTCGATCCCTTACCTCAGTAGAGTTTTGTCTTTTTTTTTTTTTTTTTCTTTTTTTTACTTTTTATCAACTTTACTGAAGATAGCTTTTATTTTATTTTATTCTATCTTATAATGTCTACCCGTTCGTCGCCAGAACCAATTGTCCAGAGTCCACCGAACGGTCTATCCATAGAAGATAAACAAGATAATGATGAGGAGGCCGAAGTCGAGTTTCTGCATACGCCTTCTCCCTCAATTCTCTGTCCAGTGTAAGCAGGGAAAAAAATAAAAAATAAAAAATAATAATAATAAAAAAAAAAATAAAAAAATAAAAAAGGAGAATCGAATGTCCAATTTCAGTGAAAATAAAGACAGGCTGACAGAATGACAGTGTTATTAGATTGACAGGTTGACAGGTTGACAGGTTGATAGGTCGACGTTAACGTGGTCATTATTTTTTTTTATTTTTTATTTTTTTTTTTGCTTTAGTTGCCATGAGGTTTGTCGAGAGCCAGTGATTACCAATGGATGTAATCACTCTTACTGTGCATCATGTATCTATCACAGCATTGAAATCGAACCATTTTGTCCGCTTTGCCGGTCTCGTATCAAGATTGAAGGTAAAAAAAGAAAAAAAACCCCCCAAAAAAAAAAAAAAAAAAAAAGGAATAGAAAATGATTCATGTTCATAATATTTTTTTTTTTTTTTTTTTTTTTTTTTTTTGTAAATTTTCCTCTTCAGATTTGCACCCAAATCTCGCTTTGGCTGGATTGATTTCTGAACTTCTTGTCTATTGTACCAATAAAAAGTATGGGTGTCCTCAGATTGTTCGTCAGGACGCACTTCACGGACATGTTCTCTATTGCTCCTATGCACCTTCTGTCTGTCCTAATAAAGCTCTAGGATGTCCATATAAAGGTGAGTAGTTTTTTTTTTTTTTTTTTTTTTTTTATTTATATTTTTTATATTTTTATGTTCCTTTCCTTTACTAATCTCTTGTTTCTCAAATCAAACTTAGGAACAATGCGCGATGCTAGAGATCATTTACAAAATTGTGTTTACGAGCGTTTTAAAGGATACATTGAATCGACAAACAAACGTTTTGAGAAGCTTGAATCGTTAATAGCGGTATTGTAATTTTTTTGAAGGGATTTTTTTTAGCTTCTTATGGAGTATACATGTGGCATTTCCATCATCATTATTGTCGCAAAAGCTTATTATTATTTTATTATTATTATTATTATTTTTTTAATAGAACCAGGCAAGGGATATTGAAAAGCTTCAGCGGATCATCAGAACAGGAAAAGGCACTGCTTTTGCTTCAGAGAACAATACAAAAGACAGTTCATTATCGCCTTCATCATCTTCATCATTAATCACCGAAGGCACAGATGGAATCCACAGACGCGGTTCCTCTTCAGGTTCAACTCTGGGTGATACAAGACGAACTATTGTCTCTACGTTTCCTCATGATGAAATTACTTGCCACAGAACAATTGCGAGTCATCCCTGTGGTGTGACAAGTGTAGCAGTCAATCATGACAGAGTGTTTGCAGGAGCACATGATGGTAGCACAAAAGTATTCGACATCAACACGGGCCAGCTTTTGAAGGACAGCAAAGGACACACGATGTCTGTATGGGGTTTAGCAGTGATGCCATCGGGTGATCGTTACTTTAGTGCAGGGTCTGATGGGACGATCAAGGTTTGGGATTGGCTCAAGGAGGATGAAGAGTCCTGTCTCGTTCGAACTATACCCGATCATCATGCCAAGATCTATGGTCTAGTGATCTATCAAGGACGACTCTATTCGGCTTCTTCAGACAAGACAGTCAAGGTCTGGGATACAGAGACACTTGAATGCCTGGCAACGTTCCAGGGCCATACTGGAGGGGTGAATAGTTTAGCAGCATTGACGGAGGCGAGTGCGAATCAACTGGTCACGGGATCATCTGACAAGACCATCAAGTTATGGGATGTGACGACAGGAACGTGTTTAAAGACTGTCCGTCGTGGAACAAGCGAGGTGTTGGATGTGGCAGTAGGGGATGGGATGTTGTTTGGAAGCACCTATGATGCAGTAATTCATGTGTATGATTTGAATGAGACAAAAGAACTAGGAACATTGAGTGGACATAATTGGGAAGTTTGGCAACTCGAGTATGGACAGGGGCATTTGTTCAGTGGTAGTTTTGATCATACTATCAAGCGATGGGATCCACGTCGGTTCCAATGCGATCTCACATTGAAGGGTCATAAGAGTAAGAGAGCAAGAGCAAACAACTTGAGAAATGAAAAGAAAAAAGAAAAAAAAAAAAAGGCTGTTTGGAAACCAATTTTGTTGATTAGTACTATTCTCCTCTTTCTCTAGGTTTCGTGCATGGAATGGCTCTCGCGGAGGATTGCCTTGTAACAGGGTGTGCAGATCGCACGATCAAGGTATAAAAGATTTTTTTTAAAAAAAAAAAAAACAAAAAAAAAAAATCTTTATGGGTATCACTTTTACTTTCTAATCACTCATCCATGACATTTCATTCATTCTTTCTCTTTCTCTCTTGCTAGATCTGGCGATAAATTTGCTGGAAGCTGAAAAAAAAAAAAAAAAACAAAAAAAAAAAAAAAAAAAAAAAAAAAATAATAATAAAAATAAATAAAATAAAATAAATAAAAAAAACCTCAAGTCTGTCTACAAAAAAAAAAAAAAAAAAAAAAAAGAGTAATTGACTTGGATTCCTTTCTGACTAGTTTTTCAAAGGAGTAGCAATGCTATTCTGAGTTGGTTTGATCTTTTCCTCATTGTCCTCACGCCGGGATGCAACCAATTTAAGCTTTGTATCGTATCCATGTTTCTGGAGATCTTTCCATGTCTCCTGAGGCTCACTGGATGTCTGAAGATTGTACATTTGTAAAAATCCTTTGAGTGTCAACTGGCCCTTATCATCCAAATCAAGAAATTCTTTGATCTCAGTGCGAGTGTCTTCGTCAAACTAGAAGGAGAGGATTTAGGATAGGGATTTAAAAAAAAAAAAAAACACAAGATCCTTGTCACTGGATATAAAAATAAAAATTATAAACATCAAAAGGTAACAGTTTATACTCACCACATCACCATTAGTGTCCTTGGCAAACGCGTCCAGCTCTTTGTTACTCAATGCGCCATCTAATATGATGGTAGGCATCACATGAAAAAAAAAAAAAAAAAAAAAAAAAAAAAAAAAAGCTCTGTGTTTTAGACAAGGTAAGGCGATATTTCCAAAAATACACATACAAAAAAGAGACACTTGTATGACCGACCAGATTAGATTGGTAGATCTTTTTACTTGTCTTGTTACCTTTGTCCGAGTCATATTTTTTGAAAATAGCCTAAAATATGTCCGCGACAGGGTTTACGGAAAAAATACATGGACGAGTCAAAAAGCAAAGTAGGAAAATAAAAAATAAAGAAAAAGTCATTCATGATGAGTGTCGGAGTGTGGAGAGTAATTTTTTTTTTTTTTTTTTTTTTTTTGAATCCGAACATGGTTGTAAATGACTAAGAACATACCACGAGTGCATCTTCACATTCTTGAGTTAATGCACCATCCTCATCGACCAGTGTAGGTGGAGTGACCAGAGGCATGATTATAAATGCGTTAAAGTGTAAATCAGAGAGAGAAAGAGAGAGAGGAAAAGAGAGGGAGTGGGAAGGAGAAGTGAAAAGTAAAGTAAAAAGTTTATGGATACACGAAAAAAGAAAATCCCAAAGAGTGTAACAAGAAGTTTGTGTGTGAAATGCGGCTGTGTGGAAAAGGGAAAAGACACCCCTTAATCCAGTCTTTTTTTTTTTTTTTTTTTTTTTTTCCTGCATTTACCTTGTTTGGTCGACATTGAATGGGAGACTCCTCCAACATCTCACACACACCCTACTCACTACCACTACCATTCTCTTTCTCTTCTCTTTCCTCACTCCCCTCTCAAGAAAGAAAAAAACGACCAAAAAAATTAAAAAAAAAAAAGAATAAAAAAGTAAAATAAAAAATTAGAAACAGGTACATTAAAACAATCATTCTTTTTGAACTACGTTACATTAGAACAGGAACAGAACAGCCTCTTTAAAAAAAAAAACAGGGCTAGTAGATTTGAATTGTAACCAAGGAAAAAAAAAAAAAAAAAAAAAAAAGCTCTACACCACCACCTTCCTCGGATCTGCTTTAGCAGGAAATGTAGTTTATGCATTTCAGCTTCAGCTTAAGGAAGGACTGGGGAGAACGTGAGAGAAGTATAACAACGACTCTGTCAATAATGAAAAGTCAATATTACAGTTGCCGGAAAAAAAAAAAGAAAAAAAAAAAAAAAAAAAAGCTCTTGCTTTATCGTAATTCACCCTTGTTGGTTTTTTGCATCAACAAACTGCTCAAATTCCACAACGATACATTATTACAACCAAAAACAACACTTGTGGATTAATATGATTGTGAAAAAAAAAAAAAAAAAAAAAAAAAAAGCCTGCTTCTGATCCCGGTTCCTTAAGACAGTAGAATTACTGCTTGAGAAAGGGAAAAGGAAAAAAAAAAAAAAAAAGGCTTTCAACAACTAATAAGGCAGCCTTTTTACTAAAGGTTCCTTCTTTTTTCTATCTTAAAAAAAAAAAAAAAAAAATTCGCGTCTTCCAAGTTGAATTTACAATGTCCGTGGACGGTAGGACGCCTTCAGGCGCAACTATTGATCAGGAACAGCTAGATCAGAGACTCACGAAGCTTATTATGGATCATAACAGTTATCGGACAGCACTATTTCGCTATATTCGTCGGTGTCTTGCGCTGTGCAAGTGGTACGTCGATCAGGACTATCCATCATTTTTTTGGCAATTCGATAGAACGGACAGGCTGGCCAGTCTAGTGCTACATATTCGTGACCATGCGCTTCAGTCATTCCAGATCGTTGATCGCATAGGGACATCCTTATTAAATCAGGTCGACATCTTACTTGCTAGAGGTACCATGCCTCTTGCCTCCGGATCGCCTCTTGCAGGAGGAATGTCTCCTTGTAGAACAGGACCCAATGGGCTAAGAAATCACTCCAATCTAAACGGCCACCACGACCAGGGGCATGGCGTTGGGACCAGGGCGTCAGGGGGCAGCATGTTTAATAACAATCGACTATTGTTCTTAGCAGGCGAAATGAAGGAAGCAATCAGATTCTGGCGTGAGCAGTGCCTGTGTGCTCAGTCGATGGAACCAAAGGTCTTTGAACTGGATCGGATCGCAGAGATACGATATCTAGCATTGACAGGTGATGGATCAACGATTGATGAAAAGGCGCGAGCGCTAAGGATTTCCTGCGAACAGGCACGCCTTGTGACCGACGATGTGGAGCCTTTTATGGACCAATGGTTGGGAAAGCTCTCCGTTGTTGATAGACCCAAAGAAGAATCGGCAGCGATACCACCAGCAGTACATGGACATATGCCAGGAGGGTATGCACCCCCCCCTCCTCCTCCTCCTCCTCCTACCCACGCTGGTCCGGGGGTTATAGGGGCTGCAGTTGGGGCTGTACCAGCAGCAATAGGAGGACACATCCATCATGGCCTGTCGCTTGATCACCGTTCAATGTCCAACCATAATATGGAATCACCTGCAACATACTCTAGTCAGCCTTGGGGCCAAGGGGCCTCATAGGAATTGAAACAACAGTTTAAGCTTTTTACTTGCGTTTTTTTTTTTTTTTTTTTTTATTTTTTTTCGCAATTTCTGTCTCTTTTCTTGCTTATGCACATATCTGTCATATTGAATTCATCATTCTTATTATTACTACTATTATTACTACTATTATTACTACTACTCTTGTAAATAGTGCAAATAAAATCATACAATAATACGTAATGAGAAATAGTGGCCCTCACCACAGTATGTTTGTAAAATAATTTGAAAAGGCGGTAGCGAGGATTTCATGTAATGGACAAATAAATAAAATTGCTTTCGGGTGGCTGTGCATTACAGTTCAATTCCAAAAGTCCAGTTATTTATATTTAATTAAAGTCGTTAAGCACTCTTGTTCCTGCTGCATCTCACTCCCATCACTTTTTTCTTGAAATAATCTTCACCATCATGACTCAATCCTGTCTTAGGGAAACCAGCTTAGGGGCCTTCGGCGTCTTACCTGATGAGTTGATAATAGAATATATCCTTTCGTACCTAGCATCCAAGGTAAGTGCCTTTTACTGCACTGCACCCATGACCATGTTATATTATCATATACAGTTCTTAGTTTAAGTAACCCAACATCCTAAACTTTTAGGACCTTTGCAAACTATCTCAAGTATCACGATTTCTCCACGTTTTTTCCAGAAATGACCTTTTATGGCGTAGATTATTCTTTGCGGACCGAAATCGCAAGAAGACGAGAATTGTCTATCGTGGCAATTGGCTCCTTACCTACTTGTTTCCGGATCCTGAGCATGACGCAGCATGCGCTGCTCATCCTCTCGTCACTCAGCCCGCCCAAGTTCAAGGTATAGAGCTGCAATGGCTATTCTCTTTTATAATGAGAAATATGCTCTCTAAGTTGGTTAGGGATATGCTTATTATGTTTGAAGTATAATAGTTTCTTTACAACATCTCTTCTTCCTCTCAATTCCTGTTCATAGGCGTCATGTCGGATTACCTCCATCGTCAGTGGGTCAGGAGCACTATGTTCTTTGGCCATTTCTATCCTCCACCTTCCCTGCCTCCAGTGCATACCATAAGTCAAAAACGACCTGTCAACCTCACCATCCCTGTTGAAGATTACCAGAGCTTGGACCTAACAACCTTTTACCAAAAATACGCTTATCCAAAAAAACCTGTAATGTTCCGAAACTCGGGAGTAGAATCATGGCCTGCATGGAAAGACTGGACTCTGGATTCTCTCACAGCAAAGGTCAGTGTTTTATTATTATTATTATTGAGAACATAAATATGAGACATTTGCCTAACAATGACTATGCCTATTCTCACATACGCAGTATGGAGATACACTATTCCGAGTGGCGAACATTGACAGTGATGTGGAGCCTTCATTCGAGCTCAGCTTCAAGGATTTCCTACATTATCTGAAGTATAATAAGGATCAAGATCCACTCTACTTATTTGATCCGCGTTTCGCGGACACTGTCCCAGAGATGGCAACAGCGTACAAAGTATGTTTATATTTAAAAAGTATCTTTCGCAGCTCTCGAAAGTAATGCAAGATGTAAAACTTTGAAAAAAAAAAAAAAAAAAAAAAAAAAAGCATTTTAAATAACCTATTTACGCATATTACGCATAATCATTATGAGAAAAGGTACCCAAGTATTTCGAAACTGATTTTTTCTCAGTGTTGGAAGAAGATGATCGACCACCCTATCGATGGATCCTTATTGGACCGCAACGAACTGGAGCTTCTTGGCATATAGATCCTTCAGGAACTTCAGGTAACTTTTTTGTCATTGTTGTTTTCAATTTGTTTTGCTGTTGTGTCCGAATGTATGAATCTAATACCCAATACTTTTTCTTTTGTACATTGAAATTAGCTTGGAATACTCTACTCTCAGGTCACAAGCGTTGGGCTTTGTAAATTTACGACTGTGTTTAAGCTCGACGTTTTTTTATTTTTATTTTTTTTTATGTCGATTCTAAACTTATTGACTTTCGTAATATTTATATCACTATGTTAGATACCCTCCCTATATGATACCTCCAGGCCATGACCCCACATCCCCAAAGCGCATGACTTCTGTGGAGTGGTACCTTGATATCTACCCTTTTCTGCATCCCGACATGCGACCTTTGGAAATTGTTCAACATCCAGGGTAATTCGAGAACCTTTATGTCATTTACAACACCACCATACCATGCCTTGCTCATCTTTTTTTTTTTTTTTTTTTTTTTTTAATTTGAAAAAAAAAAAAAAGGCAAACTATCTATGTTCCTTCAGGTTGGTGGCATTTGGTCCTCAATATGGACGATACTGTCGCTGTCACCCAAAATTTTGCGGACGAGACTAACATTATGGAAGTGAAACATGCATTGCTTGCTGACAAGAGCGAGACTACACAGGTAAAAAATATAAAATACTCTATTGACTTTCCAGTTGTCTTTGGCAATAAATGTATAACCAGCAATATGGCTTTTTTTTTTTTTTTTTTTTTTTTTTTTTTTTTTTTTTTTTAGCTCCACCGATGGGAGGTTTTAACGCGCGAAATCCCAAAGCGATGGCCAGATCTTACCCCTGTTATGGTAGCCTCCCCTGACGAACTTCTACTAGCCAAACTTCAACAGCAGTCAAGTTGGATTGACCCAAATGCGGCTGAGCTTTCACTTGAATGGCAACAACGTGCAAAACAAGTTTTTACTCCATTTGCAGACGGTTCTGATCTAGGAAACATTACTCAAATCCACGCTGGACAAAATATGGTATGTTTAATTTTTCTTTTCTTTTCTAGTCTTATCAGATTTTATATCCTATATATCTTGTTAATCAAATTGCACAATGGTATCATTCCCGATTATAGTGCTTCTTGTCCAAGGTTGGGTTTGTAAAGTTTTTCATGCCATCCCATGACGGCCACACTAGCTTCGTTTCAGAAGTCAAAGCAAACCAGATCCTCCTTGCTTCGGCAGAACAAAAGGTTCAGGATTGTGCTTATCTCCTTTCGATACCAAGGATGCTGAAATATGGCTACTTTCTAGACGCTCAACAAGTTAAGATATCAGACTGGCGGTGGCCATATATCATCACGGAGGTTGAAAATCCTTCAAAGACCAATATTCCTTCCGCGGTACCACTTAAATCTACACCTGCAGCATCATTGGTGTCAGCAAGTGACTTTATGCCAGAAGATGAATCCGGTTACGAAATTCTATTATCACCAATTTTAAACTCATTGAGATGTAAGTGAAATCTTTCACAAGATATCAAGTCCTTTTCCCATATCTTTCATGTGGACGCCTTTTTTTTTTTCTCATTTTTTATTCACACTTTGCATTTCTGATAGACCTCCACACGTTAGACAGAGCATTGTTGGAGAAGCTGCCTGATCTCCAACCTTATGATAGCACTCGAAGGTCGACAAGTTATTTGGCTAATTGTTTAGAATCAGCTACTTTGAACCACCTGCGCTGGAGAGTCTTCCCAAAACATCTTTTGGAACTCCTTCCAAAGTATTTGCCTAAAGATGCAGCCGAGGTGTTTGATCCTATCACATATGGTCATATTACAGCTACATTAATTCACGGCGATATCAATCCAAGTAACATTTTGGGTTATCTGGACGAAGATGGAAATGAGGATGAAGATGAGGTTCGAGATAGGGATGAACCAGACGAGGTGAAAGAACATGAGGCCCAGGCCTATGGACGGGCCCCATTATTCAGACCAACGTCCTTGATTGACTTTGGGGATGCAGTCTTTGAAAGTGACCCATTAATCGATATTATTTCAGTGTTCATCACCATTGTCGACTGCCAACAGGACAAGAAACTTTGTTCAAGATTGCTGGACTACTGGAGGGAATTGACAAAATCATCCTCGTACTCAGGTTCTGCAGGGACAAAGCTGGCTAGAAGATGTATGTGGCATGTCCTTCTATGGCCCGGTGACGGACTGAGTACACATCTTGTTAGATGTATGCCAGAGATTGGGACGATGTTAACATGGGAACAGGTAGAGGAAGAAGTCTTTGGATGGTGGAAAGACGCTCATGTTGAAGGTTGATACAGGAAATATAGGAGATATACCATTTTTTTTTAAGCAAGCCTATTACACAAATTGTTCGATTCAATGTTCCGTTTGTCCTGAATATTCAATTATGCACAATAAAAAAGTATTCCTTGAAATATAACTTTATGGCACATGGTGATGTATGAACAGATGATGCAGCTGCAACGCTATCATATTTTGTTTCCTTCTCCTGTTTCCCCTCCATTTCCCTGCATCTAAGCAACTTTGCCGCTCTATGACAATACAACAAGAGAAAAAAAAAAAAAAAAAAAAAAAAAAAACAAGTAATATTATTAGCGTAAATGAGTGAAAGCACCCTTTTGAAACTATCAAATTATTTGAATGAAAGAGAAGTGATACTTACGACCAATAAACCAACAATCAAACCAAAGAGACCAACGATACTTCCGAAAATTTCAATGACCAATACTTTGACAAAGAGCTGTCCATCATGAGCGTCCGCCAAGGCAGCGCTGCTTCCAGTAATACCCACAGAAACGCCACAAACCAAGTTGCACAGTCCGGTCGTCAATCCAGCCCAGAACAAAGCAAATCCTATTCATATATCCAACGGGTGTAAATACCAGACCTTCAATGTAAATTGGTAATTTTGTAAATTACTTTTTTTTTTTTTTTTTTTTTTTTTTTTTTACCTTTATAATACGTCTCTGAAGAGGTAATAGTCGCGTCCTGCACGTCGTTAAGCTTGCCTGTAAAGACGATTGCCATGATGAGACCGTAAATAGCAACAACCTCGCAAAAGATAATACTGAGATAGATTGATCACACATACATACACCACGTCACTCAAGGTCAGTTGACAGATTGTTATTAGCGGGTAGAAAAAAAAAAGGGGGAGGGGGAGATAATCAGATGTGTACAGACTGGCTCTATGCTCAAAGTGATACCTGATCAAGTTTTTAGTGACAATCCTTGGGACACGAACACCTCCTCCGACTAAACTTGCTCCTGTAATAAAGATTCCCCTAATAAAGAATAGAGTATGGCAGAATTATAAACGTTTAGGGGCATTATTATAGAGAACATAGACAAGTCAACTCGAGGAGTTGATCAGGAGGACAAGAAAGTAATTGATGAGCCAACTAACTAGCAAAAAAAAAAAAAAAAAAAAAAGCCAACTGTCTCTTTACCATGCAGCTCCGCCGACACTCAGACCCACGCAGAGAGCAATGCCCAGTAAAGACCATTGATGTGGCGAAATACTCATCAGAAAGTCGCCGACATTGAAGGACTCTCCTGAGCCAGTCAGGAGCATGTACAAGCCCACTAGCGACAAGCCCGAGAGCGAAAGATACAAGTAAAGAGCCAGGGTCGAAGGGCCACCATTCTCGCGCGCAGAGTAGATGCCCATTTTATAGTAGTCAAAAATAAGAAGATAAAGTAAAAAGCAATGGAACGGCAAACAGGGGAAAAGCTATTGAAATGAAGGGGGAAAGAGCGATGGTAAATGGGGATGGTGTAAGGTACAATAAAGAGTGGGAGTGAGCTGAGAAAATTACAAAGGAGATTAAAAAATCACGTTAGTGACGTGTCTTTTCATCCTAAAGACCTCTCTTTACATTTTTTTTATTCAAGTTGGGGGAGATACATCCTATGTTATTCCCTATTAAAGCGTTATCTATTTTAACAATGCTGTTCCAAACTTCTCCTTCGCTGTCTGATACGCCTGGATCAAAGTCTGCTCTGACAATGGAACATCAGACAGGTTCTCTCTTGGTTTTGAGACTCTGGCCACAATTGCTGATGGATCCGTCTCCAGAACAATACTGTCGAGAGAAAAAAAAAAAAAAAAAAAAAAAAAAATCATTATCATGTTGGCATTACAGAATATAAACCAAAGAGAAGGTGCTGAACATTGTACATTATGTTTGCCCCCTTTTGTCCGAAAAGCCTTCCGCTTAATTTCTTGTCCTAGATCAATAATCCTTACCCTTCGTCAATCGTCTCGTCCAATGCCAGGACAACAAGGTCCAGATTTTCCAGAATTACTCTCTTTGAAATTTGATGTCTAGCAAGGTTGTATGTAGTTTAATATATCATGCATTAAGATTAGTATAATCATTTTGATATTCTCAAACACATCTCCAGCGAGCATTTGAAAGTAGAGTGCATATGCCTTAATTGCATGATAGCTCACCTTAGCAACATCGAGACAGCATCGGAGAAGGCATTAAGGATAACTAAAAGCATTGCTTCGTTCTCTTCAGGCATGCCGACAATATAAAAGAACACGTCCTCATGGAAGCGGTAAAGTACAACCTGATTGTCAAACAAGAGAATCTCGCCATGAGGTGCCCGTTTGGTCTTGTCGTAAAGACCTTTCTCGAAGGCCTTCTGGTCCTTCGCAGAGGCGTAGTCAGGGCCAAAGTACTTTGCGAGCACGCGTCCTCCCTCGCTATCAAGCATAATAACGGCTTTGACTGTGTATAGCGTAAGGTTGACCATGATGTATATGAGCTACGAAATGAGCGGATCTGACTGGTATGCTTATGTATTGATGAATATATATGGGTCAACTAGTTCAAGCCGTTACAGTGCTGCTGCAGTGTGTCCAATGTGTCCCCTGTCGTTGTGTGTTCCCGTTAGAATGAGAAGGAAGATGGTGAAGATGAAAAGGTGCGTGCCTATTCCACTATTGTGCAGGATGATGAGAGCTGCATTCGTGGCGGGATATAGGAAACTGAGTTTCTAATTCAACGTCACATGCTCACATTCTTTTTTTTTTTTTTTTTTTTTTTTCGTTCAGGTGTTCATTCTTTTTTAATACTTATTCTTCTTTCCTGTCAACATGTCCACAACCGATTCACCCACTGCTCTGCCCATCAAAGTCAAGTCTGAACCAGAACTGGCATGCCCAAAAACTTCACTGCCAGAGACAGGTCTACTCACTCGTCAAAAACCAGACCAAGAGGCTGCCCAAAAAGATAACCAACTCAGCACTACCAGGACACAAAAGAGCGGCAGCAGTAACAGCCAGGCGTCCTTGGCATCTTCCTATGAGCCATTATCATTCATCCAGAAAGTTGTGGGGGATGAAGCTTTAAAAGAAGAGGAACGTGCTGCTGAAAAGATCAAGCAAAAATTACGGGCCATGCCCATGCTTCATAAGAATAAAACTCAGGCCCCCCAAAATGAAGACCGCATGCCTCAGCAACCTTATTCTTCTCAGGATTCACAGACAGAGCTACCAGAATTGTCTTCGAATGAGCAGGGAAATATTTCAATTGAGCAAACATTCAGTAGTAAACTTGATTTGGGTCAGGAACAACGTAGATCAATACCTAACATAGACGATCTCAGCGTTGAAAATGTTTCATCTATAACAGAGACCAGCCAACTGAAAGGAAAGCAAAAGAGCAAGAAAGCAAACAAAGATCCCGCATTGATTGAGATAGAGGCACCTAAGCTTATCGATGCTCAAACAGAACCGGGTGATCGTCGCTATTTCCAATGCCCTGGTGATCCAAAGCCAGAGAAGGATTTCGAATATGATTTTTTATACCAGCATCAGAGGGGCGCTTTCTTCTTGGGAACGCCCAAGTTCAGCTCCAAGTCATTATTACCTATCGATCCGGATGAATGGACGAATGAAAAGTTTGAAATATCTGCAATGAATATCTCTAATTATGTGGTACCAGATCCTAGCTGGGAATGGGTTCACAAAAGTTGGCTGGTCGACATGACTGGCGATGTAGATGAGGATGGTTGGGAGTATGCAATGGCATTTCATGGGTCATCATGGCATGGGAATTATGAAGTTTTTCGATCTTTTGCTCGTCGGCGTCGATGGATTCGTCTTCGAAAACGAAAAGTAAGTTGTATTCTACTATATTTTTTTTTAAAAAAAATAAAAATGATAAAAAAAAAAAAACTTATATCACGTTCATGTAAACGTTTCATTGTCTCAATTGTAGGGCAAAACTCTACAAAAGCCATGTCCTTTACCGGAAAGAACATATCCAACTTCTGTTGATTTTTCGACATGGACTAAACGTGATATGGATGGTTCATCGCCTTTCCCATCAGATGACATTGCTTCAAATGATGATGATCCACATACACAGACAAAACCAGTTGACTTGTATAAGGTTCTGAAAAAGGCACGGTCAGACCGTGAAAAGCTGGCGTATATTGCACAATATGTAGTGCGATATCCTGGACAGCTCAATGAAATAGAACAGCGATTGGATCGCTATTTAAACCTTCTGGATTACGAGGCTTCACGTCGTGATTTTCTAATTGTATGTTTCCTTTTTTTTTTTTTTTTTTTTTTTTTTTTTTTTAATTAATAATATTGAGATCGGTATATGATCAAAGATAGTGCTTACATTCTAAACCATGCTTTTTTCTTTACTTTTTTTTTTTTTTTTTTTTTTTTTTTAATACTTCTAGCTTCTTAACACCTATTCACCAACGAAAAAGGATGTTGTAACACGAACAGCTGAACAACTTGAGTTTTATTCTGATCGTAAGAAGTTAAACCAACTGTAACATGAAATCATGTTGAGTCACACAAAAAGGAATAGAATAAAGAATAAGCCACTTTTTAAATCTTACAAAAGGAGTTGTTAGAGGATTACATTCCAACAATTATTTCTTCACCAATCCATTAATTGAACATTGCTGAAATGGAGGCCCTTGACAAGCGCATTAGCGAACAGGGAGATCTTGTGAGATCTCTCAAAGCATCCAAGGCCGATAAAGCTCAAATTGCTGCCGAAGTAGAGACTTTGAAAGCCCTGAAGGCAGAGAGAGAGGATCTGAACCCTAAGGACAACCTTATTTCCACTACAGCTCCAAAGTCTACAGCACCCAAGAACGACGATAAAAAAGCTAAATCCAGCTTCACGCTCAAGAATGCCAAGGTATTGTCTTGGTTTTATTTTCAATTGAGCCGTGGATCAGTCTTTTTTCCTTTTTTTTTTTTTTTTTTTTTAAACCCGAAATATAAGATTTTGAGACTTAATTTTACGTTATTTGTTGATGTCTTTTTTCTTTTCTTTTCTTTTAAACCATGCTCATTCATAGGGCACCAAAGATTATACACCACAAGAAATGGCTGTGCGTGAAAAGATCTTCTCGACGATCATCTCCGTTTTCAAGAAGCACGGAGGCATCACCATTGACACACCAGTATTTGAGCTTAAAGAGATCCTTGCAGGCAAATATGGCGAGGACAGTAAATTGATCTATGATCTTCAGGATCAGGGAGGCGAAATGTGTTCTTTACGTTATGACCTGACAGTTCCTTTTGCTCGTTTCCTCGCTATGAATGGCAAGGAATATCAGAACATTAAGCGCTACCACATTGCAAAAGTCTATCGTCGTGATCAGCCTGCAATGACCAAAGGTCGCATGAGAGAGTTTTATCAATGCGTAAGTCATTGATGATATTTGTATAAAAAAAGAAACGCTAGTTTGTCAGTTTATCAGGTTCTGAAGGCTTGGAAATAACCTTGCTTTATTTATATATATAGGATTTTGATATAGCCGGAACATATGATCCTATGATTCCAGATAGCGAGGTCCTGAGAATTTTAACCGAGTGCTTAACTGCATTAGATCTTGGTGACTTTACGATAAAAATCAATCACCGAAAGATCCTGGATGGAATTTTCGAAGTGTGCGGCGTTCCTGAAGACAAGATTCGCACTATTTCGTCTGCGGTTGATAAGTTGGATAAGTTGCCTTGGGCAGATGTTCGTAAAGAGATGACAGAAGATAAAGGATTGGACCCGAAGGCTGCTGACCTCATTGGCGAATACGTGCAACTAAAGGGTAAATATACTTACTGAAAGTCTTGTTTTACTGTTGTTTATTTCATCTTGATTGCCATCTGATCAATTGTTTAATCGAATGGGCCATCATTAGGTGGTGAAGAGTTGCTGGAGCGGCTCTATAACGATGCTAAGCTTGGCGCTAATGCTCGTGCAAAGGAAGGCTTGGATGACATGACCTTGCTTTTCAAATACCTAAACGTTTTCAATGTTACTCGCTACACATCATTCGATTTGTCGCTTGCACGTGGATTGGACTACTATACTGGTTTGATTTATGAGGCCGTACTTGAAGGATCTGCTCCTCCCAGTAAGTTAATACAAACAGAATTTAAAATAAAAAATAAAAAAAAAACATTCCTCTTTCGCTTAAGGCATGAATTATCTTGAAGCATTTATTTAACAATCTGATACTCTCTGATCATTTTAACGTGTAGCTCTTGCTAATGGTGAAAAAGCACGTGCCACTGTCAGGGAGGGCACGGATGAGTTGGATGAGAATACTGTTGGTGTTGGTTCTATATCAGCCGGTGGACGCTACGATAATTTGGTTGGAATGTTCTCTGGCGTCAACAAAAAGGGCCAGCCTAATTTGGTAATCCCTTGTGTTGGCGTCTCTATCGGAGTGGAACGTGTGTTCTCGATCCTGATGCAGAAGCAAAAGAAGGAGCAGATTAAAAGCAACGAAACTGAAGTCTATGTCGTGGGTCTCGGTGGAGTCTCGGTAGAGGAACGTATGAAGATCTGTACCGAGCTCTGGGATGCAGGTATCAAAGCCGAGTTTGCTTACAAGCTCAAGCCCAGGACCCAAAATCAATGGGATGCTTGCGACCGTGACATGATTCCATTTGCTGTTATTGTTGGTGGAGAAGAAATTGAAAAGGGTCTGATCAAGATCAAGGATATGCGCGCAAAAGACGAAACACAGAAGGGTGGTATTGAATATCCTCGCACTGAGATGGTTTCAGAGTTGAAGAAACGCCTTGCAGAATTATAAACTCTAGAAAATAATCGTCAATAAATGTTGAAGCAGGCGTATCGAGCTTTTTTTTTTTTTTTTTTTTTTTTTTTTTTTTTTTCTTAATAATGCCTTGTATTGGCTTGGTCAGGTTCAGTTAGCACGTTATAGAAAAAAGAAATTTAAAAAGTCTAATGCTTCAAGTGCTTCAAATGCTTCAGTTTTCAATCCAAATTAGAACAATCCATGGCTTGTTTCTATTGTCGAAAGTTTATTATTATGTACAAAAATAATGAACGCAAAGGCAATTGCTCGACATTCTAGCTCCACTCCTTGATAAAGAATCCTGAAGAGAAAATTGAATCAAATGGAACTTGGAAGTTGATGGACGTTTGCGAGGTATGTATGAAATACAAGAGACTGTGCGAAATAAAAAGAGGAAAATGGGTGCCGAAACTGAAACTATCCCAATGGTCAATGATTGCACTGGATTCCGGTTGACTTTCTTTATCCTCCTTTGCATTACATCTCCTGGGAGGGAGCACCGCCCTTCTTGCTCTTCTTGGGCAAGAGAGAGTCGTGGATGTTGGGCAAGACACCACCCTGAGCGATGGTAACGTGTCCGAGCAACTTGTTCAATTCCTCGTCGTTACGGATGGCGAGCTGCAAGTGGCGGGGAATGATACGGGACTTCTTGTTATCGCGAGCAGCGTTACCAGCCAACTCAAGAATTTCAGCGGCAAGGTACTCAAGAACAGCAGCCAAGTAGACGGGAGCACCAGCACCAACACGCTGAGCATAGTTACCCTTGCGGAGATGACGGTGGATACGACCGACAGGGAACTGAAGACCGGCCTTGGAAGAGCGAGAGGTCGAGTTCTTAGGAGCAGAAGCAGACTTGCCACCAGATTTGCCGCCAGACATTGTAATTAGTTTTTTGTGATGATGAAGTTTAAAAAAAAGTGAAATGAGTTGTGAAGCTGGTTTCAATTGATGAACCAAAAGTGAGTTTTTTTGTGAAAGAGAGGAAAGAGAGAATTACTAGAGTAAAACAGAACAGTAGCTCAAGTATTTATATGAGGCACTTCAGAGCACATGAATGGAAGAAATAATGGGACTGTTTCCCTAAAAAAGCATTTTAGGACGCGTCTAAATTTTTTTTTTTGTGCGAATGGCCAAAAATTTGAGATGCGTGCACTTAGGGAACAAATTTAATTCGAAATATTTAGGGGTGTCTAAAAAGAAAAATTCAAAAAAGCTAAAAAAAAAAAAAAAATATTTTTCGCCGCGTCTTTCTTCTCTTTCTTCCTTGCCGCGCACTATTTTTTATTTTTTTTTGATTCCTTGTTTTAATAATGATCTTTCAAATTATATAAGAACTTCCTCTCTCCTCCATTTTTTTAACTTTTTTTCCTTTTTTTTTCTTTCTAATCTCTTCCCTTTCTCTTTCATACATTCTTTCATTCACGCCAAAAAAACACATTTTTTCCCCCCACCAAACGACTCGGAATAATCACTCAACATGCCACCAAAAGCCGTTGCTGAAAAGAAGCCTTCCACTGGAGGCAAGGCTCCTGCCAAGACTGCTGCTTCCTCTGAGAAGAAGGAGCGCAAGCCCAAGGCCGAGGGTGGAAAGGGACGCAAGAAGTCCCGCTCTGAGACTTACTCTTCTTACATCTACAAGGTCTTGAAGCAGGTCCACCCCGATACCGGTATCTCCAACAAGGCTATGTCCATTCTCAACTCGTTCGTCAACGATATCTTTGAGCGCATTGCCGGTGAGGCTTCCAAGCTTGCTGCCTACAACAAGCGCTCCACTATCTCTTCGCGCGAGATTCAGACCGCTGTTCGCCTCATCCTTCCCGGTGAACTTGCCAAGCACGCCGTCTCTGAGGGTACCAAGGCTGTTACTAAGTACACTTCCTCCAAGTAAAAAAACAGTGGGGAAAAAACGGGATGACATAGGTGGAGCACGGACATGGATTAGTACACCTATTCCTAGTTCATTTCCAATCTCCATTACTCGCTCTCCTTTGGTCTCAGCACTCGAACGATAACCTGTTTTATAATTTCTCAACCAATCCAACTGACTCTCGTTTGTTTAATAAGTTCAAGTCATTCATGACGTTCAAGAGCCGTAGACCACCAGTCTTTTTTTCTTTTTCTCTATCAATCAACTATTGTACATCATAGCCCTGTTTTTTTTGTAGAAACACATTAAAACAAATAACAAAAAATGCTTATTATTTAAGGACTTGTGGTTGTGACAAAGTGCGTCACTTTTGATTTTTTTTTTATTTTGTTTTTCTTTGATTCTCCATTCATTATGTTTCATTGCTTGAATTCCACCGCTTACCATTAAACATTTTATAACAAAACAGCAACCTCTCAACTTTAGAATTCCAAGGAATTATTGTATGAGAAGGGATTCATTGATTGCCACTCCAATTTCACATGCTGGACTCTGAGGATAATGACGATGCCCGTCAGCGACTAAGGAGTACATCTATGCCCTCTGTTAGGCTCAACTCATCTGATGTAGGAAGTGAAAGAGATGAATACCATCAACAAGGTCTCAATTTACTTGAAACCTCAACAAGTTCACTCATTCCTCAATGGGAATTACTTCAGACGCAGGATGAACCTCCAATGGTCAGAAGACACACTGTAATTAGCTTTCCTACCATTGGACAAACTCAAACTATGGACAACAACAAAGAAAAACATTACGACAGTGTGTCATCAGTAATGGTTTGTTTTATTCATTCATTTGCGCTGTCCGATTATGCGATGAATGGTACACATTTGGTGTTTTTTAAAAGGCTTCAATTTTGCTAACCCTACGGCTTTTTTTTTTTTTTTTTTTTTTTTTACACTGATAATGACTGCGATTAGAATGCACAACAATCAAACCAGCCGAACAATCAGGACAACCCACCATCACCTGCGGAAGAATTCTATACCCTAAAATATCCAGAACATGCTTGGGGGCAAAAGATGCATAAGAGGCTACATCAACTCAAACCCAAACATATCATATCATCCTTAATTGGATTGAAACAAGGTCACCTTGCTCGTCGCACAGCACATACACAGTACAAAGGAGACCTGGCAAGTAGTCGGGAATCTTCCGTATCCAGGACTTCCACTAGGATCCCCGCCAGAACCCGTGTACGACCACCTTCTCGAGCACGATCACGGGCATCGTCCCAAGATTCTGATTATATTCCATCAGGAACGTCCACTACATCATCTCGCGTATCTGCAGGGTCTCGATCAGGAGCGACGCGGATGATACGTAGCAAACTGCATGAACAGCAACGTGAACTAGGAAAGGATAATCTTCATGGCAGCAAATTCGATGAGATACAGTCAGTGGCCGGTTCCACCATATCTATTCATCTACCCACAAAACAACAGCTAAAGCGAAGGAGAGAGTCACCACACAATCGAGGCGAGAAGGCACAGGAAGGATCGCCACCAAATGTACATGTTGCCAAAATGTCATCGTCAAAGTATGCGGCACGTCGTGGTTTTGGTACAGTCTTTAGGAGGTTCGAATGTGTTTTGATTCCGGTATGGGATAAACATCAAGGAAAACCACTTGCAAGGGATACTAAGTCGAAAGCTTCAGCACAGCTGCATAAATCGCCACCGCTACAACCACAAACACACTTTCACATTCAACTTCCTCAGATCGAGGGGCCACAACCACTGTCTCATATTCAATCTTCTCAGATCAAGGCGCCAGAACTTTATAACTGGTGGTTAGAAGTAAAGCCTTTACAGGAACAGGTAAAAACCATAGCGCCTTAATGCAAATTAATGACAGCCGCAAGCATGTTCCAAGTTTTAACATGTGTATTTCTTGACCGTACCCTTCTGTAGATTAATGGATGTTACAAATGGATCATACTACGTGGTCAACTTCCTGAAAAGGACATTATGGTAACATACCATGTTTCGTGAAGTATCTCGAATTGAAGATCAAGACTTTTATTATTATTATTATTATTATTATTATTTTTTCTCCTGATATTAATATTGTGATTTGTATTACCTCCTGATAGGCATGGCGTACCTCATTTATCATAGAGGCTTTAAAGCCAACTCTTGTCGCTACCATATCAAAATCGTACTATAGATTAAAAGGATCCATTGATGTAGACGGCATGGTACGCAACGGTATGTCTATATGCAGAATGATTATTGAGAACCCTACAGTTTTTCTTCATATACTCATGCCAGACCGAATTTACGCTTGATTTTTAAAGGCTTTCCAGGGAATATTGTGGATGCTTTTAAAGAAGGATTTCCGCCTGATTGGCAAACGATTTTGTGCTCCCACTTCAATACCGAACTAAATACGCGAGTATCGGCTGAGAGTGATCAACATCAAATTAGGGAGCCGCAGCAATCAGCAATGATCATGACTTCCCCTACCGAAGTTTTAAAAAAGGTATAGAGCTTCTCCGATATAGATGATGCTGGCATTTTTATTAAAATTTATCACAGGCATCCTTCACCAACGTCGAACTTTACATAACCGCTAAATTTCCTTAACTTTACAAGCTGGAATCTGATTCAAGGCATCGGCGTGGCGAACCTCATCTACATAGGCGGAGAAAGGAAGTTGTCGAGGCCGTGGTAATCCCACAAGTTCAGTCTCTACATCGACGACCGCAATCTCAAGCATCTCCAGGCTCAGTGAATTTGCAATCAAAAGGTTACAATCCTGGGCCAAGCCTCAAGACCTTTTCTACAGACGAAGCCTTGATCACGACATTAGGCTTTGATACAAACCAGCAGACTATGGATGACGTGTCGCCCTTTGATTCACAGCAAAAATTAATATCGCAAAAGGATAGCAATGACGCTTCTAATAGTATAGTCAATAGCTTAAAAGTGAACCGGCCCATCTTGAACGAGAATAAGTCTGGACAGGAGAACAATCTGTCTCTCACCTCTATCAAATCTCAGAAACCGATCCTTCCCACGTCCTCACCATCAAAACCACTATTCAAGTCGTTATCATCAATATCCGCATCGTCACAGTCCTCGCTGCAAAGATTGAGTATGGATGAAAGTCTAGATGCCGATCTAGGTTCTGATAATTATGATGCCTTTTCAAACGATATGGCCACAGGGAGAAGCGCTGTTCCTTCATTGAGCATATTCGGATCAAATTCTAAATCCCATAGTTTGTTGCAAAGGAACAATTCAAATCTTGACAACTATAACTCTCCCTTTTCCAGTCAGATCATATTGCTTGAGGATGAGACCTCAAACCGATCAGAAGTGCTGGAATCAGCGACTGAAATGGATATAACGACGAAAGCTATGGATCCGTCATCAGAGATGATAGATCTAACGCAAGAAACTGAGGAGGAGGAGATGGAGTCAGGAAGGGTACAGTTGGCACCAGCAGGGATGAACGACAAAAGAGCTGTATCTGAAGTTGACATGGATCTTTCAAAGAATGATCAAGCTACAGAAGTATTAGGTGAACACTTGCGTAACAAGACAAACAGTCCAAAGGCTATAGCAAGCACAACAAGTGACGTGGCCCAAACTCTACAAGAGCGTATTGCAAAAGATACAGCTGTAGATAACGAGGTAGCGACAACTTCAAGCGTTCGTAAAGAATGGCCAAGGATATCGTTTGGACCACGCTTTGCGAGTGTTCGAGATATTCAAGCAAAAGCCAGAATCAAGCGTTCTTCTCAGTCAGGGTTTAGTCCTCTTCCGCGACATTCACATTCAAATATAGAATAGAAATAACTGAAGTGTAATATTATTACCAATCTACATCATTACATGTACAAACTTTTTTTTTTTTTTTTTTATAAAAAAACACAATTGGATTTTATTTTATTTTACAAGAGAGCCTAAATGAGGACGATTAGAGATGAAAGGAGATTTGATGGGGGCGAGATAAAGTGCAGTGGTTCTATACAATGAGCAGGAATACAAAGAACAAGTTCTTGAAGGGAATATGAGGAACCTAGAAGAGACTCGGCCCAGGCCCTTCCTGACGAAGTACAGTAAAAGACACAGAGCAGAGCAACAGGCCGTCTCTAAACGACTTGCTGTGGACATGCCAGGCGAATAATTTATCCGCCGAAACCATAGAGGGTGCGACCCTGGCGCTTGAGGGCATAGACGACATCGAGCGAGGTGACGGTCTTGCGCTTGGCGTGCTCAGTGTAGGTGACAGCATCACGGATGACGTTCTCGAGGAAGACCTTGAGGACGGAACGGGTCTCCTCATAGATGAGACCGGAGATACGCTTGACACCACCACGACGGGCGAGACGACGGATAGCGGGCTTGGTGATACCCTGGATGTTATCACGAAGAATCTTGCGATGGCGCTTGGCACCACCCTTTCCAAGACCCTTTCCTCCTTTGCCGCGTCCAGACATGTTTGTGTTTGCGTTTTAAAGTGTGAGTGACGTTAGGGATGAGTTTTTGATGAGAAGATGGCTTCCGTGAGATAATGAGACAAGTGGAAGTCAAAAAAGTAGAGTCGGGTGAAGAGAAGAAGAAAAGTCAGAGGAGTGGGGGCTGTATTTAAATTAAAGAGAGGGGGCAAAAAAGCTAATTGACAGCCACTTGGTTTCAAAAAAAAAAAAAAAAAAAAAATAATGTCACCCCCAAAAAAGAACACGTCTTGTGTTCGTGTATGACAAAATAAAAAATTCAAAAAAAACTCTTAAAATTCCAAATTTCAATTTTTAAATGCCCAAAATTTAAAATTTTAATTTTTGCAGAATATTTTAGAGTTCTAGTTAAAAAAAGAGGCTCTGTTTGATCTCTAATTGCAAGGTCACTATGAAAAGGCTTTTTACAATTCCTTCCCCTTTAAGCACGTGTCACTTTCCAGGGTATCTTGCATTTGTAGATTTATTTTGCTATTAAAAACAAAAAAAGAAATTCAAAATAACGCGTTGCGCGTGGTTACTTTTTCTTTTTCTTTTTTTTTTTTTTTTTTAAAAAAAAATAAAATAAAAACGTCAATGATGCACTTGCTCAGCCTCAAAGAATGTGGTACGAGGTTAACATTTTCATACATCCAAAGAGTACTGTAGCTATAAAAGACCGTTCTTTACTCAATCATTTTTTCCCCCCCTTCCTTTTTTCTCCTCTCATTCCGTTTTCTCATTTCAAAAAAAAAAAAAATTATAACCTCGATCTAAACTACCTTTCATAATAAACAACAATGGCTCGTACTAAGCAGACTGCTCGCAAGTCCACAGGAGGAAAGGCTCCTCGTAAGCAGCTCGCCACCAAGGCAGCTCGCAAGTCTGCCCCCGCCACTGGAGGTGTCAAGAAGCCTCATCGTTATCGCCCCGGTACCGTCGCTCTTCGTGAGATTCGTCGTTACCAAAAGTCGACTGAACTCTTGATTCGCAAACTCCCTTTCCAACGTCTCGTCCGTGAAATCGCTCAGGACTTCAAGACCGATCTTCGTTTCCAATCCTCTGCCATCGGTGCCCTTCAGGAGGCATCTGAGGCTTACCTTGTCTCTCTCTTTGAAGATACCAACTTGGCCGCCATTCACGCCAAGCGTGTCACTATCCAACCCAAGGATATCCACTTGGCTCGCAGACTCCGTGGCGAACGCACTTAAAAAAAAAATTGTCTTGTCGCTTTTTTTCCTCTATTCTGCCATCATAATCCTGAATAGCAAAGATTTTTTTTTTCTCCCAAATCTTTTTTGTAACATTAATTCAATTTGTATTACTTCATAGAAGTTATTTTTTTTTTTTCTTTTATTTTGATTGTTGCTTGGATCCGAGCAAACATACCACTTGTACAGCAAAAACTGAATAAAATAAAAAAAAAAATAAAATAATGAATGATATTGGTTATCAATACATATATTATAGTCACGTGACAGCTATGTGCCAACATTGTAGTGAAGTAATATCCCATCATCATTTCATCGCATTCAAGAAAAATAAAAAAATAAAATAAAATCCTTTCTTGTTACATGAAGCTTTTTTTTTTTATTTTTTTGTTCTATTTACTTTCATCATCTCTGTATCTTATCTTGTTTTTTTACATTCAGCTGTTTTTTTTTAACACCAGCGTCTGTGTACGCTCATGACTTTCTTCAGACTTTTTAAGAAACAGCGTCTGTAATTTCTCACCACAGCAACCGCGTTTCATTTGCTCTTTTTTAATATAAGCTTGGATTGAACTAGTCAACATAAAGAAAACAATCCCCATCCTGATCCGATATTGGTCTGAATTATATCTCCTCGACGCCCATTTCTGTAATAAAAAAGATTAAAAAAAAAAAATGACCACAATGCCTGATGCAACCTTGCCAAATGGTCCAATGGTCCCGGCAGTAGGAGGAATAGGATCCTCAGTGTTGTCACAACAAAGTTCAGCAACGGCAGCGGCAACAACTACACCAACAACAGCAACAACAACAACAGTTCTGGTCGGTCCGGCGCCACCCTTGACAGATTTGCAGCGATCAGAACTCGAAGGATACATGCGACGAGATAATATTTTCGTGTCTGCATTTGAACGTCAAAGACAACATCAAGTTGATTTACTGAATGAAAAACAACTCGAGATCGTTCAGGCAGCACAAGCTGGGGTGGATATTTTTGGACCTGGATACCATCCTGCTTATCGAAACGGACACGGTATCATTGGCGCGTCTACAAATGCACTTCAAATCGTCTATCCTTCACAACGGAGGCGGGTCAGGAAATCCAAGGAGTTTACGTTGTAAGTGCGAAAAAAAATAAAAAATAAAAAAAATTCTTCAGCCGCCTGTTCAAAAGACCTCAAGACCACAATTATGTTTGGACCTTCACCACCTCAGCACAGCTCATCAAGACTCCAAAAAAAAAAAAAAAAAAAAAAAAAGAGAAAAGAAAGAATGAAAGAAAAAAAAAAAAAAGGGAACAAAAAGAGTGTTTAGAAATCTGGCTAATGCAACGTATAATATCGTCCTACTGCTATCAAACTTATTTGCTCATCACAGCACTAAAGCCATGATCGAGGAGCAAGCTGCCAAGGAGGATGTTCTGGTACCGATTCGACTTGAGATTGATGTGGATGGACTTGTATTACGAGACACTTTTACATGGAACTTACACGGTAATACTTTACTCAATGTTCTATCAATGTTTTTTAAAATAACTCGGTCATATTCATCAGCTCTTTTTTCTTTTTTCTTTTTTTTAGAGACATTGATCACACCAGAACACTTTGCTGAAGTCTTGTGTGAGGATCTACAGTTTCCTGTTCAACAATTTGCACCTCAAGTATCAAGAGCGATTCGTGATCAGATCCAGGATTATCATTTGCCAGCATTGAGCGTGGTTGAGGACTCGACGGGTGAGAACGACAAAGTGGCTACAGAAGAATCTAGGCCTGCTCAAGAACTTCGAATTTTAATCAAGGTATGCTTTCTTTCTTTCTTCCTTTTTTTTTTTTTTTTTTTTTTTTTTTTTAAAGAACATTGCAATGACTTTTTTCTTTCTTTCTTTCCTAGATTGACATAACGGTAGAGAATGTATCACTGGTGGACCAGTTTGAATGGGATATCTCATGTCCTAATAACGACCCGGAACACTTTGCAGAGGTGCTTGCAGCAGAATTGGGATTGGGTGGTGAATTCAGGTAAGATAGTTTATATGCAATCTTCTTTTTTTTTTTTCTTTCTTCCTCTTAAAGAATAAAAAGCTTCGGACCTATTATCATAATGACATGGGACTAACAAAAACCGAGCTTTCTTGGCCATTAATACGACATTCTATATATTACCACAACTTTCGAAACAGGACGGCAATTGCACACTCAATCCGGGAACAAGTTCAAACGCATACAAAGTGTCTTAACTTGATTGGATACAACTACGACGGAAGCTCAGTCCATGATGAAGATCTTCGAGGCAGCTTTTTGCCAAAAATTACCAGTATCTTACGCGAGGAAGAGGCAGTTGAGCAATTTACGCCCATACTTGAAAAACTTACTGAACCAGAAATGGATAAGCTCGAAAGAGATCGTGAACGTGATAAAAGGTACAAGACAAAAAAAAAAATGAATTTCAACGAAGAACAAAGGATTGTTTACCAAATACTCAACACTTGCCTTGATACTTATCATTCAATGATGCGATGGCACTTTTTTTTTTTCATTATAATTATTATAATTTTCCTTTCTAGACGGAAGCGTAGACAGACTCGTGGTCGGAGAGGAGTTATTTTGCCTGATAGAGAACCAACAAAGACAAAAAGGACATTATTGCATCAAAGACACACACCTGAGACAATAGATCCTCTCTTGGACCTTCAGCAATATGATCCAGCTCAGATTAATAGACTAGGTCCAACAACGAGGAGAACGACCATGGCACACGATCACTTGCCTGTTGGCTTGGCTACTGCACCGGCTTCATCCCTGGCTGGCCAGGGTTTACCATCCCATTACCGCGTAACTCGGAAATTAAGAGGCTCGGGGTCTGATCTGTCTGTCCACCACCTAGGAGTACCAGGTTCAGGAGGTATCATGCAATCCTACTCTAGAGATTCGCTTCATGGATCAAAGGATAAACTCACCGGTGGTAGCCGGGAACAACTTATACACTCACCAATGCGAGAGACTACGCCAGTTCAAAGCAGTAAAGAAGGTGAATAATCCCCATCCTGCTAATATAATGAAGAAGAAGAAAAAAAGGAATAAAAGAAACAACGAAAGAAAGAAAGGACGAGAAAGAAACAACAGCGATAGAAATGAAAAGAAAAGAAAAGAAAAGAAAAAGAAAAAAAAAAAAAAAAAAAAAAAAGCACGAGATTGAGCGATCGGACAGACGAGCGGGTGACCTAAGAGTGCGCGCGTGTGGATGATCCGACGATAGAACGGTGTTTTGACAACAAAGGGTATATGAGAAGGTCAAGATGATATAGCTTGCACTTCTAATTGTACCGCCTAATCCGATTTAATATAATCTGTTCCTGTGGGCAATCATTTGGCAAAATATATTATACATACACATATCAACAGCTAGTCATCTGTCGCCCATGGAACTGCGGGTACCGCAGCAACAGATAAGTAGGTTAGGATATTCAACTGTCCCGGACCCAAGCCTACAGTATTCACAACCAACCCTTGCGCACAATCGACGGCCCGCAATGACTGCGTCTAACTCTAGCTCTAGTTCTGTGGACACTGCCGCTCAGGTTAAGTTTGTAGTGGTGGAGGTAAACTGAGTAGATTGAAAACAAACGATAGATAGACATTTGGCATGCACACGGTCACTATAGCATTGTTTCTCTTTTTTTTTTTTTTTTTTTTTTTTTTTTTTATTTTATTTTATTTTTAACGAACAACGGGCTGTAAAAAACCCCATCGACTAATTTTTTTTTTTTTTTTTTTTTTTTGACGCTGGGATTTTGCATGCAATAGAACTTGCCCGAAAGTCTTGCTCAAGACAAAGCTCGTCTTCATCAATTATACCCATCAGATCATTTTGAAATTCGTGTCCGGGTTGGTAGTGCTTCAGAAGGTGCTATAAACACTGGCGAGGTCTCAATAGCAGACTATCGCGTCCGATGTTTGGATTGTCCACCAGGGAAACTCTATAACGCAGGTCCCGACGGTACCTTACAAAATTTTGAAGTGCATCTCAAGTCTAATCGGGCTCATCGGTCATACGTTGAACAGAAAAAACTACAGGGGAACCAACAAGGGTCCTCTCATCCTCCACAACTACAGTCTCAGCTTCAGTCCCAGCCCCAGTCTCAATCCCAACCTCAGCCTCATCCTCAGCCTCAACCTCATCTTCACCACCCTATGCTTCCATATTCGCTTCCACAATCGCACCAAAACCTATCTCTGTCTCCTTCTATGCTCAATTCATAGTGCTCAACCTTCTCATGAGCCTGACAGGATGGCGTTAAGGGTCCTATTCGATAATGAAGGGTAGAATAGTTGTCTCACGATGCATTGCCATAAAACGGGTTACCAAGTGCCTATTAAAGCTACAGACTACATAATAACTGGATTTGGGGACAGATAAAGGAAAGAAAAGACTATATATTACGCTGTAGACCCATCTATGATATGACGTTTGAGAGTATATAATGTCTGTAGTCTCCTTGAATGCTGATAAGAAACTGTCGTGTTTGGATTTGCCCGATGCTTTGTATGCTGGAGAGACTAAAATAAGGAACTAAATAATGATATGTCGATTTACATTGTCGAAGCACACGATCATTAAAAAACAAAGGTGAGTTCTACATTCCTACTTTTGCCTGTTGTTGGGTCTCTTTGAGATTAGGGCGTCGAGCCTCTTCTTCTCTTGAGCCAATTTCTACAAGCAGACAAATCTATACAACCCAATATCAAGGTGTTTGTGGCAATGGATCACAATAAGTCGTTCGTTCCAACCCTCATGCAAGGGCATACCGGAACTCAGAGCGATGCGAAATTACAAGATGAAAGGGGGATAATGAAGAAGAAAAAGGAGAGGACTCGGAATCACTTTCTACTTCCCATGTCTTGCTCTTTCTCCTTCTCTCTTTTCCCCTCTCTCTTACCTATCCTTCCATCGATTCTCATACATCAACTGGTGGTTTATTGATTATCCATTTCTCTAGCAGCAGCAATTCCTATGCATCTTAAACCGATCAATCCTGTGTGGATATAATTCCAACTTAAGCTTTACTATTTCTATCCCTCTATCCCTGCCTTGTCTTCAAATCCTTTATACTTTGGAAACAAAAGACGCGTTGTATTCCTCTTGTTCCGACTTCCTTTTTTTTTTTTTATTATTTTTATTATTTTTTATCTTTATTTATTTATACAGAGCAGAGCGATGGCGTCCAGCACCCATAGTACTCAACACAGTCCATCAACCCAGGCCACTGTGGCTACTTCACAAGAACCTAGTCCTAGAAGCATTCTTCTTCCTCCAGTGGAGATAGAGGTGAGCCCAGCACAATCTACCATATCTGTGCGATCCACCCGTCATTTCCGTGTACATCCTCCTCCTATCCATGTGGAACAATTACGGCGACAACGGTCTCAATCTTTTGGTGTCACAGTAGACGAAAGGCTAGAAGGCGATGAATATAATGAAATGGAAGCCGCGATGCGTGCAAAGGATCATCACATGAAGCGAACCACTAGCAATATCAGTCTTCCTATCAAGAAAAGAGGATGCTTTGGGCGACTCCGAAGATCACCCAATTTTATCTTGTTCACAATTTTTCTTGCACTCTTTGTGGATATGGCAACGGTAAATTTTTCTTTCTTTCTTTTTTTTTTTTTTTTGTACGGTTCGCTTACCATTTATACAGCTTCGTCATTGACACTATATTAATGGATATGGCTTATATATAGTATGGAATCATTGTACCGATTCTCCCATTTATTGTGAAAGAAAAGACTCATGGAGGAGCAACAGACGCAGGTTTACTGTTAGCAATATATGCAATTGGAGTCTTGCTGTCTTCACCTATATTTGGTGTCCTTGGTGATCACTTCGTATCACGTCGAACGCCTATGCTGATCGGTCTAGTTGGAATGTTCTTGTCGACAATCTTATTTATGGTGTCAACCAATTTCTATGTGTTCTTGGGAGCTCGACTTCTTCAAGGGGTTGCAGGAGGATCTGTCTGGACCCTGGGATTAGCGTTGATCACTGATGTATTCCCCGCAGAAACACTGGGTCTCCAGATGGGCAAAGTATTGATCGGTTACACTCTAGGTATGATGATGGGACCACCTCTGGGTGGGTTTCTATATCAACAGGCGGGGTACCGAGCGCCCTTTCTGTTTTGTAGTTTGATCACTCTAATTGACTTCATCTGCCGTGCCTTGATTGTGGAGGAACGAGAAGAGATTGTGAAGGCTCTTCGAGAACAAGGAATGCAGGCTGAAGCAAATGAGGAGGAAGCAGAGGTGGCAGCGCTCCGAAAACAAGAACGAATGGAACAAAGGACCAGTTTCTGGAAGCTGATCAAAGAGAAACGACTGCTAGGCTCTATCATTCTCACTGCCTGCACTGCGAGTGCATTTGCGGGCGCAGAACCAACGCTCCCTTTATACCTTGCCAGCAATTTCGATTTGACTTCAGAGCGTATTGGACTAATTTTTATGGCTTTTTCTCTTCCAACACTTACGGCTCCTTTGGCAGGTGAGTAAAATCATGATGTTTATACGTATCTTTATATATATATATACGTTTGTTGCAGTAGATGGGGGCAGTTTCAATATTAACATGTTAGTCTTTTGTCATTATTATTATTATTATTATTATTATTATTATGGGGCGGATATCGTTGAATAAGGCGCATTATCGGATAAATTTGGCGCCAAGATCATCTGTGTGATCTCACTGTTCCTATGTACAGGCTCGATTGTATTAGGAGGCCTGGTCTTCAAGGGTTCTCTTGCAATGGCGGTTGTCGTCTTCATTGTTGTCGGCTTCACAGGAACAGCGGTTTTAACGCCAGTGCTTGGAGAACTATCAGCTGTTGTGCGGATGACAGGCGCAGGAGATGGGTTCGCAAGAGCCTATGCAATGTTTAATATGGCATTTTCGCTTGGTATTATAGTTGGTCCAGTTGCCTGTGGCATGGTCTATGAACATTTTGGATTCACGCCTTTAGCATTGACCATGGCTGGATTTCTCGGCTCGGCCATCCCAGTGGGGATCATCTGTTTAGGTGGAGCGGAGGAAAAGAGAAAGGATATAGCAAAGTACAAAGAGGATCAAGAGAAAAGAAATAACCAGCTACATCATAATGTGAAAAGCTCCAGGTACAGCTTTGAGTTCACAAACATGAATGGAGAAGAAAAAAGAATGGAGGATGAACAAAGTCTGGATATCAAGCTATCGCCAGGCGAGAATGCATTAATTGGGAAGCAGTCATTTGAAGAGAGAGGCATTGGGGGTGGTGGTAGTGGGCTTATCGGTATGAGCCGAGGTGGTGGTACAAGAGAGGAGATACTGAAAACAGCACGCATGGAATAGTTAAATCTTCAAATTAATAAAGACTGCAAGATACATCAATAGCAAAATATTACACGACATCTTTTTTTTTTTTTTTTTTTTTTTTTTACTTTTTCTTTTCATTTAATGCTGGTGATGACAATGATGAATGAATGGGTTTTTTTTTGTTTTTTTTAAAACAAGGTATCTTCCTGGCGAAGATACTCTCCAATATCGGCTTGATGGAAGACTACAATGGCTGTGGGCTCCAGCTTGCGAGTGTCAGATGTTGATCGAGCTGTTACTCCAAAGCCAAGGGGGACATCTGTCATGGAATAGACAATGACTCCCTGATGCTCTGGAGTATCTTCTGTAACACGGCCGATATGAGCTTTCACTACGTGGTTTCCATACAAAAAGGGCATCTCGCCGTTGGGCTTGATCCAGACCTTGTGCTGTGGATATTGGCAAGGGAGGGGAAGAGGGAGAAAGAGAGAGAAAAAAAAGAGTAAGGAATATCCATATCAGCATTACGTAAGATTGGAGGGCCTGCCAGCGAAATCCTTTCCATAGACAAGCATAGCCGTGTATATATCCTGTTGTTCCTGCTATAAGCAGTCATTTATAGATATCAACGTCCTTGATAATGCGCATAGACTATAGTATGGAAATCCAAGGCCGAGAAGGTACGTGGATACAATAAATACCCATAAAGTTGACTAGAGGATCTTTTCTAAATACTGTATTTCCAATGACACTTATGATGTAGCAAGCAACAAATCCTTGTCTCTCATCTTAGCGCTTCCTCTTTTTTTTTTTTTTTTTTTTTTTTTCTGTTTGTCGTATTTCCTGTTCATGTCAATTCGTAGGCGATACAAATTCAGAGTGATGCTTTTGTTGATATGATCTCCGGAAACCTAGGAAAGCTAAGACTATGCTGAGATATGCCGCCACTGTGAAATCATTAGAGTATATTTACCTTGGCATACTGAGCGATATAATCCAAACAAGTGACATGCATACGGAACTTTCCAGTCTTTGTGAATTTCCCGAAGCAAATACCAAGCGAGATCAACTGATCACGCCCAACACTTGTAGCCTTTCTCATTACAGCTTCACTATCTCACATAAAAAATAAATAAATAAATAAAGAAAAGAAGAGGATGAGCAATTGAAATTGTTGATCCATGCAAATGTACCATAGACAAAGCCAGGTAATGTATCATACAATAGGCCCTATACACTAAGAAACCGAATCTAAGTCCACATTACTTACCTGACATAGTATACTCGATCACGATGAAGTCGGAAGCAGTATGTTTCATCACCTCTGTCAATTAGATGCGTAATGTTGCGTCCAATGCTAGGGGAGGAAAAGGTAATATGTGGGCAAAGAAATAGGGTAAAGTCAGTAGCAGATCAGGAGTTGCTTTTGGTAACCAGGAGAGAAGAAAAAAAAAATGCGATCCTTCCAATAATTGACTAAGTGCTTTTCTTTTTTCCTGCTTACTATTTGGCCAACTTTTCGAAAAATGTCTTCGTTTCCTGCTCAGTCAAAGGTCTCATGGTGCAAAATGAAAAGGATTGATAAATTAAGTTTTATCTTAAGGATATCCCACTTTATATATATATATATATATTCTTTTATAGCAGAGAACAGAAGTTGAACAGCAAAGTTGGATGATGACAAGAGTTGAGATGAGAACTGTGAATGAACCCTGCTTTCTGACTGAATATTTTCTATGGCTTTGTTTTTTATAAATGGGCTAAATAAATATTAAAAGGCATTTTTTTTTTTTTTTTTTTTACTTCATGAAAAAAGTAAGCATTTGTTTTTCTAAGCCACATCAAACATGTGACTGCTACGCTCATATGATAAGAATTTCTGCGGGACTAAAGAGACTAAAACTGTCTCGACGCATTCTTTAATTCGCCTTTTTTGGAGTGTTGCTTTATTGTCAGCTCTTTCTCTTCCATTCAATTATTCAATTTCATTCAAACAACTTTTATCACATAATGCTTCGTTCAACCATTTTCACTGCCTCCCGCTCGCTTTTCGCAAAGCCTTCAACTGTCGTTGCTGCTCGCTTTTATCACCCCAAGGTAAGAAAACAAGCAAAAAATCGCACTGAAAGCTTTATCTGAGCCTTTTTCCATACTATATACATATGACTAATAGCGACAAATATTCTTAAACTTTCTTTTTTAAAAGGTGATTGACCATTATGAGCGTCCTCGCAATGTCGGTTCACTCAACAAGTCAGATCCGTTTGTCGGAACTGGTCTTGTGGGTGCTCCTGCCTGTGGTGATGTCATGAAGTTGCAGATCAAGGTCGATGAGGCCACAGGAAAAATTGTCGATGTTAAATTCAAGACATTTGGTTGTGGTTCTGCCATCGCTTCCTCTTCATATATGACTGAACGTGTCCGTGGAATGACACTCGAGGATGCTGGCGCCATCAAGAACACAGAAGTGGCCAAGGAGTTGTGTTTGCCTCCTGTCAAACTGCACTGCTCCAGTAAGTAGTTTACGAGATTAAGGAGTTTGGACCCTGAGTTTTAGTTGCGCAGCGTTGATATTTGCCCGCATCCCCCGCATCCAGCCAATATAATGCAGAAAGATTGTCTTTTTTTTTTTTTTTTTTTTTTTTTTTTTGAAGCTCATAACCTCAACGCTTAACGCACCTCTTTTTCATCTCATTACTGTTAACTTTTCTAGTGCTTGCTGAAGATGCCATCAAGTCAGCTATTAACGATTATAAGCGCAAGCGTGCTGCTGCCACTGGAACAGCAACTGGTGCAACTGCCAGTGCTTCGGCTTAAAAAAATCGTGAGCAACCGGACTCGTCCGACAACTTCCCCCATTTCTCCACACTCCAACGCCATTTTTTCCCTTCTACACAAACTATTTGAAATATGAATAACCAGAACGCCAAAACATTATCAGCCGGCTTTTTATAACATCAGCATGGCGAACCTCTCAGCTCATCTCATTCAATGTATTTTACAGCGCCAATGCCACGCACAAAAAAAAAAAAAAAAAAAAAAAAACTACTTTATCAGCTCAGATATAATATCTTGGAAAGTATTCGACAGCACTATTTCAGCGACTCGTCATTGACAACACAACTCAGCAAACACACTGTAGATTGTCCTTGGGATAGTCTGTTTGCTTATTCTCTCACAATGCTTGGAGTAGAGAAGAATAAAGCCAGTATCATACGTATTATCATGTAGTATACGGCCCAACTCTTCCTACTTTGTAAATAAACAACATGTAGTGCTCTCAAGATATCTTTCATCAATCAAAGGATTTTTTGTGTCATCAGTGATTGCTCCGTGTGACAATAAATGATTAACATTCATGTAGAAAGTACTGATAAGTTCGGAATGAAAAAACTCATCTAGCAGTATTTATAATGTTGAAGAATGCCATCTCTATTGTTGTAACAAGGCATTGTGCATCTCACTAGTGATTATATTTCTTACTTACTCTTATTGATTCAACGGACGAAGTAGCTTTCCTAACTGATCCATCTCACGTTAAACTTTTTTTTTTCTGTCGGAAAAATTATGTGTTCTCACCATCTTTATTGAAAAAAGATCTTTACTGGCCTGGGTGATATAGGTACCTTCTCATTCAGGGCTAGCTCTTGAGAAGTTTCGCCACATCTTGTAATCGGGATCTTTGGACAAACATCCTCCTTCGTAGAATTTAGGGTGGTGCACAGATGAAAGAATAAAACACATTGGTTTTAACCACCAATTCAATAAGTATTGTGAAACATGCTTTGAACATGCCTATTTGAGAATGTCATCATAAATTGCTATCCATGAAGAGCTTCTGTGCCTGCTCCAGAATAAGATAACAGGTTCCTAATGGTTGAGTTGACACTGAAAGATGCTGTATATCGGTTTTTTGTTTTCTACTTTGCATGGCATCTCTCTCTCATTCTGAAACGGGCTTGGGCCTGGATGATTGATATGGACAGATAGGGGAGACCAGCATCAGTGGAACAATGGTAGTCTCAATAATGTCAATTGGCGGGAACAGACCATGTTGAGCATTGCTTTTTATATACTTCAAGGTATTGATAGGACTGAGGAAGATCAACAGTGGACATAGATTGGCTACCGCCTCAATTCCCCATTGCCATGGATGAAAATTACAAGTTTTCAGAACCGATGATTTTAAGTCTTCTTTGACAATCTTCGCCTGCCTTCTTATTTAACAAAGATTTGTTTATGATTAGACAATATTCTTTAAGTAATTGAATCATAGTTAAGAACAATCTACTAAAATCTTGTTGGAGTAAACTTGGTATCGTTTGCCTTTGAAAACATAAATGCATCGCAACCTGTCATGAACCTCCGCCTTCACGAACCCTTGATCTTCTTGTGCCTCCTTTTCGCGCTTTTTCTTCAGCATTTCTAGTTCTGCCTCACCTTCTGCTCTCTCTTTCAGCTGTTGTTGTTTCCTCTCCATCAAATATCCATCTTCATCAACTTTTGCGTCGGTGTCTTCCTCTGGGAAATCAAAGAGTCCAGAAGAAAAGGCCGGAGCGATAGTTTCCTCCCATGGATCGAAATTCTTACATCGCCTCTGTTCTCTCCGTTGCTCTTGATGTTCTAGCTGTCGTTCACTAATACGAAAAAGCTCTCGACGTCTACGAGCCTCTGCCTCTATGAACTGAACACGAGATTTTTGATCCCAGTCATGAGGCGCTTTGGGTGCAGCTTCCTTCAGCCCAAATTCCCAAAGCTCATACCCTGACAAGCGACAGCCTCGAATGTTGGATTTCCGGAGATGCTTTAGTGATAACAGGCCCTCCATCAGCCATCTGTTGCTCGGAATTCGTGGCACGCCCATCTTTAAATAACGAACATTGCTGAACCATGTCCGCATGAACCAAAGGAATATATTTGAATCACAATGCATGAACTCCCATCGACCTGTTAGTGTAAGCGAGTGGACTGGAGATTCAAAGCGAGGAGCAGCAAGCAATGGAGCATCTCGAGACTCGGATACAACGCGTGGAGCCCGATCCAGATCTAGATGTAGCCTTTTCAAATTGGGGCATCTCTCCAGGAATGATAACTGGAATAAATGTGCTGCATGGCCCTTTAGCCACAATGAGCCAAGTGCGGACATGTTCCAGTTCCTGGCGATATGAGAATAGGACAAAAAATCATATCAAATTAAGTCTCAACTTTCCTAATTAAAATCTTTTATCCAGCCAGTCAGATGCAATAACTCACCATGACCAGGAAGGCTGAGACAGAGTGCTGAGGTAGTCTTTATGGAGGACATGGTCGAGGTGAATGCTACGCACATTGGGCGTATTTATGAATGTTTCATAGTTGAAAATTGTGCAAACTGGTCCAATAATCCTGAGATGTTTTAGCTTGGGTAGATACCACGGCTCTTGGAGTGACCCTAACTCGTCATAAGACGGCGATGTAGGGGACCCTTCGTTCCCACTCTCCAAATGAATGTGCTCTAATGTAGAGCACCCCTTCAGGAATCCAACGTTGCAAGTGAAGTAGGCTGGCGAGTTGATAAAGATTTCCAGTCGGGTCAGGTGAGGCATGTCATGAATAAGACCCAAGGGAACCTCACATACTGTAAAACGAATCCGCACTTGGACTGAAACTAGCGTGCTGCTGAAAGCTAAACAGACATCTCGTAATACAGGGATGATGGGGTCATTAGCCTCCCTGTCCCCCAAATGGATCTTACGAAGCGGCACGGGATCCGGTACAGGCCCTAGTAGTCTAAGGCCTGCATTCTGTGATGCAACAGAAGCGCAACCTTTAAGGACGAGGTTCTCAAAGAGGGTACGTTCCTCATGTTCTTTCACAGCCCAAGCAAACGCTGATGGTGAGCTCTTAATCTGGCCACAGAAGCGTTCCAAGCTTCGGCATTGTTGTAGCAGCTCTCCCTGGCTCCACGTTGCCTCCATCAATGCAGGCACATTGAAAGAGCGAATGCGCTTAATACCATTGAGAGGGATGTCGCTCAGGGTAGGGGGGTGTCTCCAGTCCTGAAAGTCGATATTCGCAGGAGACTGCAATGCTTTTAAAAGCCCAAGGTAGCGTGCGTCATCTGAGCTATTCCAGCCTCGGGGAGCTGTAACTCCTTGTAGCCCAGATCCCGGTTGGTGATGGTCTGAAGGAGAGGAATGGTTAACGTTGTTTTTAGAGCCGAATAGCTCGCGATGTAACTTCAAAAAAGCTGCTCCTCGTGATGCAGGGTCTGAAGCAGGAACAGGAGAAGAAGGAGAAGTGCCAGGCTGGGGATCAATGGGCTCATTCCCTGCCGCTACTATAATTTCATTCACACCAGGCGGTGGAACCTCTACAATTTGATCTGCTACCACTTCTTGATTAGTTTGTTCAGCTTCGTTCTGTGCCTGTGCTGCCTCTGCTTCTGCTTGCTCCTGTCCTTGGTTGTTGTGAGGCTGATCTTGATGCTGTTCTTGAATGTTGTTTCCATCGACGCCTTCATTGCCATTTCTCCTTTGAGTATTATCTTCGGCCTGTTGCTCTTGTTCATTCTGATCCTCAGCTTGATCGTGTGTGCCATCGAGCCCATCTTCATAAAATGAGATCCACCGAAGGTTCTTAAGCCGAGGAAGAAGCGGTTTATAGGGTGCAAGATGCGTAACTGGAATTAAAAGGGTCTGGACGCGCTCTGCATGGTGATCCAAAAAGATGATACGTAGCAGCCTCATGAGGAGTGCTCCTACTCCATTGTCACTGTCTGGTGCTATGGATTTAAGTGTATGAGCCCAGCGATCATAATCAAGATCCCCAAGGTAATCGACATAGCAGGCCATCAATGGTTGGTCAGCAGTGACAAAAGGCGATATAGGATCCCGCCAATCGGGAGTGAGGAATGGAACGAGATCATCGGAACGACGACAAGAGAGAAGTAATGTGTAGAGTAATTTCTTGGCTGCCGTAGAATATGCGAAAATTGATTTTGATTTGCGATAATGCAATAGATTTCGTCGTTGGATCTGTTTTTCTAATGCTCTATAAGGGTCACGGTAGAGGATAGGAAGTGTTGCTTTGAAGAAGGAGCTATGGACAGTTAATAAATGGAAAAGCGTAAAGATATCGCCATCCAGATGGGAGATGACGCACTGAATGCATTCCAGCGGTAATTTTGGTGAATATGATGTAGAAATGCTGTCGACGGATATTGGTGGCGCATTCAATGTAATGGTCATCTCTTGATGAGAACAGGTATCAGTGTGTGTCGACATGAAGTGGAAGAGTTAAAAAAAAAAAAAAAGGAGATAAGAATAAGAATAATGAGAGTGAAAGTGAGAAAGAAGGAGAGTGTGTGCAAGAGAGAAAGTAGAATGAAGAAGAAAGAAGGAGCAGAAAAAAAAAAAAGATCCTTAAAGGGAGGTGGTTTTGTTTTTTCTAAAGAGTTGCTTGGAGGCGCGGTTAATCGCGCCAGGGTGCTGATACTCATTTGAGTGTTGCCACAGACGAGCGAGAAGGGTCCTTGCAAAGCCCTTTGCCTCGCGTGTTTTAAACTTGTGTTACATCGCTTTGATTTGATGCGCATAGGTTAACTATCATGGTGCTAACGGCTGCGCCCTCACTGTTGACCCAATGTAAGAAGAAACTGCGGCAGCCATTGTTTCTTCTTTTGGATTAATTGGACCTTTTAGTTTGGACCAGAGGGCTCTTTTTGGCTAGACTCTTTCAAATATAAATGGTTTACTTAACAAAATCCTTATAATTGAAAAAGGACTAACCAAAAAGAGCGACAAGCTTGACCCTCTGGTTTGGACCGATCTATTAGTCATAAACATGCTGTGATAGTCGTTTATGGATGTAGTATCACTGAGACATTTTTAAGAAACAAAAGGATTACATCTGGAATCATGTCTCTCAGAATTTTTTTTTACAACAGTTGCTGTAGAGCTCATTTATTCACACGGCAACACACAAATATCCTAGCGACTTGTCAGTTGTCTTTAGAGGTCTTTTTCTTTTTATTTTCTAAACTTAGTTCTAACTGTAGCTCGCTTAGGATATTTATTCTCTCTTCAAAAGCGATAGGACCTGCAAACAACATTGCTCCTTAAGTCATCTTTACAAAGCGAGGCGAAGCACAGAAAAATACGTGTCCTCCTGCTTGGTACGGCTATTATCAGGGAATGGGACTCTCTCACCATAATCCACGAACCCAAGCTTCTTATACCACCTGATCAATTCCTCGCGCATGTAAAGAACATATACCACACATTGGGTACGATTCATTTGCTCTTTTGCATATTTCAATGAGGTCTCGACTAGTTTTCGACCGATACCTCGAGATTGCTGTGTAGGATCAACAGAAAAAAGTCCGAGGAAAACTTGTTGTTCTTTGGGTAATCTTTCAGTATAGGGCGACACGTAGCCATCCTTGGTGTACACGCCAAAATCAGGAAAATGCTCCACAGCTTCGAGTTGAATAGTTCCGAGAGGTTGACCTGATTCGGAATCGAAAGCGAGAAATAATGGGTTGATCTTATCAACAAGGACTTCTTTCAGTTCATCAATCGGGATACGCTCGTCACGGACTAAAAATATGAAATATGCAAAGAAAAAAATTTAGGGAATCAAAAAGAAAACAAAATAAATAAATAAATAAAAAAAAGCATTATAACGGATCACTTACTCAAATGTGCCTCTGTCGTCCATCCGCCCTCTAGAAAGATTGTATTTTTACATTTACGTATAAAAAGAAGATCATTTAGTATCTCACCAAAGGTGCATAGTGTTTGATCCCCAGAACAATGTCGCTCACAAGCTGACAGAGCAGTTTAATTGACAGCTGTGATGCACACTAACGGAAAGTTTGGTCATGCTACAAGGCCGCTATTAACTGTCATTGCTATAGCTGGTTTGAAGCTGATGAGCTTTTTTTTATTCACCTGATCTGTATGCGCGGTTGATGACAGAATGAATGAGGTCGATTTGACTGATGTCTTCAGCAATGGCTCGACGGACAGTGACTGTGGTCTTCTTCTCTGGACGAGATGAATGTGAAGAAGCCGAAGGAGAAGAAGTCATGAGGGATGAAATGTAAAATATACAAATACGGAGTGAGGAAAAGTCAAGAAAGGAGAAGAGAATACTAAAGAAGGAAAGGATAGATTTTATTTCCCCCAAGGCCCAGACAGTGACCGCTGAGGGCAACTTTATTGAGGGAGGTACTAAAAAGAAGCCCGTTCTACCAGGATCACTTGGGTTATATCTCGTGATGAGATCGTGGGAAACTCAGCCATGAGTAATAACTGTCACGAAGCCACTTTTATTGGTCCCTGAACAGAAAAAAAAAACTTTTGGCCTCTCAATGCATAAAATGCATTCCTTAGTTTTTTGCATCGGATCCCATGAGGTCATTCCAGGCACAAGTCAAGCAGGAGGACAATGGGACCCGAGTCTGGAAATTCGTGCTCGCACAATGGAAGACCGTTGTCAAGTCTCGAGAACAGATGCGTCGATGCTTTAAACGAGGCGAGGTACATGATCTTATCACTGTGACTCCGTTCTCTCTTCTGTCCACAAACAAAAAGTGAGCTAAGATAATTCACATTGTACTCTATAATATTATTGATGCTGGCTAGGTGTCTGTCAATGGCGTAGTTGCGGAAGTAACTAGGATCCTTGTAACAGGCGATCTGGTCCAAATCAAATTTGATGCTCAGGCTGCACATGAGTCCGTCTATGGGAAAGAAAAACTTGAGATCTGCTATGAAGATAATGATCTCGCAGTAATCATCAAGCCCTCGGGAAAAACAATGGTTGCTGTGGGATTTATGTTGCCCTTCTCACTCACTCCGAGTATTAATGCTGAGCCAGGAAATGGAGAGGAGAAGATGGATGAAAATAAAAGCCAGCTCAAGATGGACGCAACTTCGACAGTACTGCTTGAACTTGACAAGCAAGGCACATCTCCAACCTCAAATGAAGATGAGTGGACTTCTCCGGAGCATGATCTCGGACAAGAGAATGAGCTTAGTGATGATGATAGCGACGAGTTCGCTGCATTTGATGTACCTTCCAACATTTCGCCAACTCTTGGGCAACAGAATTGCCTCCCATGTGCAATCCATGGGGTTGAAAAGGCTTCAAACGGACTTGTAAGTGTGCTCATAGTGAATTTATGTTTTTTTAAGCGCTCCAAAGAAGTGTTTCCTCTTTGGGACTAAAGCTTTGTTGTTGACTCTACTTTTTGTTATGCCGATATAGGTTCTTATTGCAAAGACTGCAGAGATGCGCTCAACGCTTATGCAGATGCACAACAGCGGCAAAATCACCAGAACTTTCAGGGTCATATGTCATGGAGGTTGGTCACGAGATGGGGCTCAGGAAATAGAAAATGATATGCAGCATCCTCTCGTTTATGATGAAGGAAGTATGATTCCTGTGAATCCTGGATTTTTAGATGCAAAGTGTATAGAGTCTATACGTGTTGTTAAAGTGACTCCATCCAACGAAGCAGGAAGTCTCTCTACTCTGGATGTCGTGCTACGGTCGCCATTTTTGGGTGTCAATGTACGTCGGTACCTCATGTCCGCACACCATCCTGTTATAGGAGACAGCGGCAATACAAAACCTCTCAAAGCAAATCGCAACAAAGGCCTGCTATCATGCCTTGCCAAGGTAGAATTTATCCATCCTAATCTCAACATTCCCATCACTGTCCATTTGGAGGAGCCAGTCAAATTTGAGCAGCTGAGGATACGTGAGCAAAAGGCGTGTCTACGTCGTCAGGCGAATGACCTGGCGGAACTCAAAAAAGGGGGTTTGGAACTTACACAAACATATAGTCGTGCTTCCGAGTTACCTATCGCATATCTGGTGGGCGAGAAGGTCGGTTCACTTTTAATTTTTGATCTGATCTACAGATGAGTGTTTTCTTGTGATGCCTCGCTGACTTTTACACATTACACATTTACTCAATGTTAATGATGCTTGCAAACAGGATTTTTGTGATATGCGGTTCAAAGTATCACCATCGACGTTAATCCCCCGCGCCAGCACAGAAACACTTGTTCATACTGCCATCTCACTTGCAAAGGATCGATCGATCAAAATCCTTGATGTGGGGACAGGAAGCGGCTGTTTGCTATTGGCTTTGCTAAAGAACCTTCCTACATCTATTGGAGTTGGTATAGATATCAGCCAAGAGGCACTCGAAATAGCCCAAATCAACTGTCAAATGCATGGCCTGACAAATCGAGCTTTATTCGAGATAGGGGATCTTGGACAGCTGGATAGCACTCCTAGTCTTTTCAAATCATTTGATCTCCTTGTGTGTAACCCACCTTACTTGGATAGCAGTAAAGCAGAAAAGCTGAAGAAACTATTTGATGGCACGGAGCATGAACCACCAATAGCCCTATTTGCAAGTAGTGAAGGCTATGGAGCATATGAACTATTGGCTGCAAGCTTGTTCCGCAACCTTTGCACTCCTGCTGAGCGCCGTGTTATGGCCGATGGAGCGCACGTCATCCTAGAAATTGGCAGTGGAATGGGCCAACGTGTCCGGGAATTATTCAAGTTTTTACGTTTTGTAGAATCATTTAGGGACAAGCAAGACTCTGAGCGATGCCTTGTGTTTGCGCTACCAGAGGCTAGGCCTGTAGATTATCAATAAAAGACACGTAAAAAAAAAAGTTTTATTGCTGTTTTTTAACGTTAATCGGGGGTCGAGAGCTTTGAGAATCTTCCAAAACAGCGGCGACTACATATGCAAAAAGGACCACATTGGCCATCACTGCAGCACTGATACCAGCATACGTCGTGTTGCCTAAAGTTATTTCAACATATTGTAGTTTAAAATGATCTGATGTTTAGGGAAGATGGACAGGCCAGTTTTTGAAATTGGTTTTTTTTTTTTTTTATTTTTTTTATAGCACACGCCAAAAGGCTACCAAACATACCATCAAAGTACCGGTCCACACTGATAAAGTAAGTTCCTATAGGAAAAAAAATCATGGCTACGGTGAAGAAGGCGAGCTTAACAAGGGTCGACCTAGATATAGATTGAGGTAAAATGAAGATATCAGTTGAGTTAATGCTTGCAACATCTTGCAGATCTCTATTTTTTTTTTTACTGTAGAAATAGCAATAGTAAAAATGGTTGGAAGGTTACGTAGACACGGCTGGGGAGGTTGAGCGCACTGGTGTCGACGACGACGAGTCGGATGAGCTGAATGGCGTTTGCTGTGCTGTGGCGGATGCGGATGCTTTCCCTTTAGAAGACATGATGTTGGAGACGTATGCGTGAGCAAGTGAATGAAGACAATGCTTTGAGACACCTTCCTTTTAATTTGGCCGAACCCCTCAAATTTTAATATTCTTTTCTGTTCAATTTGCTTCCATTCTGTTAATCTGCGGCAATCAATAGCCTCTTTCTATTGTCCATCGACACATCGACTTCTCAAATCATCAGCACCATCCACCATGGTCAATCCTCGTGTCTTTTTTGACATCGACATCGATGGTCACCGGATTGGAAGGCATGTTACTGCCTTTGATTTAGAACTGACATTGCAACAACTTGTCGTATTTTATAGGCATATTGACACTCTCTCAACTTTACTTTTCCTCATTCTTCTAGGATCGTCATGGAGTTGTTTGCGGATGAGGTGCCACGTACTGCAGAGAATTTCCGTGCACTTTGCACTGGTAAGAAGTCAAAGGATTTAGTTCGTTATGCAGTGATCAAGGAAGTATCCAAACAATGATCAGCTAACTGTGTATCCACACTTTTATTTTCAATTTTAGGTGAAAAAGGTGTAAGTAAAACTAGCAGCGTACCCCTACACTACCGAGGTTCTATCTTTCATCGGTACGAAGCACTCAAGTTTGTGAAACAAGTGAGTGAATAATGATGATTATTAACTTGGTTAAAAAAGTTCATATTCTTACTACCATTGTCTTGTTTGACCATTGTAGTGTTATCAAGGGCTTTATGGTTCAAGGAGGAGGCAAGTGAGACCATTGAATTGGGACGCCTTTACAAGTCAGCTTCAACATTAGCCCACTGTTTGTATGATCGCCATGGATATGGATTACTTACTATACTATACTATTCATTCATGCTCAATTAACAACAGACTTTATCAGGAGGGATGGATCAGGAGGCGAGAGTATTTATGGTGGGCCAATGCCAGATGAAGGAGGCTTCAAGCGAAAGCATGATATTGAAGGTATGTTGCACAACAATCAAATATTTCGCCATGTGTTGTTTGCAGTAAGCGAGAACTCGATGTAATTATCACTAATTCTTTATAATGCTTTTTTTTTTTTTTTTTTTTTTTTTAAATTGTGTAGGACTCTTATCGATGGCAAACAAAGGACCCAATTCCTCCACCTCTCAATTTTTCTTGACCACTCGACCAACTCCTCATTTAGATGGTATGTTTGAGCGGCTTTCGGTTCTGTATATGAACCATATAGTTTATCGTGGCCTAGTCTCAGTGGATTAATTTCTAAACATGTTTTCGCCCCCTTCATGAATAGGGAAGCATGTTGTTTTCGGACGTGTTGTAAAAGGTTATGACGTGGTCGAGAAAATTGAAAACACGCCCACGGATGAAAGAAACGATAGACCGCTGAGCATCGTCATGATCTCCAATTGCGGCGAGCTTGAACTAAGGATACCACCAAAGCTACTAGAACAGCAACGACAACAGCAGGTAGCGGCAGCAGCAGAGAAAACGCAAGGAAGTACTTCTAAAGATGACAGAAGTCGTGGTAGCGACAACGACAGCGATAGTGATAGTGACAGCAATAGCGACAGCGACAGTGATAGTCATTCTGTATCTCGAAAACGCCGACAGAGACGCCGAAGCCGCCACAACCGCTCAAAGTCAAGGAGCAGCAGTGAGTCTAACTCCGATAGACATAGCTCTCGTCGAAGAGATCGTTCTTCCAGACACAGGAGGAAGCATGAGCGTTCGTCTCGAAGGACTCGCAGTCGTAGTGACAGCCGTAGTCCTAGTCGCAGCCGCAATAGTCGTCACACCAGGCGTCGTTCCCGCTCTGGCTCTAGATCGCCCCGCTTAAAAAACGAAGTGCGCAAGCAAGAATCGAGGGCTGAACCTGAAAATCGTCAAACCAATAATGCCAATGACGATGCTCGCTATTCTGAACGTCGACATGAGGCTGTGCGTCCACATCCAAGAACACGCTCGCGCTCACCTGAAGTCAAGTATAAAGGACGAGGATTGATGGTATGCAAAGGAAGGAAAATTGGAAGGAAAATGGGTTACTGTGCCACTTCAAGAAATTACCATCTAACCTTAAATGCTCTATTATTTTTCTGCGTTGCTTTTCACATTGGATTAGAAATACCGCGAAAAATATCGGTAGACATGTCATCGATTGAAACAGATTATTTGCCGCAGCCTCCTTGGATCATGTCATAATAAATATCTATGACAGCGCACTTGATTAAAAAAAAAAAAAAAAATAGGAGACATCAATTGGAAACACTGCTGCATGATGCTTAGCTTATGCTGTGCCCCCTCAGCCCTCTTTTTTATTCTTTTTTTGTATTTTTTTTATGTTGTTTGTCTGTTTTCTTTTTTCGACTGCGCCCGCGGGACGATGCTCAAATGTTAAAATCCTAATGTGGTCGGCGGGATTTTTGATGGAACAGACGAATTCTTTCCTCCCCACTTGTTGCCACCATCCAGCTTTGATGATTCTCTTCGCCACATCACGTGGTGAGTCCAAAGTGGCAGGTATAAAAGGAAGCGCAGCATTGGCCACACTCCGCCACCTGTTCCCTTTCTTTTCTCTTCTTTTTTTTATCATCCCTCCTTACCCCCTTCACTTCCGTCTTGCCAAAGCGACATCACTCATCATTACTTCACATCCTTCTTGTAAAAAAAAAAATACAATCTAACTGCATTCATTTCGCATTTGTGCCCTTTTGTCCTTTTTGCCATACCAAGCTCCTTTCAAACGCATCACTACAAAAACCTTTTTTTTTTTTTTTTCCTACTACATATTAAATATCCTGTATCCTACCAAGTTTAACACAGCGGAATAAACGTTACTAAAAATGAGCACAGGAAGCATCAGCGAGGACGATTTTGCTGGTATGTTTGTGCTGAGGAGAGTTCTTTAACAGTTTTTGACTATTGACTATCACTGTTGATGCTCAACCTTTATCATTCGTCAACCATTTTTTTTTTTAAAAAAAAAAAAAAAAAAAAAAAAAAAAAAAAAGACTCTGATTTCGACAACTACGAGTCCGAAGATGATAACTATGGTATGTGGCCGGGAAAATTCTAGACTCAGATCAAATACAGGGGCAGGCCGAACTTTTATTATTTTACTAACCAATAACATGATATGTGGTTATATCCTTGTAGATATGGAGTATGAGCAAGCTGAGGACCTTGACTTTGCGGATACGATTAGTGAAAAGCAGCAAAAAAAGGCATATGAGGTTGACTTTACGGTGCTGCCTCTGTCAGAGATTGTTGCCACACAGTCAAACTCATCGAATCAAGTAGCAGGCATCCTCGGGGTCACACAAGATCAGGCAGCTGCACTCCTGAGGACCTTCAAGTGGAACAAAGAGCGTCTCATTGAGCGATATATGGAAACACCTGAAGAGATTTTAGAACAAGCTGGCTTAGACTTGAGTGATAACCACACATCAATTCAAAAGCGTCCAAAGGGATTTGTCTGTACAATCTGCTTTGATGACGATGACAATGGTTCTGCGGTTGGACTCAAATGTGGCCACTTCTTTTGTCAACCCTGCTATGAGCAGTATCTGACACAAAAGGTTGCAGAAGAGGGTGAATGCCGAAGAATTTTGTGCCCAGAATCAGGTTGCAGTGTTGTTGTAGACGAACCGACGATCCTTAAAGTGATTGAGGAACCAATTGTAAAGAAGTAAGTCAATCATTTATAGTCTATTATTTGGTGATGATTTTTTCCTTTTGTGTTGCTCTTAACTAATTTTTTTTTTTTTTTTTTTTTTAAAAAAAATGACTAGATATCGAAAGCTTCAGGACAAAGCATATGTGGCTGATGTGGATACTCTACGGTGGTGCCCTGCACCGAATTGCGAGAATGCGGTCGAGTGTCGTCTTTCTCATTCATCCTTCTCGATTATTGTACCGACTGTTGCATGCGCATGCGGAAGCAAGTTCTGTTTTGGATGTGGTCTGGGCGATCATCAGCCAGCCCAATGCTCCTTGGTTAAGCTTTGGCTTAAAAAGTGCGCTGACGACTCTGAGACAGCCAATTGGATATCTGCTAATACAAAAGAGTGTAGCAAATGCCAATCGACAATTGAGAAGAATGGAGGTTGCAACCACATGACGTGCCGTAAATGTAAATACGAATTCTGCTGGGTATGCATGGGCCCTTGGACCGAGCACGGGACAAATTGGTATAATTGTAATCGATTTGACGAATCTAGCAGTACTGATGCTCGCGATCAGCAAGCAAAGTCTCGTGCCTCTCTCGAAAGATATCTTCATGTATGTATTATTTTTATTATTTTTATTTTTATTTCTTTATTTTTTATTTTTTTTTTCAGTGCACTGTGCACTGTGCACTGTGCCTCCTCTTGTGATGTGTCTGTGTAACTAATATTTCTATTTTTAAATAATGTTATTTTGGTGATAGTATTATAATCGTTTTGCGAATCATGAGCAATCCGCAAAATTGGACCGAGATTTGTACACGAAAACAGAGAAAAAAATGGAGGAGATGCAGCGGACGAGCGACTTATCATGGATTGAAGTTCAATTCCTCAAGAAAGCGGTGGATGTGCTTACAACGTGCCGCACGACGCTTCAGTGGACGTATGCATTTGCATTCTATCTTGCCAAGAATAATATGACAGAATTGTTTGAAGATAACCAGCGTGATCTTGAGGTGGCTGTAGAAGCACTGAGTGAATTGCTGGAGAAGCCAATTGAGAAGGAAAAGATTGCAGAGTTGAGACAACAAGTTCTTGACAAGACGGTGTATGTTGGAATCCGCCGTGAAGTCGTCCTGGAGGATACAGCTAAAGGTCTTGCAGAGGGACGATGGGAATTCCGAGTTGAACCTGAAAAATTGTAAAATTTGAAAGTAGTTTGTCATCCATTAATTATTTTTTTTTTAATAATAAAAACAAAAAAAAAAAAAAAAAAAAAAAAGATAAAAGACGCGTGGTGTCTAATACAAGATCTACATATTCACATTGTGGAGAATTAATCTGCATACGCTACACTTTATTCTCAATAGAGGACACAGATAGTCTCGAGGGGATGATAATCATCCTTTTTTTTTTTTTTTTTTTTTTTTTTTTTTTATAAAAAAAAAAAATGTATATACAAGTGAAATAAAGAGAGAGAAAAAGAAAGAGAGAAAGAAAGAAAGAGAGAGAGAGAGAGAGAGAGAGAGAGAGAGAGAGAGAGAGAGAGAGAGAAAGAGGGTTCTTTAGACATGGTCCCAAGTGGCATCTTCATCATCATCGTCGTCATCATCATTATCGGTTAGGATCGCACGGGCCTTGGAAGAATTGGTAATGTGTGTCCATCCAGAACGTGCCGGTTTAGACTTTGATCGATGACGGGTTGAATGAAGCTTATCAGGAACGGGAGAGAGATTGGAACTAGCCTGTGGCTGTGGGGAGGGCGCAGTTGAGGACAAGATGGTTGATTCTGTCGCTGAAGAAAAAGAAGATGAAGGAGAGGTATGTAGCTTGGGACGGGATGGTCTTTTGCTCCTATAGGTCAATTCTTGATCCAGAGAGCCCAGACGTGGTGGTCCCTTGGACCGGATGTGGATGATTTGGGTCTGAGGGTCTTGGTCTGCTCCAACAGCAGAGATCAATGCATGGGCGATCCAAACCGCGATCCCTACATGAAATAAATAGAAAAGCAAAAAAAAAAAAAAAAAAAAAAAACTAAATAAACGTCTAATTATCCAAAAAAAAAAAAAAAAAAAAAAAAAAAAAGTGGGTGCCTACCTCCTATGACAATTCCAATCAAGGCAGCAATTGTGAAAAATGAATACAGAGGCAAGAATGCATTCCAGATGTCACGAGTGACGGTGAAGGGAGTCTCTACTATGTCAACGGTGATGCGTACTGGTTTTGCAACTACAAAGGCGACGGATCGATAAGCTTTTTTAATTAGCCAGAGCTTCACATCGAAGCCCTTCTTTGCAAGCTGGAGAACAAGAGGCATGATTGTGAGACCCTGGACTGGAGAATAGACCATCTGAGCATGGTCCTGTTCTTGCCTTTGCGCTTGCCAACTCTCCGTTGCCTTTGTTTGAGAAGATGAAGAAGGAGAGAAAGAGAGAGGGGGTGTTGGATGGATAGGTAAGGGATCATCGGGGTTGAATTTGTCATTGTTATTCCCTAAATGGGTTGTTGGAAAGAGGGCTGCAGACTGAGAGTCGACCTTGGTGACTACACCCACGCGTTTATCCTGAGGATGAATTACGGCCACTAAGCCTTTGCGTGAGCTCTGAGTCTGTTGAGGACGTGAAGAAGGTTCCTGAGGTTGTTGAGCCGAGAAGATGGTTGGTGCAGAAGAAGTGAGGAACGTGACAAACGTTACAATAGCGATTAAGAGGAAGAGTTTGTTACAACAAGAAGGCTCCGTCCCTAGGTCTAGTTCCTGGTGTTGTTGTTGGCGCTGTTGTTGCGGTTGATGAGGTAGTAGCTCAGAGTCGGGCTCCAAGTGGGTTTGGCTAGGGTGTCGGATATGGGAGCCTCTACGCCTGGTTAGACCGTGTGTTGTTGCGGAAGACATGATGAAAAGGTAATATCTTTGTATCTGAGTAGAAACTCTGTCCGCTTGCTCGATAGTTCAGTTGTTAATGAATAAAAGATTGCAGATAAAAAAGAATAAAAGAATGAAGATGGACAGAATCGAGACGGATTGAGACAATGAGTCTGTCCGGGTGTTGTAAAAATGAGAAAAACGAGCATGAGGAAGCAAGCAAGGCAAAGGACACGAGACAAAAGGACAGGTTTGTGACTTTGCTTTTTTTTTTTTGTCCGAGTAGAGTTTCCCTTGAAAGAAAGATTCGCCTGGACAGGCTTTTACCATTTAGAAAAATAAAAAAAAAAAATAATTAATCAAACATTTTTCACACACTCTCACACACACTCGCACAAGCTCACACGCCTCCAATGCGGCCAAAGGGCAAACATGGCAAAAATTGTTGAGATCAAAAGACCTTGCACATTCAATGTTAATACTGTTAATACTCGTTAATATGTCTCCACACTTTAATCCTCTCCACCTCATCCTCATCCCTTTCCTTTCTCCTCCTTTCCCTCCATCCTCCTTCTCTTCTTCTTCCTCTCTTTCCCCTTCGTCTTCTTCTTTATCTTCCCAACCATCTCTTTCTTCTACCCCGTTTTACTTTTTTTTAATTTTTAAAACATCCTCAAGAAACGCACGCGCTTCATTGATTACGTTGATCAATCTTTTTTATTTAAACCTGTTTCTTGTTCTTTTCTTCTTACCCTTTCTTACTCTGGCAACACATTCCCTCTTCCTGAAAGGGAATTCGCATTCTTTTTTTTTTTTTTTTTTTTTCAAATTCCATTTCTTTTTTTCATTCCATTCCATTCATATTAATAAAAAAAAAATACAAAAGATATACCATGCCTGACATACCTTCTGGACGCCAACGTCTCAAACTCTGTGCACGGCTTATCCAGCATCATCTCTCGGACTTGCAGCTCATCTTTGACAAGGACCTGGCTACGACCGTTGGACCGGACGGAACTCAGTGTAGGCTTAAACCCCCCTTCCTTCTCTCCACTGCATGCATGCATTAACATCTATAATACTTTTTTTTTTTTTGATTTGTTGTCATATCAATGCTCACATCAACTTGGATCTTTTTTTTTTTTTTGTCTTCTTTTCATTTAAAAAAAAAAAAAAAAAAAAAAAAAACTCAATACCATCAACATCCATCACACAAAATTACAAACAAACAAAACAAATAAACAAACAAACAAATGAACATCTGTATCAGACGTTGACTTTGACTATCTTCAAGGCGCCATTCCAGCACTCACAGACCTGTCACCAGCTCAATTGCGACGTGCCATCAAGTACGATGCCAAAGGCGTGCTCGAGGTCAGTGTCTATGTCGAATGATGATAATAAATTGTGAATTGTGGGGAAGGAGGAATGTAGGGGAAGGATCTACATCTTGCATCTTTCTCCTATATAAATCTAAAGATTAAGTCCAGGCACATCATTACTGTCATCATCATCTATTTTGTTTTTTTTTTTTTTTTTTTTTTTTTTTTTTTTATTTCTCTTCATTTCTTCCTCCCTCTTTATTCTTTTGTTCTTTTCCTTTCATCTTTGATATTTTTAAAGTTTCTGACAACCCTTTTTTGGTTCATCATGTTTAGCTGCACCCGGAATTGGACATGGTCCGCAGATGTCGCCCCTTTTCAGAAGACGAAGCAGTAGATCGGATGTTGTTTGTGGATGATATCGATATTGGAGGATTTGAGAGCGATCCAACAGAAGTCTTTGAACAACTGCTCCTTCCATATCCAAATATGACTTCCGACTCGCCGACAGATGAAGATACCAACAACAGTAATAATAATAACAATGACAATAATGAAGGTGATAGACAAGAACAGGATGGCGAATCAACGTTGGATCAGCAACAACGGCTTAACCATCAAACCATTATTCGGCCATATGGTTACAAACCAACACGGTTCTTCCAGGGCTTCTGCTATGTTGAGTTTGCAACCAAAGAGCTTAGCTCGGAAATGTCTAGTAAGATTCTTGCTCGTAACAACTCTGTCCGCGTCATGCCCATGTAAGCAATCAATTATCACATCCAAAAAAATTCTTTGCCCTGTCCTTCCTTTGATGATCAAAACCTTAACGCAATAAGCTTATTTCTTTCTTGGATTAGGAAACAATGGCGTAAACTAGAAAACGAATATTTGAGCCTCAGGAGAAAGGCTTGAAGAAAAAAAGAAAGAAAGAAAGAAAGAAAGAAAGAAAGAAAGAAAGAAAGAAAGAAAGAAAGAAAGAAAGAAAGAAAAAAAGAAAGAAAAAAAAAAAAAGAAAACTCTCAATCAAGCGACTTTTTCCTTTCACGGCATGCGATGAAACACCCATCTTGCATATCTTTGTATTCAGTAAACCCATCTATTTTATTTAAAACCTCGATTGAAATGATTTCATGACTGATCAGTGGTTTTGAATATGGATTTGCCACCAGGCACATGCAACATGAGACGAGGTGTATTATGCGAAAGCAAAAGGCTTTCGTCTACTGCGTGAAGTAACAAAGCAATAAAGCAATAGTAATAAACCTGACCATTTCCAACACACCTTAATTTCCATGTCATATCTCGGCGTTCCTGAAAGAGTTTTTTTTTTTTTTTTTTTTTTTTTTTTTTCAGTTTAACAAAGAGTGGCTCAAAAAAACAAACGTTTCCATATTTATACTACCCAAACGGCCGATCTTGCTCCTCATTATAGTTCATTCCTTTAAAAATTGTCTCCATTCACTTGGTCACCCTCATAATCTTCTCCATTCCTTTTCCTCCTTGGGTTACTCCTGTCCCCCCAAAAAGAAGAGCAATGACTATCAGCACAGCCCGATCCTTTCCTCGCGAGTCTGCCCTTTGCATGGGACCATATACAATTGCAAAAGATCCACCTCTTTACCTCTCTGCAGTCGAGTTCTCAGATATGCCAGAGATGGTCCGAATTCTCAATCTCAACCGGGATGTATACAACGGTTCTGCACTTTTTCAGTATCCATATCTCGAGTCCCATGCTCGAGAACGGATCCAGCTTGCCTATGACCATATTGCCGCTACTGGGATCAACACTCATTGGGCCATGCGTTTGTCGCCCTCTGGTCCTTTGATTGGGTGGGCCCATCTGCACTTCGAACATTACGATGATAAGCACCCTCAACCGGTACATCCTACCACTGGAAAGCCATTGAAGGTAGCTGATATTGGATACTGGTTAAGCCCTGAGCACACGGGGAAGGGATATGCAGCGAAGGTGGGCAAGTTTTTGGTCCAAGAGATTGCACAGAAGGAAATGGACTGTGACATCGTAAGAGCTGTGTCCTATGTTGAGAACCTTCCCTCAAGAAAGGTCGCTGAAAAGGCTGGGATGACAATTGAATTAGAGAAAAAGTCGATTCTGATTCCGAAGCTTGGAGTGTTCAGAGATGTATGCTGCTATGCGTCTCATAGAGACGAAGCCACAAGAGGGATCATTAAAGAGAACTATGACTACTAAAAGCAAATAAAATGCAATGTCTATGCATTACAACCTCACAAAACTTTGGACACAAGACAAATATCAGAGCTTGCCTGGCAGGCACACAGAGGATTCTTCATATTGGTTATCTCCACCATCTAACTTGATCAAAGGGACACTGTCGATCCAGAGTCCTGAGGCAAAGCAGTCATACCAACGTGGTGGAGAAAAGTTGGGTCATTATTTCATGTTCCTATACTATTTAAAGCAAAAAAAAAAAAAAAAAAAAAAAAGCCTAGCGATTGCTTGGTTTCCTTTGATTGCTGTGAATAAACTATCATACATACTATGAACGGATAAACCGCGGCATTTAGCCACGCGTCGTGTATGGAGTCCAATTAATTCTGCAGTTTTTGTGACTGTGACGATCCATGTCTCCATCGAGTTTCTTTTAAAAAACACACAGACCTTATTCTTTTGACAATAACTTTCATCAGTCTAATCAATGCAATGTGGAAAGCGTATGCACAGCAAACCAACATGCAAAAAAAAAAAAATAAAATAAAATAAAAGAGAAAATGAATCAATGGCGTCTTCGTTACCAACCTCTGTTTTCGGGATTCGCAAACCAATGGATTGAATAACTTTTTTTTTTTTTTTTTTTTTTTTATCTCTTTATTCTTTCCTCTTTTTTTTTTTTTTTTAAAAAAAAAAAAAAAAAAAAAAAAAAAAAAAAAAGTGTGAATAAGGAAGAAAAGCGGGTTAAAGAGTTACTTGGCAACGCTAGACGTCGAGCCCAGAGAAGAAGGGCGTATTACGATTCCAAGGTAAAAAAAATCCCAAGTTGAATTGGCTAGTGGGGGGGTTGATTTAAATTTACATGAACGTTTATCCTAATACTTTTTACAACTGAATAGCTTGGTGACCCTATGCAGCTTCTGCGTGTCTCCGGAACTGCGGTTCAGCTTGGTAAAAAATAAAATAAAATAGAAAGCCTTTTTTTTTCTTTTCTTCATTTATTTGCAATGGGAGCTTACAGTTTACATTTTTAACCTTTTTAACTCCTACAGTTACCAATCCTGAGATCTATACATTCAATGAGGACATGAAAAACTTGTAAGTGTTTAGGGATCGACCTTTAAAGTGTCTGTTACAAGTAGTAGTAGGCAGCAGTGGTTTAACCGAGATTGATGAAACTAAAACTATATTTTTTCTTCTTCTTTTATTTATCTTGTAATACTCGTATTAGAATGCCATGGGCGAGCGATCCATCTGTGAAAATTGATCGGTTTGATGGAAGGGCATTGCTGGATTTTATACCTACAGCAACACAAGCCATGATTGAATCTGGTCTGAAGCCAGACAAGGATGAAGATGGGATTGGAAATGAACTTCGATTCCAACGCTGGCATGATCTAGTTGATAAGATTCGTTTAGGAGGTAATAAAGCAACAGTGATAATGGTAACAAAAAATAAAAATGTAGTGACATGGAAAGTCAGTTATATATATCAATAGTCAATAATTGGATTTTAACTCTTTAATTTTTTTCTTTTAGTGTCTGAGGAACAATGTATTAGGAACAACGAGGAAGAGTGGAACGACCTTGTAGCTAGGCATCATGCATTGATTGGAAAAGTCTCTGAAAAGTATGTATATTCTTGAGCTAACGGTATATATCTCCGGATTCCGTTTAGTCTCACTCTACTAAAAACAAGGAGACTGCCGTTGCATCCTGGAAAACTTGAATGAAATGTTAGGAAGCAAGAATCCAATGAAACACCTGCAGCCACTTCCAGCTTTGCATTTGATTATGGCACAGGAGCCAGTACAGGTGCAGGTACAGGCACAAGCGCAGGCACAGATGCTGCTGTACAGAATGATAATGATATTGGAAAATTGGCCGATCGTGAGCTCACTACATTGGAGGAAGAAAATATACTGGACCATTTGGATGAATTGACAGCGCGTGAGCGAAACACTCTGGATGCCTTGGGTGCAGAATATCATATCCAAGACTATTACAGATTACTACGAGTTGCCAAGCAGGAAGAAGATGCTAGGGTTTTGCAACTCAAAGTCACAGCTGTGGTAACACCCCAGAGCTACTTTATAATGACTATGACTATACATTCTACAGATACCAAAGATACTGAATAATTTTTTTTTTTTCTCTTATTTTAGAATCTAGAAAGGGTACTTGCTGGAAAGAAACCATTAAAAGCATCTGAAATTGAGGCAATGAGCAACGTGGGTGGTCAAGACAAGAGTAACAACTCATCAAACAGATCAAGACGTAGAAGACGTCGTGATCGCTCAATGTCACCATCATACCGTACTTATCGGCGCTCAAGCCCTTCATATGAGCCATTCCGAAGAAGGTTAATGATTTTACTTTTTTTTTTTTGAAAAAAAAAAAAAAAGAGTAATGTTGCGACTAATATGACGGACGACTTTCGTACTTTTTTTTTTTTATTTTATTTTATTTTTTTAGCCCTTCTCGCTCAGATTCTGAATCACCAAAGTCTGAAAATGTAGAATTCATTATGGAGTTTGAGGGCGGGAAAAGCGAAGGTGGAGGCGATTCACCTGGATATGGAATGGACTTGGAGAGCACATCGTCTTACAGGTCAAGGTTAACGCCATCTAAGGAGACTGGTACAGCAAACCGCTCTCGTTTAGGCACCCTTGGCGTCAATTCAAGTACCTCTGGAGCATCTGTCTCTATTGCACCTACCAAGATGAGCCTTGCTGAAAAGCTTAAGCAAAGGATGCGACAAGGGTTGGATCAATCCAGTAAGTTCGTCTGTCTTTTTAGGAACATGATGGTCAAAGGAGGATGGCATATTGCTTATTTATTATTTATTTATTTATTTTTGTTCTCTCTTTTTTTTTTTTTTTTTTTTTTTTTATTCCTTATTTCTTTGCAGTTCGTTCCAATGAGATTAAACGTCAAGCCAAAGAGCGGGAGCAGGAATTGTCCCAAGCGCGCCAGAAAGGAGAAGGTGTAATTGCAGATCAGGACGGTATCTTATTACCACATTCATTGGATTATTCCAGGCATGATCATTCAATAGATCAAAGTAATAGTCTTAGCAAGAGTGAAAACAAGAGCAGGAGCAGGAGCAGGAGCAGGAGCAGCGGCAGGGACATGAACAAGAGTAAAGATAGAAGCAGGAGTAGAAGTAGAGGTAGAAAGAGGAGCCCAAGTCCTCCTGGCAAAGATAATGATCGTGCAACCACACACCAGCGGTCGCGTCAAAACCGTAGCCGCTCCAGACAAAGAAGTAATCGTGACAAAAGCCGTAGTAGAGATCGTAAACAGCGACGTGGTCGTAGTAGGAGCTACAGTAGAGAGCGTAATGGAAGAAGTCAATACAAGCGTCGGAGGGTAAGCACGAGTCGAGATCGCCGTCCTCGTAGTCGGTCAAGAGATCGAGCCAGAAGGCGATCAAGAAGTTTCACGCGAGAACGGACCCGCTCCCGCTCTCGATCTCGCTCTCGCTCACCAATGAATGCAAGATCCAGATCCAGATCCAGATCCAGACAGAGATATGAAAGGCATCGGCGTAGATAATCTTATAAACGAATAAATAATATATGCTGCTGGTCATACTGAAGGATACAAACTCGATGTATTGGTTGATTGTGGAGCTACTGCGTCGTGCAAATCGGGTTCTAAAACTGTCCCGAATGTTTGAGTGTCTTTTAAGTCCGATAGCCATTTTTCGACAGACGACTAAAGATTAGATGCTTATAATGATCCTACGCGAATTTATATCAAGTCTGGTTAAGATTGAGGAGCCCCATACACCAGCTTCCAAAATCTCTCTTTTTTTTTTTTTTTTTGTTTTGGATTAGAACTTCGTACAACACAGAATTTATAAGACGTTCGGATAGCATTTTTTTTTTTTTTTTTTTTTTTTTTTTTTTTTTCATCAAAAATAAAAATCAACATATTGGAGATGAGAGCACACAAACCTAGTACTGTTCAACAGGTCCTTGATCTTCTTGCACAAGACAAATCTATCCGTCAAGTGGCAAAAGAACTCAATCTTCCCAAGTCAACCGTTCACCAAATGTCCAAAAAACTTCCCCACATCCGTAAAAAGATCAAAGGAGGTCGACCAAGGAAGTTGTCACATCAAAACGCTTCCTATTTACGACTTCTTTTCAAGAGAGGACATATTGACACGGTCACTGAGGCAGCAGAGTTGTTAAATAGTGGCCATAAAGACACAATCTCCACCGGCACAATTAGACGGGCCCTTCGTGATATCGGAATGATGGCCAAAAGGGTCAAGGACGAGCCACTGTTGAAAGCACGTCGCAAGGAAGCTCGACTTGAGGCACATCAGCATCTTACTGAAGATGACAAGAGCCTCCTCCTTGGGTCCGCTGCAATAAAGATAAAAAGGTTTGGCTCAGAGGGCAATGGTTACAGATGGGTGGATTCTAAGGAGGATCCAAAAGTTAAAGTAGAAGAGAACTGATCGAGGCATAGTATTCACCAAGAACACTCCTGATGCAATGTGTGTATTATATCCAGCATTATGTTACCACGCACTCTATTCCCAAACTTGACTCGCAGTTCTCACGCTCCATCCTTTTCTCATCAACTTTCTTTTTTAGATGCCATTCAACATTCAATGCATTGGTTCTCCTCTTCATTAAGCTCTTATTAGATCTCTGACCTCAGCTTGTTTTAAATTACAAATGAAATTTCATCCTTGAAATAAATTACAATTACATGCTTGAATCTTTAGTGACGATAACGAGAAAAGTTCACAAGGGTTGGACAAAGGATAAGGAGGAACCATAATGACAGAGCAAGAATATGATGAAGTGCAACAATACTAGCAAGTGCCATTTGTCGCTATCCAATGTCGTTTGAAAAAAAAGGTTAAAAAACTAGAGGCGCCAGTGAGGGCACAGCACAGTTGAGCATGTTGCATCCTTGGATTGATTTCAATCATTCTTGCTTTCATACATCACTGCATCCCAATTACATAACTTTAACCCCCACTCTGGGATATCCTCTCTTTTAAAGACCATTCCAAAAAAAAAAAAAAAAAAAAAAAAAAAAAAGAGAACATTAATTTAATGCACATAGCTGTTTTCGCTACAGGTTTGGACATTGATGAATAATCCTTGGCTAGAATACATTGCGGCAGAGAGCATTTTATAGGCTTTATCAAAACCGAGATGCCTCCAGCCCCACTTAAATAGGAGATCTTAGTTTTTATGTAGAAAAATGAAGTAATAAATATCCAGAAATTGTGGCGCTGTGATCCACATCCAATTTTTATTATTTTCCACAATATCTTGCAGCAGTATTGGCCCTCTCTTTAACCTACTGAAGTTTAGTTCTATGATTCTTTAAAACATTGCACTGGCCTTCTTGGATGTATATGGTACTGGATGATACTGTCCTTTCACTTCTGTTTGGAATGCTTGATTAATTGTTCCGTGCTTTTTTTCCTCCCCTGCTCCCTCATTCTTTGATGCAAGTTTTGTCTGTCAAGCCAAGTCGCGTCTGATAGTTTTCAAGCTCCGTGGATAGCTTCTAGAGTCCTGAAAAAGATATAGACCAATGATGGCTCATGATATCAAGGAATCTTGAAACAAGATTGCGCCTTCGATCCCTTGTAATAACTTAGCCCAGCACTTGGAGTTCCGCGAATGGTAAAAGTATTTTAAGAAAGCTTTAATTAACGTTCATTGAACGCGTCTCTGCTTCAGATATTCAAGTATAACTACAGTCCTCCAAAAAAGTGTTGGCATGTTTCAATAATTTTACTTTATTCTTCGTAATCTCCATACCGTAGCGTTGCATTGTGCCCTTATAAGTATCGCATAATCTCCGGTATTATAGGTTGCCTTCTAGAAATTTCTAGCTCTCTCTGCCTTATGGATATGGCGGGAAGGCTCATGAAAGTTGACCGGTCCATTCTAACACTTTTTCGAAAAGCTATAAATTTCAGCTTCTTCCTCTCTACTAAGGCTGCCTTTGAGCCTTATCCACTATTAAGCATACCACTCAATTGCCCCGTCTGAGATATTTTATGGCGAGTCCGAAGTCAAGGAGATCAAAAAAGTTGTTTATTATTTTAGCTAGGTCGGAGCCTTATATAGGCTCCAACATAACCGTCACTAATTGCTCTGATCTATGAATAAAAAGGGGAGTGCTCCATTTGGGTACACTCCCTAGCCTCAGGACGTAACGCCGTCTCCTCTCTCTTATAATCCCATTATTCTCAAGACACCATGAGGGCCATTACCATCACAAACAGTCAAGGATGCTATGGCCATGCTTCGACAAGGAAAATCTGTCCGTGAAATATCCAGAACTCTCCATATCTCTACTTTTTCAGTTTCTAAGATTTATCAAAGAGGCAAAGCAAACATCCCACGCCCTAAAATGGGTCGCCCTACGAAAGTTACCAGGAGGACGAAGACCTTACTTGCTCGTTACTTTGATATTGGGAAAATTGTAACCTTAAAGGAAGGCCAGCGTTTCATCAAATCGACTGACGGAGTACAGATTCACGTAGAGAGCGTCCGAAATTACCTTGCACAAGAGAGCTTGAAAGAATATGTCAAGCGAAAGAAGCAGGATCTCACTGCGGATCAAATTGCCGCACGGTACCAGCAGTGCTCCTATTCGAATTGAATTATGATGTTTCAGATTAAAAAAATAAATATCAATTGACAAAATTTCAGTTTGAATACTAAGACAAGTCAGAGTAAACTTCCACACATATTTTGGCTCACATGACCCACATAGCCCACATGACTTAATGGAAACATCCACTATTTTTAATGGAAGGGTGTTGCAAACAAGGCAAACTCGAGCATCAAAGGGGACACCCCATTTTCGCACGCTGCGGCTCATTTCACTCGTCATGCCAGGTTTCACTTGCAATTTCACTCGCTGTGGCCGCTGCGCCTGATTTCACTCACATTTCACTCGCTGTGGCTGATTTCACTCACATTTCACTCGCTGTGCCTGATTTCACTCACATTTCACTCGCTGTGCCTGATTTCACTCACATTTCACTCGCTGTGTCTGATTTCACTCACATTTCACTCGCTGTGCCTGATTTCACTCACATTTCACTCGCTCTGCCAGGTTTCACTTGCATTTTCACTCGCTGTGGCTGATTTCACTCACATTTTCACTCGCTGTGGCTGATTTCACTCACATTTCACTCGCTGTGCCTGATTTCACTCACATTTTCACTCGCTGTGCCTGATTTCACTCACATTTCACTCGCTGTGCCTGATTTCACTCACATTTTCACTCGCTGTGGCTGATTTCACTCACATTTTCACTCGCTGTGTCTGATTTCACTCACATTTCACTCGCTGTGGCTGATTTCACTCACATTTTCACTCGCTGTGTCTGATTTCACTCACATTTTCACTCGCTGTGTCTGATTTCACTCACATTTTCACTCGCTGTGTCTGATTTCACTCACATTTTCACTCGCTGTGTCTGATTTCACTCACATTTCACTCGCTGTGCCTGATTTCACTCACATTTTCACTCGCTGTGTCTGATTTCACTCACATTTCACTCGCTGTGCCTGATTTCACTCACATTTCACTCGCTCTGCCAGGTTTCACTTGCATTTTCACTCGCTGTGGCTGATTTCACTCACATTTTCACTCGCTGTGCCTGATTTCACTCACATTTCACTCGCTGTGTCTGATTTCACTCACATTTTCACTCGCTGTGTCTGATTTCACTCACATTTCACTCGCTGTGGCTGATTTCACTCACATTTCACTCGCTGTGCCTGATTTCACTCACATTTCACTCGCTGTGCCTGATTTCACTCACATTTCACTCGCTCTGCCAGGTTTCACTTGCATTTTCACTCGCTGTGGCTGATTTCACTCACATTTTCACTCGCTGTGGCTGATTTCACTCACATTTCACTCGCTGTGGCTGATTTCACTCACATTTCACTCGCTGTGCCTGATTTCACTCACATTTCACTCGCTGTGCCTGATTTCACTCACATTTTCACTCGCTCTGCCAGGTTTCACTTGCATTTTCACTTGCTGTGGCTGATTTCACTCACATTTTCACTCGCTGTGGCTGATTTCACTCACATTTTCACTCGCTGTGTCTGATTTCACTCACATTTCACTCGCTGTGTCTGATTTCACTCACATTTCACTCGCTGTGCCTGATTTCACTCACATTTCACTCGCTGTGCCTGATTTCACTCACATTTTCACTCGCTGTGCCTGATTTCACTCACATTTCACTCGCTGTGGCTGATTTCACTCACATTTCACTCGCTGTGCCTGAATTCATTCACATTTCATTCGCCATGCCAGTTTTCATGTAACCGGTCCTGAGCATGAAAGGTCATCTTAATTTTGTTGTCTTTTCAAGCCTTTTTGCAAGCGAAGTTACTGTAATAATTTTGTAATAGGGGAAGTCAAAAGGTGATTTCATTACAATAATTAAAACAAACCTTTTTATAGGCTTAAGACAATATACTGTTACAGACATACAAGGAATTCAGGGACTGGATGAAAGCGTGCCCAGTAGGATAAAGAAGCTCTATGACAACAAAGGAGGCTTTTTAGACTATTAAAGTGGAAAATATGAGAAATAAAGTTCGAGATGTCATTTTTCTAAAAAGGTGTTATAATGGATGGCGCAATTTTATAAGTTTCTAAAAGCAGCCTAAACCGCCTTTACTTAAAGCTGAAGCCCGCTACAGGCTCTAGTGATATACCAGATTATATACATTTAACTTCAGGGCAAACGCAGGTAACATGGAAGAGATTGAAGAGAAAAGCCAGAAAAGCGACATACATGCTCACACTTTTTTGGAGGACTGTTGTAACAGTATATAGCCTTAAGCTCTTGTTTTAATAATTATTTGTACCTTGCCACAGTTAAACTCCCTCAATCCTCACCAAACACCGCCACCAACATGCACCCTGATATTGCTTCAATGTATTACAATGATCGTGAGCGCGTTTGCGAAAAGAAAGCTGTGGTAAGTGAGGCGATAAGATCATATGGAAGTCACGTTAATTTGCCACTGACGAATGCTTCCTGTCTCTATTCTGATCTTTCCATAAAGGGGAGTCGGCAAGCGGAGGCGCAGACTTTATTTTCTTATTTAAAATTTTGTCTCTTCCAGATTGTAAAAGGACCATCTTTCTCTCAGCTTCCTTTCGAACCAATCCATCGTTAATTTTCTTTTATCCATTTCGACCTGCCGCTTTATTTATACGATAGCCACGCTCATTTATATTTATCTTACCCTCACTCGTACTTACATTACCACTTTATATAATCATGTCGCAAAATTCAGGTGAATCAATGGAAAACGCCACTGCTCATGGCTGCCCGGATTGCGAACGCTCGTTCCCGACACCAGTACAGGCAAAGTATCACTGGAATGATCACCATAAGCAGGAATGCGCTATAACTCTTTCTGAGGGCACTGTCATCGAGTTGAGACGGCTCGACAACTATGATAACCATTTTCAATGCCCTGTCTGCGAATCGGGATTCTCCACTAAGTCTGCGGTGTTCAAACATTTGAGGTCCGCGTTACCATGTATTGAGTCTTTAGAATCCTCCTCCTCCCGCCCCACCACGACAAGCGATACTACGCAACCCCCTATGCCTTGGCCGGAGTACGACACCGCGCTACTCCGAGCCTGCCAAGGCTTAGAAAGCTCAGAGCCAAGCAGGGCAGCACTGTTGGTGCTGTTAAAGCAAGGTTGCAAAAGTCAAGGTAGTGTTCTAGGGGGATCTAAGGGTGCAATGAAGGTATCTTTATTCAGGGGGAACTATGCTACAGAACTAGATAGAAAAGTAGACCTATTTATACTAGTTAATATCCTGTTGCAAGGAATGCTCTAGAAATATGGGCGAAATACTATGTTGCACAAAATTATTATAGTGATTTCGCTTGCATCCTTCCCGTCATGAAGAAACCTATTATCTTGTTTTTCTTGAAGCCTCAAAGACGGCAAGCGCCTCTTTAGCGTTTGTGAGCGAAGATTTTGTTTCCCAAGTGGCTTCATCTAATGGATAGCCTTTCCAAAGAACGAGCCACTTAGGAGTTTTGCCAAACATTTTGAAGTCAATGATTTTGTCGACTTCATACTCCTCTTCTCCATCTACAAGCTCGGGGGCAGGGCGTGGTGGTAAGCGGTCGCCGAATTCACGAGGTGACTCAATATAGGGGCGAAGCAGATCGGCATTAAAGACTGGATGCTGATGCATGTCAGGCGGTAGTTCCAGCTTGTAGGCATTTTCATTGACCTTCGAAATGATCTTGTAAGGGCCTATGTACTCAGGTTCCAGTTTCTGCGACGGCCTATTTTTATGTCCCGCGACAGAGATGTTTTCCGAGCTTAAGAGCACCATGTCGCCCACAGCAAACGTAGCAGGCCTGCGAGTTTTGTCCGCTTGGGCCTTTTGCCTATTCTGCGCTTCGATGATGGCATCCTGAGCTAGCGCCAAATTCATCGACTGGGTTCGAACAAAATCACTGACAGCCGGAACATTGGTATCAGGTGGCTTTAAAAGAGATCCAGGGACTAGTGGATGGTGACCATAGTTCAGAAAGAATGGGGAGAAGCCTGTCGTAGGATTGACAGAGTTGTTGTATGCGAACTCCATCATAGGCAGTAAAAGATCCCAGTCGTTTTGCTTGTACGATATGTAAGAGCGGAGCATTTCTTCTAATGTTCTGTTGGCGCGCTCTGTTTGTCCGTCTGATTGTGGATGGAAGGCAGTAGACATGTTAAGTTTGGTGCCCATGAGCTTCATCAACGTTGTCCAGAACTTGCCGGTGAAACGTGAATCTCTATCTGACACAATTGTCCGAGGCATGCCGTGCAGTCTAAAAACATTGTCGAAAAAGAGTCGTGCAACATCAGAGGCAGTGTCGGTAGTTCGGCTAGCGCAGAAATGAACTTGCTTGGACAGTTTGTCCACAAAGACCGTAATCGCGTCAAAACCTCTGGCTGTCTTCGGAAGCTTGACAATGAAGTCCATTGTTACAGTATCCCATCGTTGGCTTGGAATTGCCAAAGGTTGGAAAAGCCCTGCAGGAGGCTTTAGTGAAGGCTTGTTACGCTGGCATTGCTCACAGGAAGCAATGTATTTTTTTATATCCCTCGCCATGCGTGGCCAAAAATATGTTCGTCGCATGCTACTGTACGTTTTATCGAATCCCAAGTGGCCTGATATAGGAGCGTCGTGAGCGTCATGCAAGAGTTGTGAACGGAGTCCGTCGTCCTTGGGTATGCAGAGGCGAGGGCCTTGTCCAGCGTTGATCCAGAGTAGACCATCCACCACGAAGTAACGATCCGAGGTAGAGGCATCCTTATACTGATGCACGAGGGGACCTAGAATTGGATCGTGTAGGTAGCAACTGGCTAGTTGTTTTCGAATGCCAGGGTCTAGATTGATATCCAAGGAGTTCAAAGTAGTAGGTGTAGCCTCCAAGTCCTTGAGGTCCGGTCTTCGTGAAAGAGCATCAGGGACGACGTTATCTTTACCAGGTTTATACTTGAATACGAAATCATACTCTTGAAGCAACTCCATCCATCTTGCTTGTCTGCGAGTCAAGTTCGGCTGGCTAGGAAAATGTTGTAGAGTGGCATGGTCGGTATAAACGACAAAGTGAGAACCATCAAGGTAGTATCGCCATGTCTTCAGAGCATGCACCACAGCCAGCAGTTCTTGTTCGTGTGTAGGATAGTTGCGTTCCGCTGGGTTGAGCTTGCGTGAAGTAAAAGCTACTGGTCGTGATTCACCATTTTGGTCCGTCTGGAACAGGACAGCACCAATTGCAAAGCCTGAAGCGTCTGTTTCGACTGCTGTAGAGAGGGCAGGATCGAATATCCTAAGAACTGGTGCTGAGCTCACTGCTCTTTTCAAAGTCTCAAAGGCGTCTTGTTGAGATTTTCCCCAGTGGAATTCCTTATTGGAGCCTAACAATTGTGTGAGGGGAAGAGCAATATCAGCGTAATGAGAAATGTACTGATGGTAAAAATTAGTCAAACCAAGGAATTGCATCACATGTCGTTGGGTTGTTGGTACTGGCCATTCCCTTATTGCCTTGACAAGTCCGCCATTCGTCTTGAGTCCATCCTTGGAGATGACATGGCCTAGGAACTCAGTCTCTTCCTGCATGAAGGAACACTTGGATAATTTACAATAAAGCCCAGCTTGACGCAAGAGGGAGAGTACTTGTCGGATGTGCTCTAAGTGATCTTTCTCGTTATCGGAGTAAATTAAAATATCATCGAGATACACAACAACACATTTATCAAGAAGTGGATCAAGTACGTTACGCATCATAGTCGAGAACGCTGCTGGTGCATTTGTAAGACCGAAAGGTACGACGTTAAACTCGTAGTGGCCATAGCGAGTTCGGAACGCGGTCTTGTGTTTATCATCAGGATGGACACGCATTTGATGATAGCCCGAGAGTAGATCCAGCTTGGTAAAACATTTAGCTGTTCTGAATCTGTCGATCAATTCATCGATCCGTGGTAAGGGGTACCTGTTTTTCTTTGTGATCTTGTTCAGGCCCCGATAATCAACACACATTCGAAGCGAGCCATCCTTTTTCTTCACAAAGAGGACTGGAGCACCGTATGGTGAGGTGCTCGGTGAGATTAATCCTTTTTGTAAAAGATCAGTTAGCTGCTTCTTCAGTTCATCAAGCTCAGCGATCGACAATCTGATGACAGGTCGGACAGGTGGGTCAGCATAAGGGTCAGTCTCTATACGCATGCTATCACCTCTGTCAGGGGGAAGGCCATCGGGAAGTGTTGTAGGAAAGACATCAGGGAATTCGACTTGAACGATTTGCTTGATAGAGTCCGGTAGTTCAGAACTACTGCTAGAGACAGGTACTGGAACTCGAACTTGGGCGAGGAATACCGAGGCATCAGGTTCCGAGGCAACGGTAAGGAAGTTAAGAGCAGATATGACGGAAGATCGCTGTCTAGGCTTCCTGTCGATGCCAGTGCAAGGCCACAAGACCGGGGTACCTTGGTATTCAAAATGCAGATCATTTGTTCGCCAATTGATGCGAGGGTTGATATCCGTCAGCCATGGTTTACCCAAAATTAGGTCGTATTTGGATAGAGGATAAACAATGGCGTTGATTTTATCCTGATACGCGTTGCGGGCGAGGGTGAACGTGGCTGTGTGCTGAGCAATTGTCTCGGTACCGTTGGGAAGAATGACAGGAATGGGTCTACCCTCAATTAGCGGAACATGTGTGTTCTCGCAGAAAGAGGAACTTATGACATTGCCTTCGGCCCCTCCATCTACAAGAATGCGCGCAGGTCGACCATTCACTGCTCCAATGAAAGTAAGAAGTCGGCGAGAGTTTTTATGTTTGTCATAGGTAAGGCTGAAGGATTGAAGGCGAATTTCGTTACGACAATGGGAGTGGCGATTGGATGAACTAGGGGTAGATGAATGAGTGGAAGTGAGTGAAGTGGAAACAGTGAAAGGATCAGTGGAGGGGAAAATAGGGTCGGAGAGGGGATTGTTTTTTAGCAATGAGGAATGAGTAGGGGAATGGGGATCAGGATGAGGTGAATACTTAGCGAGTAGATGTAAGGAAGTAGATGCAGTGGGAGCAATAGAGTGATCAGAAAGGGGCATGGATGTTATATTTGTGCACAAAGGATTTTTATTTGTAGTCATCAACTGTAACTGACCATGCCCTCTATTATCCAGGGCTTGAAGGCTGGGGCTAGAGGGGGCGAGGCAGGCCTGGTTTACTGCTCGCCCTCCTCTTTTCCCGACTCAGAAAGCGTATGGTCATTGTTTTCTATATTAAAGACAGAGGTGCGTTGGCATTGTTCGGCTCTATGACCTCGGTTCCGGCATCTGAAACAACGCCCCTCACGAACGCAACGTTCTCGTTCAGCTGCTGTGAGCTTGGGTAGCGAGCTTGGCTTGGAGTGGTTTCTGTTTGGTCGTTGCTGATGGAGAGAGGTGTACAGGTTGGCAACCAACATTCTCATGCTATCGAGATCCATTGGTGTAGGGCCAGAATTATTCTCATGATGGGGTGATAAGGCGTTCGGGGTAGCGGATACAGGGGTGGCATCGATGGGATGTAGAATACTGTGGACAATGGTCGCCTGCTCAATGGCATCGTCCAACGTCTCTGGCTGTCTAAGTCTTACCTGCTTGCTTGTTTCGGGCTCAAGGCCTAGCATGTATTTTTGCAAAGCAGAGTCTTTGTCGAGATTTGTAGCCAGACGTAGGTGGCTTCTAAACTTGCTCGTATATTCTGCCACACTCATCCTTCCCTGACGAAGTTTATCCAACGCTCGGCGAGCTGCATTCGCAGAATCTGGAGGGGTGAACTGACGGAGGAATGCTTTACGGAAGTCAGCCCAAGGTGTATCGAGATTCAACCCGGAATCTCTCCACCATGCCTTGGCTTCGCCATTGAGACTGAGGACAGCGTATCGAACCCATTTGGATGGCGTGAGTGTGACAATAGTGTAATACTCCTCCAGGCTGTCGACAAAGTTTAAGGCTGCAACAGCGTTAATAGCTCCTTCGTAAGGCGTAGGCTTCTGTGGCTTTAGGACCGTGGCGAGGGTTCTGGCTAGGTCATTCTCAGCGGCTTCGTTGGCTTTAGCAGTAGAGAGGGCCTGATTAAAAGCAGTAGCTATGGCTTCGCGAATGTTCAGAGGAAGATCGATGGACGAAAGGGCGTTATTCAAGTGTTCCATGGCGAGGGGTGAAATTCAATGGTAATTGTAGTTCTCTGGGTGTAGTCGTGGTTTCCTTTGCTACCAATGCAAAAGTCAAGGTAGTGTTCTAGGGGGATCTAAGGGTGCAATGAAGGTATCTTTATTCAGGGGGAACTATGCTACAGAACTAGATAGAAAAGTAGACCTATTTATACTAGTTAATATCCTGTTGCAAGGAATGCTCTAGAAATATGGGCGAAATACTATGTTGCACAAAATTATTATAGTGATTTCGCTTGCAAAGGTGGTTTCCGCCCGGCCTCACTGCTTGGTGAGTGTCACGAACAGCAAGCAATGTCTAGCTCATGAATTGATGAATGACTTTTGTCTGATTCGAATCTGAAAAAGATCACGTGTGCTTGATTAATTTGTTCCGCTCATTTCCTTCACTCATTCCTCCATGCATAGTTTGCCTGTCAAGCCAAGTCGCGTCTCCTAGTTTTCTAGCTCCGTGAATAGCTCCAAGGATTCTAGAAGAGCTATAAACCAATAACCAAGGCTTATAGTGCCAAGGAACCTTGAAATAAGATTGCACCAGATATCTTCCTCGGATCCTGTGTATTAAGTTAACTCAACACTTGGAGTTCCGCATATGGTAAAAGTCCTTAGGAAATATTTGAGTAAGCTTTATTTAGAGTTCTTGAAGCGCGTCTCCGCTTCAGTCAAACAAGTATAAATATGATAGATTTGTAACATAGTAAACCTCAGTCTGCAATAAAACTATTCGTGAATCCATTCTAGTTCTCAGCTCATTATCATTCTTGTTATTCATTCACTTACCTTTCCTTGCAAACCCTTTGTCAGTCCTTGACAGTGAGGACGGGAAAGTTATTGATGCGATTATACCGTCTCATCAGGTTGCTGGCCAAGCTAACGGCCCATGGCACACAGTGGCTAATCTACCAAGCCCCTCCAAGCGTAAGTGGGGAAGCGATTCGCCCTGTCAGAATTGTACGCCTCTTCCCGCCCTCGGACTAGAAGATATCTGGTCCAAAACACAATATCGGGTCCTGTGTGGCAGGTCGTTTGCGGAAATGACAAATGACACTCATCTCCTCGTCGATAAGGATTGGACGTTAAATCCTCAAATGATATTTGTGCTGGCGCGGCTATTTTCAGGCGCAATATTATTGAACACCAACAATGGTGAAGCTGTCATAGTCAACACAGTAGAGGCCTATGCAAGAACCCTTTGGCTGGACGCACACCATGAGCCTCTCAAGACCTCGAAGGGAATTGCATTGGAGACCTCACTGCCAGGCGTCAAGGGCAAGGATCGATATAAAGGATTCCGGCCTATTACGATGAACAGTGGTGATGGTTGCCAGCTTGTGATCGGGGCTTCATTTGCAAACCTCCTTGTGACATCCTCTTTACGGCTTGATAATAAGAATGTAGGAAGTGCTTGTTCTGTAGGAGGGATAACAGCATCCTTTGTAATCAGCAGTGTGAAGGATTCCCAAGCAATTAGGATCTATCTGGATGAAGAAAGCATTGAAGCAGCCAGGGCCCTAGCACTGAACACCGACAGTTGGGGTGTGCAAGAGAGTGCCATCGTGTACCAGCTTCGTCAACTAAGGACCAAGTTTCACGAGGCGTCCACGTTTATGTTCTGCAGAGCATCAGGTCCTCTTACAAACCTGCACCCATTCATGCCATATACTGTCTTCACCATATTTGACAAGATGGTTGGCTCGAGTGGGTGCGCTTATGCAGGAGCCGCCTTGTTTCGCTTCCTTGGCGACGCAATGCTTTTCTACAGGGCTAAACGTTCGCCTACTTTAGTCCTTCCGCGTAATGTTACTGAGCGGTACCGAGGCTACTGCAAAGAGGAAAGTGAGATGATTTCGCACTTTGACGCCATCCTTGAGCTCTTTACGCCTGGATTGGATTCGGTGCCAATTTTGGGAAATATGAACTTGAATAAGCCTTTGGAGAAAATCGCGAAATTGCTTATGCCCTCGATTACAATTGCCAACCAGAAGGTAGCTTGCTTTATCAGCCAGCAGGCATTTGGACCAAATACGAGTGACGAGAAGGATGCGCATGTACAGTTTGAAAGGTCTACCAAGCTCATCAGATCCAGTGATCCTGCCAAGCGCCAAAATCCCAAGGATGAGGATTGTCTCAAACAATAGCTCACCCACTGTCTCATTACATGCATTCCACGGTTCCCATCGCGCCGCCATATACCTGCACGTCATTATACTGACGTTTCTCATAACGTATTTTAATAAATTCTCTTTTAAAGATATCCATGTACATCCTGTTCTTTGCCCCCACTTCTTTTGAGTTGCGTATTCCTTCTACTAACGTTTGAACAATGCACATGCTCACCACGGTTAACCAGGGCTACACATGCCTCCTCGGCAATTCATAATGCATCACATGATATGGCGATAGGATCATGGCATTGGGAGATGGTATGCGTGCACCCATGTGCACAAATGTATATCCAAACGCGATCGATGCTGAGTAGTATAGCCTTTAACTATATATGCAGTATAAAGGTCCTGAGTGGAGCTAAACCCTTTGGATGGGAATTACTGGGACAAAGACGACAGGATTGACATTGTGAAGGCTGCCCTGGGTACGACCAGTGCTCCCATTCGAACTGAAATTTTGTCAATTGAAATTTATTTTTTTAATCTGAAACATCATAATTGACAATATTTCAGTTCGAATGGGAGCACTGGGTACGACCAAAAAACCATAGACTGCTTCCACGGAATAGCCAGTAAACACTTCCCGAGGGTCTCCTTAATAGGAAAGGTATGGACATACATGTACACTGACATGCAAACCTGAATGAATGTTGTAATCTTTTTTTTTTTTTTTTTTTTTTTTTTTTTAAAAAAAAAATAAATTTTAGCAAGAACTTGTCTCATTACCATGGTTACCATGGATGTTGACTGCATGGTATCCTTTGATCTTGGTAGAAGGATTGCTAGCCTAGGAGGATATGGTCTATCCCCGTTATTATGGTATTGGTAAGAAAAGTATACCTAGTCATGTACTCAGTTCTGGAAGTGCAAGCCGAACAAAACAAACTATTGCTTTCTATCAGTCCTGTCCCGCCTATATAAAAGCTCATGCTCCATAGCAGTGCTCCTATTCGATGAAACTGTGTCAGTTATGAACGGATGATATTCAGATTAAAAAAATATATATCAATTGACAAAGTTTCATTTCGAATAGGAGTACTGTTATGGAGCATGAGCTTTTATATAGGCGGGCCAGGACTGATAGAAAGCAATAGTTTGTTTTGTTCGGCTTGCACTTCCAGAACTGAGTACATGACTAGGTATACTTTTCTTACCAATACCATAATAACGGGGATAGACCATATCCTCCTAGGCTAGCAGTCCTTCTACCAAGATCAAAGGATACCATGCAGCCAACATTCATGGTAATGAGGCGAGCTATCGTTAAGATTTATTTTTAAAAAAAAAAATCAGCAAAGACCACAATCCAGACAAGCCGAAGAACAATAAAGAAGCCTTGGGACCGAAATCAAGAGACATGGACAACATCGCACCTGAGGATTTACAAGGGCTGTATAGAGTGCATTAATAAGGATACTGGAGCAGCATTAGGGCAAAGAAAAGTAAAAGGAAGAAGAAGAAGAAGAAAAAAAAAAAAAAAAAAAAAAAAACACAAAGAGTCATTCTTTTGGCAATGATGTAATGAACAATGACTCATTACATTCCAACCTGAGTCACAAATATCAAAGCAAAGAGGGTGCAAGGAGCCAGACAAAGAAGATTGAGAAGGCATGGTGACAAGGAAGAACGGTGGAAAGAATATTGAGAAGGATGAAAGAATGAAATGCAATCCATCAGCTGCCTTTTGAGCCTGTCAAGCAAGCTTTCTCCAGAGTTATTTTTGACAGAAAGCTTAATGGTGTAAAATTTGCAGTGCCGTCACAGTTTGCTTCGTGATGCTTTGTATAAAACAATGGCTACAGGCAAGGAATGATGTGTTTTAGTCTCTTTTAAGAAAAGATAACTTTACCTGCATTATTTGAAGAAACAGGTGGGGATAACCAATACGGATGCCCGCCTTACCTCCATATCTCAAAGAAGGCGTACAGCAAGCTCTCTGATGACAAAGGGCGACATTTGTTGTATATTTCAATATACAAGATAATAACGGCCCAGCTATAAGATTAAGAAAAATACTAAAAACGCACTAGGAACACACTAGGGGAATTCCTAAAATTAATACGCTAAGAAAAGTATAATAATAATAACGCGTCACTAGAGACGCGACAAAACACCGACATGGTTCCTGAATAATCCCATGTCGCTTCTAGATAGATATGTAGTTACTTGGTACGAGTCTCTCTACCAGAAAATGAATAAATACCCCATGGATGTGGTGTGTGGACCCACATCTTATTCTCACTTATCTTAGCTTCTGATAACTACTGTCTAAATATTTTTCAACATTGATTGTCGCCCATAGTAATGAGCAGTAATAGTGTCGGTTGCAGGCGATATTTTCTATTTATTTTTTTCCAATACTCTCTGCGAACACATGCTTCACGTTAGAAAAAACTTTAGAGAAAAGGTTCGCCATGGCTCGCAGAATAACATCAGCCTTTGAAGTCTTCTCGACATTCAAGCCATGATCCATAAAAAGTCACGGCTTTGTAAGTTCTTCGGAGGGCTCATCAATGCCCAATATCCTCAAAATGATCCAACTATACAAAGTGAACAACGTTGCTGGGGTTTTACCCAAGTGGCCGGATCCCTGAATGTCATGTCAAGCCAAGAGCCGCACCATCAATCAGTGACTCGTCTTATCTCGTCATGGATATCAGAAGACCAACACTTTGGACGCCTGTCACGAACAGCAAGCAATGTCTAGCTCATGAATTGATGAATGACTTTTGTCTGATTCGAATCTGAAAAAGATCACGTGTGCTTGATTAATTTGTTCCGCTCATTTCCTTCACTCATTCCTCCATGCATAGTTTGCCTGTCAAGCCAAGTCGCGTCTCCTAGTTTTCTAGCTCCGTGAATAGCTCCAAGGATTCTAGAAGAGCTATAAAGCAATAACCAAGATTTATAGTTCCAAGGAACCTTGAAATAAGATTGCACCAGATATCTTCCTCGGATCCTGTGTATTAAGTTAACTCAACACTTGGAGTTCCGCATATGGTAAAAGTCCTTAGGAAATATTTGAGTAAGCTTTATTTAGAGTTCTTGAAGCGCGTCTCCGCTTCAGTCAAACAAGTATAAATATGATAGATTTGTAACATAGTAAACCTCAGTCTGCAATAAAACTATTCTTGAATCTCCTAAGTTCATTCTTGTTCCTAAATCACTTACCTTCTCTTGCACTCGTCCTGTCAGTCCTTGACATTGCAGACTCTACACAATCCTTGTCTTGTCTCCCCCTAGTTCTCAATAAAAATATTTCCTTTTTCTTGTCCACTGTTTAACTACACCTTTCCTTGTCCCTTACCTGTTCCACCATGTCACAGAACCCCCATCCAGAGATCTATACTCCGCGAGCCCTCGAAGAGCTTGCTCAAGACCCTAACGTGGATCCTCGCCAAGTTCTAGCACACCTACAATCCCACGCTGAGGCCGTTAGCGGCATGCAACAGCAAATCCAGAATATCCAAGGCATAATGAATCAACAACATGCACAACTAAATAGCAATCCTGATCCTGCAGGGCTAATCACCCTCCGTAGTGCCATTGAAGCTCTTGCAGCACAACACCAAGAACAAAGGAGCATGCAGCGCACCTTTGAACGGGACATGCAGTCCATCTTAAATCGCCTTGCCAACCGGGCCACCGCCCCCGCTGTACGAACTGCTGTTCCACAGCCTATCGCCTCTAAATTCAAGGGCAACAGTGAGGAGCTGTCTCTTTCCGACTTCCGTGCCCGCCTCCAAGTTGTTTTTGCCCGCTTCCCCGATGCCTTGTCCAGCGATGAGGACAAAATCAATTATTCCCTCCAGTGCCTAGATGGCGACGCATCTCGGCACTTCGCTCCATACATCAATGGAGAACTTGAGGATGTCTCTGGTGTCTTGACTTCGTATGAAGTATTCATCGAAACCCTTGAAGAATTCTTTGGTGATCATCTTGAACAAGAAGACGTCGAGCACCAGCTCTCCTGTATCCGCCAGTCAGGTTCCATGATCGAGTACGTGACAGAGTTCCGCCGCCTTGCTGCCCGCAGTGGTTGGAATGACCGAGCTCTCAAAGCTCGCTTCAAGAAAGGTCTGTCGAGCGAAATCCATGGCCTCCTGTTACCCCAATGGTCCAAGTTTAAGACTGTGCACGAGGTACAGACCGCTGCGATCGATGCGTATAGAAATCTGTCCTCGCATCGTCGTCAGCGACCTCGTTTTGATTACTTCAAGTCTCAACATCAACCTGCTCGTCGCCCTCCCCCAGCGACTACTTCTGCTACAACAACCTCCTCCTCAGCTCCATCTATGGCAATGGATGTAGATGCTATGCGCGCTCGGCGCCTCACACCCGAAGAAAAGAAGCGCCGCAGAGATATGGGTCTTTGCCTGTACTGTGGGGGCGCTAACCACATTGCCCTGAATTGCCCTACCAAGAAAACCATCCATGCTTCGGTTGTTGAAGCCGAATCGGGAAACGACTCTGCCTAGGCTCCGACGAGGAATGGATCCTAGGAAATATGCTCACTACTTCCTCGCCCTCAAGACCTAGAATCTGCCTCCTAGTTAATATAACCTTGTCCCTGCCTAGTCAACCCCCTGTCCAAACCAAAGCTCTCATCGACTCTGGGGCGCAAGCTTCTTTCATCGATGTGAGCCTCGTCACGAAACATAACCTCATCACTGTCCCCTTGTCCACTCCCCTTCGTCTCAACATGGCTGATGGTCAGGCCAGCCTTCACGGCCTTGTCACCCATCATGCCCCTGTCTCCCTAGCCATAGAAAATCATCGTGAAAATTTGTCATTGAACGTCACTAGTATCCAGCACCCAGTCATCCTTGGTATCGATTGGCTTGAAAAGCACAACCCTGCCATAAACTGGAAAAGGCGACTAGTTTCTTTCTCCGATGACTTCTGCAATAAAACCTGTTTTGAACAGTATCCTGTCGTGTCTTGTGAAACAATCTTGTCTAGCTTTCTTGCTTCTAGTTTCGTCCCTAGTCTTGCTCCTAGTCTTGATCTTGAAAATAATATATCTGTTAATGAGTATTATCTCTGTCAATTACTCTCAGAATATCTTGAGGACCTATGTCCTACCCAGTCCTTGATCTCTGTTCCTGACCTCTCTTGTTTTTCTCTATCCCTGAATTCCAGCACCTCTGAACCTTGCCCTGTAACACTCTCTGAATCTTTGCCCCCAACCTATTCTGAGTTCGCACCACTTTTCAAAGAAAAAGAACTTGGAACTCTGCCTCCTCATAGACCCTTTGACCATGCTATCTCTCTTGAACCTGATTCCAAAATTCCATTTGGCCCCTTGTATACTTTGTCACATACTGAACTCGAAGCCCTTAAAGAATACCTTGATGATAATCTGAAAAGAGGATTTATCCGAAGGTCAGAATCCCCTGCCGGCGCTCCTGTCCTATTTGTTCCAAAAAAAGATGGCAAACTCAGACTTTGTGTAGATTATCGAGCCCTCAACAAAATAACAATCAAGAACCGCTGCCCCCTACCCTTAATATCAGAGACCTTGGACCGACTACGGTTAGCACTCATTTTCACCAAGTTAGACCTCAAGGGCGCGTACAATCTTGTTCGTATAGCTAAGGGTGACGAATGGAAAACCGCCTTTCGCACTCGATATGGCCATTTCGAGTACCTTGTGATGCCTTTCGGGCTCACCAATGCCCCAGCCACCTTTCAAGCCTTTCTCAACGAGGTCCTTCGTAGCTGCCTTGATACCTTCGTCGTCATCTATTTGGACGATATCCTGATTTATTCCAACAACGAGGAGGAACACGTCCACCATGTGCGTAAGGTCTTGCAATTACTTATGGATGCTGACCTCCAAGTCAATTTGGAAAAATGCCAGTTCCATGTTACCACCGTTGAGTTTCTCGGTTACGTGATCTCTCCTACTGGCATCTCCATGGACCCTGCCAAGGTTAAGGCTATCACATCATGGCCTACCCCTGCATCTGTGCGCGACATCCAAGTGTTCTTGGGCTTTGCCAACTTCTATCGTCGCTTCATCAAGAATTTCTCCAATGTAGTTTCGCCTATCACAAGCCTCCTTAAAAAAGATGTGCCCTTTGTCTGGGGTCCTCCTGCTCAAAAGGCTTTTGACGAGCTTCGAAGGGTTTTCACAACCGAGCCAGTCCTGTCTCACTACAACCCAGAAAAACCATGCTTTCTCGAGCCCGATGCTTCTAAGCACGCTTTGGGCGCTGTCTGTAGCCAGGCGGACGACAAAGGAGTGTTGCGGCCTCTTGCTTACTATTCTCGCTCTCTGACACCCCCTGAGCGAAACTACCATGTCCATGATACTGAACTCCTAGCCGCTGTAGAGGGTCTGGAACAATTCCGCCACTACTTCGCGTACTCTCAGTTCCCTGCCACCATCCTAACTGATCATAAGAACCTCGAGTACTTTTCTGAAAAACGTTCCCTAAGTTCTCGTCAAGTACGCTACGCCGAACGTCTATCCAAGTTCAAGTTCCGCGTGGTCTATCGCCCTGGCATTCTCAATGGTGCTGCTGATGCCCTCTCTCGCATGCACCCTCCTGAAGGGGGGGAAGACGCTGTCTATGACGCGATCCTGCCCAAACTAGAACCATGGGACACAAAATTATTAGCCGTAGCCACACATCAAGAATCAAGCAGTAACGACATCACTGCAAGAATCAAAGAATCCTACCTTCAAGACGAAACAACAGCTGCTATATTCCACAGCCTACACCAAAAGCCAGAGTCCTACCCAGAGCATGCTATCGAGGATGGTCTACTATACCATAAGGGCCGCATCGTCGTGCCCGCCAATGACCGCATCAAGCTGGATATCCTTCGTCACTGTCATGACACCATCATCACGGGTCACTTTGGAGTTCATAAGACCTTCGAGCTTGTAGCACGCACCTATCATTGGCCAAAGTTGCGTCAGTTCGTCAAGAAGTTTATCCTTACATGTGACATTTGTCGGCGCAATAAGACCACTCACCATAAGCCATATGGCTTGTTGCAATCCTTGCCTGTACCCGAGACACCATGGTCCTCCATTTCCATGGACTTTATCACTCAACTGCCACCCTCTGAGGACAAGACTGCTATCCTAGTTGTCGTAGACAGATTCACCAAGATGGCGCACTTTATCCCATCAACAGACAATATCGACGCCGCAGGATTAGCCACTTTGTTCCTACATCGTATCGTAGCTGTCCATGGTCTCCCTGATGATATCATCACTGACCGTGGATCCCTGTTCACCGCACAATTCACTCGAGACTTCCTTCAAGGCCTAGGTGTGACTCAGAATCTTGCTACAGCATTCCATCAACAGACTGATGGTCAAACCGAAAGAACAAATGCTACTCTGGAACAACATCTACGTTGCTTTCTGAATTATCAGCAGGACAACTGGGTTGGTCTGCTCCCTATGGCAGAATTCTGTTACAACAACACTGTCCACTCATCCACCAACCAGACGCCATTCTTCGCGCATCAAGGGTATCACCCAAAATTCAGTTTCGTAATCCCGAGGGTTGCTGCCAGTAGTCCTAGTGCTAAAAATCGTCTACAAGTTTTGAAAGACGTTCAAGAAGACCTTCAGTTTTATATTCGTGAAGCCCAAGAATCGCAAGAGCGTAATTACAACCAACATGCTCAGCCACAGTCATCATTCTCACCTGGCGACATGGTGTGGTTGTCAAGAACCAATATAAAGACTACCAGGCCCTCCGATAAACTCGACGCTAAACGACTTGGGCCTTTCGAGATAGTTGAAGCCGTTGGAACGCGCTCGTTCCGACTTAAACTGCCAAAAGAACTTTCACGACTTCACCCTGTTTTCCATGTCTCTCTGCTTGAGCCCTACCATGCTAATTCCATCCCGGGTCGTGTCGCTCCACCGCCTCCTGCGGTTGAGATCGATGGCGAAGACGAATACGAGGTCGAAGAAATCTTGTCATCAGAATTTAAGAATCGACGCTTCCGTTACCTAGTCAAGTGGATTGGTTATGATGAGCCTACCAAAGAACCTCCTAAAAATCTCGAGAATAGTCAAGACCTTGTTCATGACTTCCATGAACGTTACCCACACTTACCTCGGCCACCTGGGTATTCGCCGCGATCAGGAGATCGCTCATAAGAGGAGGGATTGTCACGAACAGCAAGCAATGTCTAGCTCATGAATTGATGAATGACTTTTGTCTGATTCGAATCTGAAAAAGATCACGTGTGCTTGATTAATTTGTTCCGCTCATTTCCTTCACTCATTCCTCCATGCATAGTTTGCCTGTCAAGCCAAGTCGCGTCTCCTAGTTTTCTAGCTCCGTGAATAGCTCCAAGGATTCTAGAAGAGCTATAAAGCAATAACCAAGATTTATAGTTCCAAGGAACCTTGAAATAAGATTGCACCAGATATCTTCCTCGGATCCTGTGTATTAAGTTAACTCAACACTTGGAGTTCCGCATATGGTAAAAGTCCTTAGGAAATATTTGAGTAAGCTTTATTTAGAGTTCTTGAAGCGCGTCTCCGCTTCAGTCAAACAAGTATAAATATGATAGACTTGTAACATAGTAAACCTCAGTCTGCAATAAAACTATTCTTGAATCTCCTAAGTTCATTCTTGTTCCTAAATCACTTACTTTCTCTTGCAATCGTCCTGTCAGTCCTTGACAGTCGCTGGATACGGATGAGAGTTCATCGGCATTGGATTCAATCTAATACGAACAATAATAGCCACTGTTTTAGTCATTTTGTCTGTATAGTCGCATCTTCAAGCGACGGTTACTGCTGTTACCTCAGGCATGCCTACTAAGAGAGCTAATTACCGGATACGGTGGAACAACACTTGATCTGCAGATTCAAGCTTCCAAATGTTGGACGTTTCGCCTTGAAGAGTCTTATGGACATCATGCTCGACTGCATTCGCTGCATAAATGCCACATGAACCACCATCTATCTGTGGCTCTACAAGCAACTTCCTAACAGGCTTATTCCATGCTTGTGCTCCTCTGCCATCGAAGCACTTTATTAGCCATCGGCGGACGCCATTGATTGTTTCTTGAGGCGTAGGATAACTCAAGGAGTCCCCAAAAGCTATCTCATGGCGTTTGAAATCGATAGAAAGTACACCCCAGTGGTTTTTCATATGTATAATGGCGTATGCTTTTTTATACTTGCCGGACTTAATTTCCGCTTGCTTCCAGCCTCCGCCATTGGTTGCTCTGAGCTCCTGGTTTCCCAAACATAATGTTTGATATGATGGAATAAAAAGGAACTCTTCATAGACGGACTGGAACATCCCCAGGATGCCGTCCAAACTTCCATCGTTTAGCCACTGAGTGCCAGCGAATGGGAGGATGTCATGTATGGAAACTGATACTCCCGAGAGAGTGAAGTGGTGCATCCATGTGCATGAGCTAAGTCGCGGCATGAACGATGCCTCAAACACGGGGTTGGCTGTGCGTACTTCTTTTTCGAGCCATTCTACCATACGATGGAGCTTATTGATAAATTCCACCACTCCAATGACTTGTGATATTAGCAGGAATGTGGAATAGTCTAGACCAGCATTGTCAATCAAGACCCAGCACGGAGTCTTTTTCGCATCCATGTTTTTTTTTATTCTGTCGAATTCACCTTGAGTCGGGATACAGCTTAGGAGAAAGAACTTTGAAGGCGGCAAAATTGTTTCGGGCTCATTGTCGGTCAGATGCAGCGGATCAGAACTGAATTTCGGAAGACTAGGTTGCCAAGCCAGCAAATCTTTGCAAGTCATCTGACTACACCAGTCTTGGCCAAAAAAGAAAGGGACATCAGTAGGTGACATGACAAGAGAATCAGTTAGTGAGGCGTGGGAAGGTTCGCTAGACATGCTGGAAAGTAGAAGAGTGAGAAGGAAGGTTTACTGTAGATATTGAGGTGAGCAAGTGTTGAAAAGCTTTTGAAAAGTAAGAAAGAGATATAATCCCCAACGATGTCCATGGGTTATTTATCAAAGATATTACTCTAACAATGTTCCTTGTCATGGCCTCATAACGCGGTACCCCACTACACCGCCTTGTCATGGCCTCATAACATGGCGCCGCCCCACTGCGCCGCACTAACCCTCTATGGCATTTCACCCCTACAGCCCATTGCGCCATTCTGCAAACAGTCCGTCCACTCGCGTTTTTCTTTTGTTTACGACGACGCCAACTGCAGGAATAAAGGTATTTGTCACACGAATAAAACTAAAAAAAGAAAGACGATTTTTTGTCATTATCATCCCTTATTTAATCTGTTCCCGGCATCACGTAAGTTAGCCGCTTTCAATGTGGTTGTTTGACATTTTATCCTTGTGGTTGATTTTGGTCGGCCCCTGGAAGCTGTACTTCGTCTAGTCATAAACTGGATATATTTTTATATTTTTCAGGCTTTTCAATTGAATAGAATACTTCTATTTTTGAAACATGTACAAACTCAAAATTTTAAGGTTTTTCTGTTGTCCCCCCAAAACTTGTTATCTTCTTTCACACCAAACATGCCCACAGTATCTGGCGTAAGATCTACCGCTTCAGGGATGTGAGTAAAGTGGGTTGGCAATGAGGATGAGGTTGTCCATTCCCAGCAAATTCTAGTATTTTTAATCAAAAACGACGATTGAATTGGTGGCCATGGCATCATTTTATTCAAAGTATATATATGAATTTCTGTCTTCGTACAGTACTAAATAACTTTTTGGCAAGGGGGTTCACACATCGCTTGACCGCCTGTGATAATTGTTATAATTTAATTTGTTTTTTTTTTTTGTTGGGGTCCAAAATGTTGCCATGTCGTCGTTGACTGCGTTTTCTTTCGTCTTTTCCTTAAGCTGACAAGCATATACTTTGTTGAAGACAACCTGAGAAAACACTTGCATCCTCCTCTATAATTGACAGTTACAGTTAGAATTAGCATCATTCATACGACACTTTGCGACAAATGACCACACGGCACAAGGTCATACCTTCGTATTGATGAGAGTTGCAAACCCACCTTCTGCAATGAACGAGTACATTTCATTTTCTGAGGTTGGTAATACAATGGGGATCTCGGTCACCTTTCCAGCAGCATAATAACCGTTAAATCTCTTGACTGTATAAGTATAGCCAACAAAGCCATGCAAAGTTAGAAGAACGGAAGATGTATCCACACCGTATTGTTGATGCAAAGCACTCATAATGGATTTATTTAAGCGAGTTGCTTTCAGTGTCTGGATGGAAAGCGTGTTGTCATTTGCGGCTGATGGCTTGGCTTCGAATACAGCGAGGTTATGCCGACATTCTTTCCTCCTTAGAACTGTCGTCTTGCATTGGAATAAGAGGTCAACTTCCCTGCCTCTCAAGTTATAGTCATTTAAAGCAAAATCCCACTCAGCTTTCTGCCTGTCCTGCTTGCTCTCAATGAGACCTGGCTCACCCCTGAGTAAAAATAATGAAGTCAGCACCAAATAAAACATGTATCCACATGAACTGTTTCATTCCATCTCCAACATACGTACGTTCATATCCCAACGTCTTTCTCACCGAACAAAAGGTGAAAAATGCTCTCCCAAACGCCTACATATTGGTCTTCTAAAAGTTCCCTTGTCCACATACAATTATAAATTATTTTACACCTGTATTGTAAGCGGGGTACGATGAGAGATAATTAATATTGATTAGATTTGATATGACTAAAAAGAATGAAAAAAAAATGGATGGATAATAGGGATGGATGGATGGATGGATGTACTTACAGGTAAAGGATCACATCAATACATCTGGAACGCTCACTATTTTCGTCATTGGTGACAATAAACTCCTTGAACTGGTCTGCACAGTACACCTTTAGCTTCTTGTAATCTCGATCGGGCCCCATTGCGTTAAGGAGATCATTTATCAAGGATTTTGTGTCATCGGATGGCAATGTAAAATCTTCTTCGAAGCAAGCTTTTTTTGCCGCCTCAAATTCTTTAAAATGCCGCATCTCATTATCCATTGTATTCAAGATCCCTGAAAGTGCCACCCTAATTAAGGGAAATTAATAAAAGCCATATCAGAACGAAGCTATATTAATAGAGTATATCAAGAGCTATCATTACACTAACATACATTGTCGACTTTCTTTCTAGTTCGGAAATTGCCCGCCAGCGAGAAATATTTGTAGATGCATAGTCGCGTAATTCTTTGGTGGTTCCGGACAGGGCTGACAAGGCTGACGAAGGCACAACAGAAACGGCCCGAACATTATGGTTGTACTACACAATAGAACAACTAACGTAAGAGCACTGAAGAAATACCTTGGTAACTGTGAAATAAAATAAAACTTACTAGCCGATAAAGCTGAGCAATCAGATCACCAAATGGCGACTCGACGGGTATCGGCTGAAGATCGTCATCGTCATCGTCATCATCATCGTCATCTTCTATGGGCCTTGGATCTGGTGGAACCGGTGTAATAAAATTTTTTTAGAAATGAACCTTATATATGATATTAAGAAAATAGTAAAATTAATAATAATAATAATAATAATAATAACAGTACCTCCATTTTCGTCCCAGCGTTCCTCGTCGATATCAACGTAAGCTTTTTTTGCCCACGCTCGTTCTAGTCCTACTCCGTAGTTTATTGCTCCTTCGTGTTCACTGTTAAGAAAGCTAGCAATTATCTCTTGCCAGTCATTATGCGCCTGTATTTTTGTATATCCAACAACGTTTGAAGAAATCTTGGTACTTGACATCGGTAAGACGTCTGCAGGTTTGAACAAATGCCTTTGTGTGAAATCCCTTCACCAGTCCTTTCCACTTGCCCCTCTTTGACTCAGAGCGGCGCATGATGACAGGCAGTCTATTGCAGTTTTTGAAGGAAACAATGTGAATGGGTACGCTCACAGTCAAAGAAGGCTTGCTAAAGCGTTATTGACTATCCTGGGTCTCCAAGCAGGCAACCACCTTTAGACTCTAGCATAGCGAATCTTCGAGTGGTGTTGAACCAGGTATAACCTGATCAACAGCGTGATGGAATAGCAGGATTGAGCTTCAACACGGTTCAAGAAGGCTCTGCTCGAGCGTTATGAACACTCCAAAGCCTCAAAGCAGGCTACCACTACCGGACTCTAGCGTAACGAATCCTCATGGTGTTGAATGATTAACACCCAACGCGCGTGATTGAGGACAGTGTAGTCAAACCCAAGAAAGTACAACAGGCGGTGGAATATATTAAGGGGTGGGTTCTGAGAAAGGACATGAAAAAAATTGCGTTTCACATAATGTGTTCTAGAAGGAAAGAGACCTACGAATAGATCCAAGATAAGCAAAGATCACCAAACACGACCATCCAGTAAATACTCCATAATTAAAGATGTAATCAATGTTCAATGTTTGAGATAAAGCCATCACCGTACATACCTAATGAGAGAATGAACGAGAGTGGTGGGAGAGTGGGAGAGAGAGAGATGATTGAGAGAAGTGATTGAAAGAAGTGGGCAGGAAAAAAAACAAAAAAAGGCAAGCCACGCATGCCTTGCGTCATCATTTTATTTTTGGAACAAGTGTCCTTTTGGAACAGCCGAAAAATAAGGTTCGGTATTTCACACGCTGTCATCACCAGTGTTAAAGAAGTGCTTGTTACTATCCTTCAAAGAAAGATGGTACCATACCTATCAAATGTACGGTAGAAGATGACAAAATGCACCAAATAAAAAAAGAATGAAAAGAATCCGTTCAGTATTTATTGAGATAGCGTCTAAAATTGTAACAAAGTTGGGTGCTTTTAAGGACTTTACAGCCTACTGGCATGAATGCATCTTGCTGGAGTGCTAGGAAGCAGGCACCACTGGAATGGCCAATAGAGAAGCTTATTATCTTCGGTTTAAAGTGACTCTTAAGAGGACTCACTCAGTATCTATGTAGTAGCACCTGTATAAAGCCAGAAAAAACCAAATTTATGCCAATTTGACACACTCAACGGGCTATTACGCCGGGATCTTGAGAGGTAGAGCCTAGCCAAAGCAGAGAGTGGTTCAAGTTGCCAACATTTATGATATGAATGTTGTTTGTCGACATTTCATCCAGTGGTTCTTGAGTAATGGCCCTTGAATATCGAAAAATCTCTATTTCTCGCGACCAAGTCGCTTTTACTTAAAGTAAGCTGATTTTTCTGGCTATATAACCGGTGGTGATTTTACCACCGTTGGATCCGCAATTGAAAAGTACATATAACCTGAAAGTCTTGAAGATTTCAAGTGTATCTTTATTGTGCTTCGTCGTTTTTACCAAGTTCTGCAAAACTAATTTTGAAATGGCGTCTAGATTGGTCAGGTACTCTATCTTGTTGCACTTGGCACATTACTACGGGTATTTACTTTCGTTAAAAAATGCAAAACTATATATTGAAAGTTGCGCTCCGGTGCCAGCAATCGGCCCCAGGTCGAAGCAATCCAATTGGGTCTGAAATGAGCGACTTTACCTATAGCGCCATGGATATCTACATACTTTTCCGACAAATATAAATATATTTATCTTCATGAAATACGCCCTATTAAGCAGACAAATGACATCTAATCACATGACAACAATTGTTTTTTTGTACAAAAAACCCTGTAGATATTTTTAAAAAAAAAAGCCATGTAGATATCCATGGTGCTATAGGTAAAGTCGCTCATTTCAGACCCAATTGGATTGCTTCGACCTGGGGCCGATAGCTGGCACCGGAGCGCAACTTTCAATATATAGTTTTGCATTTTTTAACGAAAGTAAATACCCGTAGTAATGTGCCAAGTGCAACAAGATAGAGTACCTGACCAATCTAGACGCCATTTCAAAATTAGTTTTGCAGAACTTGGTAAAAACGACGAAGCACAATAAAGATACACTTGAAATCTTCAAGACTTTCAGGTTATATGTACTTTTCAATTGCGGATCCAACGGTGGTAAAATCACCACCGGTTATATAGCCAGAAAAATCAGCTTACTTTAAGTAAAAGCGACTTGGTCGCGAGAAATAGAGATTTTTCGATATTCAAGGGCCATTACTCAAGAACCACTGGATGAAATGTCGACAAACGAAGCTTATAGCATAGCTATTGCCTAGACGTGCAATACTCTACTTTGGCTAGACTCTGTCTCTCGAGGTTCCGGTGGTTACGGCCCATTGAGTGTGTTAAAAATAGCTTTTTTTGGTGCTTGAAATAATATTTACAGGTACTACTTCATGGATTCAGAACGGATTCTCTTGGTAGTTGATTTAAATCAAAGCCGATAAGTTCCTCTATTGCCACCTGGGAGCACCTGCCTTCCAGCACTATAGCAGGAGCCATTCATGCTCTAAGTATGCATGGCATGGTCTTTAGAATTACTCAACTTTGCCGCTGTTTCGATAAATATTGAAAGGATTCTTTTCATTCTTTTTTTACTGGTGCATATTATTGTCTTCTATGACATGTTGCATGGGCGTGGTGTCATCTTTCCAAGAAGGATAGGTTTAACACTCATTCTAATAGTGTCAGTGATGAACCTCTCTAAGAGAAAGAGATGTAGACCCCGCAGAATAATCATCTGTAAAAAAAAAAAAAAAAAAAAAAAAAAAAAGAGCCCTAAATGTTGGCGGGGGCGTGAGAATTTGCAGCAATAAAAATGTTGACGGGGGGGTAACGGAATTCTGACGGGGGGACGGGGCTTAGAATTCCGAATAGAGGGGGTGCTCGCGGGGGTGTTTTAGAAATTTTCAACCGGGGGTCAAAATTCAATTTGACGGGGGGGTGCATTTTTCCTTTATTCAATTTGATCGCCATGGAAATGATCCTCTAATGGATATTGCTTGAATTTAGATATTAGAATAAAAACGAGGGAAAGATCAATACAAGGAAGAGGAGATAATAATAATAATGAAGCGATAATAATAATGAGGCAATAATAATAGTACACCATAGCAGAAACCACAAGGCCCTACCAATGGAGATCACTGGACGATGTACTCAGAGAAATGTCCCAAGGCGCGACCTTGCTCATTCGAATACTCGCTAGAATCTGTGATGTAACTATAGTGGGGTTAAGAGCCATTGAAGAGATGCTTTTTCTTAAACCCAATCTTGCCTGCATTAGACTGGGCGTGAGCGTTTGTTTAATATTGAGATTCGACTGTACTAACCAACTGATCCAGAGCCAAGGGTCTTTTCAAAGTTACCATCATTCGACATCCCAGGATCGAAGTAGAGCTACTAAGACAAGAGATATGGTATTAAAGAGTAATGAGGGGTGGTCTATGAATAGCAAGATACAGTGCAGAGTGTGCGATTGATTGAAATCCCTCGATACCATGGATAAACTCAGTCCAAGGCAGGCTCGTTGGAGTACCTTTATTCATATCCATCATTTATCACCAGAAGACCGAACGAGCGATTCGTGAACATGCTAAATGTGGATAATTAATGAGCGAGAAGATTATCTATCGTAATTACAATTAGTAAATAGTACATTCACTTCTAGAATGTAAATGAAATATCCGACAATCCGATAAAGAATAAGAGCTCGCGCGAAACCTTTTTTCTTTTTTTTTTTTACAATCATTTCTTATGGCCACTTTCCGGAGTATCAAACTTTTGAAAAAATCAACGCCTTCTACTTTAAACTTTAAAAATTTACATCCTCCACAAAGGATCCATTGTGTTGAAGGCATTGAGCATAAGGGTTTATTTAAACTAAAATGGCAATCAACAACATTGGGGCTTAAACTAAATTAAAATAATAATAATAATAATAATAATAATAATAATAAGATAAAAAAAAGTCTCAGGCCTGAACATGGCTGGATATTGAAGCGTACTCTGAAGGATCTGTGGCATGCCATTGCTGAGGATTTCGAGGTGCTGACACTTGGCGAACAGACTGAGGAGGATGAGGATGAGGAGGAGGGGTATAGGTCCCATTCCCTTGAGCATGATCAGGATAATAATTATATTGGTAATATTGATGCTGGTTCGAAATAGCAGTAGGGGACGGTCCCATCTGGTGAAAGTGAGGATTTGTGTTCATCGACATGGGCATTATATTAGTCCTATTAAGACTCTGAAAAGATACAGGTGAGTTTGGATGCAAGGGTGGCGGCTGGTAGTAACCGGGCATCATAGGTGAACTAGCTGGTGAGGACGTGTATAATATGGAGCTTGAAATAGGAGAGGTCATATTATCTAGTCCATCTGCCCCCGATTGAGGCAATGGATATGTAAAGTACTCCTCTACTACATCTACTGTTCCCCCGTTCATATGCGGCCCAGAAATGTGCCTCTGTGTAGTCCCTGGTGTCCTCCAACTGGCTGGAGACATCATTGGCGTGGGCATGTCTAAGGATGGAGCGGACTGTTGGTGAAATGCGACCTTCTCAGCCGGATATCCATACGATCCGATACCAGAGCCCGAGGGTTGTGCTGATGAGATTGACGGCGTAGTTGGAGTAGAAGAAACAGAGGCAGAAACAGGAACAGAGCTGAATGGTACAGCCGATGGGTTAGCCACAACGAATGAGTCTCTCGAGTAGGGTGTATAAGCAGGTATCGGCCCGGAGGAAAGTGAGGGGATCTCGGGGTCGGATCGGAAGGTCTGTGGTGAATGAGGGATATATGAACTCCATGAAGCATGTGTTGCTGTGGTTGCGGTGGTTCTCATTATTGGAGTCGATGCCGGAGTTGTAATGGACATTTGAGGCGAGGGCTGGGATTGTGCGAAAAGATTTGGGACCGCTGGAAGGGCTTTGTTAGTGACTGCAGGAGTGCCTGACGGTGAGAGGGGATCATTAACTGATGATGCTCCGGTCATTGTTGGTGTGGAAGAGCGAGAGGAGAGGCCTGGTCTGTACTGTGTTTGCGGTATAAAAGTAGATGCACGCAATGAAGGGGGGAGTACTTGTGTCTGAGTCTGTATCTGTGTCTGTGGCGGGAAGGGTGGTTGTGAATACTGTATTGTTGTCGAGGTAGGAGCACTTTGCTCTCTGAGTAAAGGAGAATCAGAAGAAGATCTGGATATGGCGGTGACTCTGGAGACTACAGGCGAGGCAGCAGCACTGTTGGATGTGTTGGAAAAGGAAAGCCGAGAGGTTGCGATCATGAGAGAAGCAACTCGCCCATCCATATCTGGAGAGGATCCATTAAGGTCACTGTTGTAAACTTGGTTCTCCAAGCACTCTTGCTTGGACGAGATGTGTTGTGCATCAGCAAGGGTGCCAATATGAATAGGGATTTTAAGATCGAATCCACCAGGTGCAGCCAAAAGTTTGGTTCTCAAGGCTTTGTTGGCGTTGCGACGGTTCTTTCTCTCCAAGAACCCAGTCTTTGGGCGCATATCTAGCAGAATAAAGACGAGGTATTGGATGGACATAATCTTTGAAGTGGACATTGTTGGAGGGGTGTCGTCTGGAATAATCAACTCTGCCAAGATTTTGCCAGTCTTGTCGCGTTCTAGGCTGATGGCGTGAGTCGAAGACGCGATGACATGGCTGTATTCTTTTGTTTGCCTAGTGCACAGCAAGAGAATTTTTTTTTTTTTTTTTTTAGAACGACAAACATTCCAGATATATTCATGTATGTTTTTTTTTTTTTTTTTTTTTGGTTTCCTCATGATTGACATACTCTCCAGCATGATATTTTTCATTGCGTATGAGTTGAACCCAGCAGCCCGGATCGCGTTGTAATTTTTTTGGGTGAGACAGATCAATTTCAACGCTGAGGGTTTCGCCTTTTAAGAAGGCTGATCGAGAGAGCTGAACCGTGGCAATGGCCAGATTTTCAGGTTGGTTGGTATCTGGTTTGGTGTTGCTGGAGCCTACAATAGATATTGGGGTAGAATATGGTTCTACAAGACAGTTGATGAGGTCTTTGACATGGACAATGTAATTTGTTTTGGTTTCCTGCATGTTTCCGAGAAAGGACTTTGAAGTGATGGTGGCGGTGAGAGTGTACTTGACAGTGCCATGTCGATACTAAAAAGATGAAGAAACAGTTGATAGTTAGTTATGGCTAGTGAGAAGAGGAAGGAATAGCTTTTTTTGAATAATTTTTATTTCTCTTTGTACCTTTCCGGAGGATGGAATATGCTGCAGTGGAATCAAGAATTCAAATGGCCAATCATGTTTGCCTTGTTGAAGAACAAAGACTTCAGTGTTGTTGGCATTGCCATGGATGACGACCTGTTGATTGAGAACGTAGATTTCCTCTGAAGTTTTAGCGACCTTGGTCGAGATGAGGCCTACGAAGCGAATTTTGATGCAGGTGTATTTGAGGTTGCTCGAGTTTTTGAATCCGAGGTGGCCTAGTGTAATGCACAATTGTGCGGAGGAGGAAAAAATAGAAAGAATTAAACAGACAAGGTTGATTAATGGCGATCCTTATCCTTCTTTAGCGCCTTTTCTCATGGAACAGCCCATTAGTTTTCAATGGTTCGATTGGACAGATAAAGCAGTGCCATTCTTTTTATAATTCATCACACAAACCAAAAAAAATAAAATAAAATAAAATAAAATAAAATAAAGAAAAGAAAAGACAGAGTGGCAAAGAGTAATATGGGTAGGGCGTAAGAAGCATTAGGGGTTAAAATAAAAAAAAGGTGCTTCATGTTGTATCGGATACCGCAAGTGGAATGGCCCTTTTGCGCTGTTGATCTTTTTTGGGTTTGCCCTGTTTCGTACCTGAAATAGTGTCTCCAGGCATGTAATGGTGGATAACAGGCTTTCCATCAGCGTCAGTATCGTTCTCCAGGGTAATGGTTGGTTTCTTCATGGTGAATAGTTGAAACAAGTAAAAGGCAACAGGTAGTTTCTTTTTCTTTCTTTCTTTTTATTTCACAGTAATCGGGGGGAATCAATGCAATGACATCAAAAAAAAAAAAAAAAAAAAAAAGCAAGAGTAAGTAATGAGTAAGAAGAAGAAGAAGAAGAAGAAGAAGAAGAAGAAGAAGAAGAAGAAGAAAAAAGTAAATAAAGAGGTTGACAATGAGAAGCAAAAAAGGAAGGAAGAATGAGAAAAGAAGAAGAAAAAGGAAAGAAAGAGAGAGCTGAAGAGGCGTGGGCAGAAGGCGAAGGACAGCTGAAGCCAATTGAGGGGGTGATGTGAATGAAGGAACAGAGCAACAAAGCAGAGGAAAGCTTTTTGTTTATTTGCTTAAAAATCAATTGCAATACACAGAAAGGGTAAAGTCAGTGCCAAGGATGTTCATTTCCATGTTGCAATGGAACAACTCCATGACATCAATTACACCATCAATCACATTCCATTTCTTTTTGGGCTGTAGGGGAGGGGGAGGGACTTTATCTCTTTTTTTTTTTTTTTTTTTTTTTTTTCTCAAAGGGGATGTTTATGATTATGATTATTTGCCCTATTTTGAATCAAAAACACTTTAATATCTCCTGCTAGATGTAACATGTGCATAAAAGAGACATGGTAAAGTATCGTCAACGGTCAAGGGGACAAGGACAGATCACACCATGGATAACGGACAAACGCGAGATGGTGGCGACCCTTTACTTTAACAAAGGTTCAAACAGGGCAATTGTAAGCTGCGTTTGTTTGAAGTCTAAATGGACGACGTGCTAGGTGTGTGTACATGCAGTTTGTACGTGTGGTTGCACAGAAATAACACGTAAAAAAAATACTGGGAGATTGGCATTGCAAACACCTGAATGCTGTAGATAAAGAGACCCTTTCGTTGGTGAAAACGTCCTTCTAATGAATCAAAGCATTGAGGCATTGGACCATTGAACCATTGAACCGTTCATCATTTGCAAAGAAATGGGTAAGAAAGAATAAAAAAACATCCTTTTTGAATGTGTGTGGGTGTGAGAACGATAAAAATGAAATGCAGTTGGGTGATTCCATCTAATTTTATCAATCACCATCCTACATTTATGCAGCACACACATGCACACACACAAATATTCATTTATACACATTTATACACACATGTACAAATTTGTTTAGACCGAGTTGACTCTCATTCACTCTCACTCTCATTCTCATTCTCATTCACTCATTGCCATCATGTTAATCAACTCTAATCTTTAGCCACCAATCTGAGCAAAATAATAATCAGCCCCATTCTCTCTTTCTCCTTCCCTTTCTCTTTCTCTTTCTCTTTCTCTTTCTCTCCCTCCCCTTTTTATTCATCTTGTCACGACCCCTTCCTTGTCAATTGCTGATTCTCTTTGTCGTTAATCACACAACTACAAACACATCATTCCCCTAACAGAATCACCAATCTTTCTCATTGACATCAAAAAAAAAAAACTGTCTGTGTGTATTGTGTGTGTTGTGTGTGTAGCTTGAGTATTATGGGATTGTGTCAATGTATCCATTCTTCATGACATTCCTCCACTCTTCTCTCCTCACACCCCAATCTCACCCCATTCTTCATTGAATCATTAAAAAAAACTTTTTACACTCAACTCTCATTCCAAAACTTCCTTCACTCTTCACCCATTCACATTACAAACATTACAAACAACTCACTCTCGAACAATCACTCACACTCCCAAACATTCACTCGCACTCTCACTTCTCACCCTTACTTACGCTCACCCTCTATCATCTCTTATCTTTCTATCAATCCATCAATCTCTCTAATCCCTTCATATTCTCTTTACACTTACTCCATCACTTTCCTTCCTTTCCTTTTCTTCTTCTTTTCGCCTTGAAGCGGAATGAGTTCCAGCCGACCAGCGGCCCGTAACCAAAGAGCAAAGGTAATGCTGATCTCCTAAAATGCCCCCTGTAATCTTTGTGCTGATAGTTTTCAGGAAAAGAGAAAGCGAGGCAGCAGTGATAACGAGAATTTAAGATCAGGATCAATATGGATTGCATTCAAGTTCATACATCTTTGTCAATGGCAAAATATTGGCTTCAATTGCTCCAGAAGATTGCGTGTACAACTTTGTACCAAGTTTCCCATCTGTCTTTAATTCCAATGTTGAATTTCGTGTTTGTAAACATCCATTTGCCCCCTAAACTTGCTTCCAAGTCTACATTCAACATTCTCAACTCTACATCTTTCACACACACAAAAAAGCCTAGCAATTAATAATGGACGCGCTCATATTTCTCTTGAGCTGATCCCTTTACTCTTTCTTTACAACTCTTGAGCTCTATTTTTTTTTTTTTTTTTTTTTTTTTTTCACTTCTTTGTTTGAGGAAGGGAGATGCTTCATGTACTCCTCTTTTTGGTCTAATTGATGGCTCAAATGATGGTGATTAGTGATAGTAGTCGTGATGGTTCCCCTTCCTCGCTCTCATCACTTTTTTTTTTTTTTTTTTTTTGGCTCTATGTTTGTCTTTTCCAGTCTGGTGTTGCCTTTAACTGTCTATGCCTCCCTTTCTTCCCCCCCCCACCCCTTTTCCTTTCAAATGAAGAGGGTTGGTCTCAATCCAGGAATATGTCAGACATTGAACGTGTCCATTGAGTGCCTCCTTTTCTCTCTCTTGGGGCCAATCCCGTTGATGATCATTATAATAATCTTGTAAAAGTTTTTTGTGAAAGAGCACGCATGGGTGTGTGTCTGTGTGGTTGCTCTTTTTCACTTCTGTTCCTTGCTTCTGTTCCTTGCTGCTTCTGCCTGTGCTTCTGCCTCTGCTTCTGTTTCTGTTTCTGCTACTTGGCAGTTGATGCTCTCGATCTATCTTTTTCTTTTTCTTTTTGATCTTTCGGGTACTTGCAGCAGGAATTCCCTCCTATGGCTCTTTTTTTTTTTTTTTTTTTTTACATGCCTTTCTTTGTTCTATGGTCTCCTTTTTTTATTATTACAATTATTATTACTGTTGTTGTGAACATGATTATTCTTTTTTGTCATGTGTAATGAATGTATAATAAATAATCTTAACATTAAAAAAAAACATTAATATTAATTTTCCATGCTAAAATAAAAAAAAAAAATTAAAATAGCTTGCTGCAGATTTGAATGATCTGTTCAAAGATCTGCAGTCGAATCAAGTCAAGGTCGTAGGGAACTATCATCTTGGACAAGTCATTGGACAGGGTAAGCCAAATTTACACGCATGAACTTTGAACTTCATGCATCCTATAAAAAAAAACCCCCGCGTTGGAGTCTATTCGGTCTAGCATGCATTGATGGTTGATACAGATATCATCGATAAACATGGGAAGAGAAATAGAAAAAAAAAGAAGACGCGCATAATAGTCCCTATCAAACCTATCAAACCTTTCAAAGCAATGTCTTTTTTTTCTATTCTTTATTCTTTATTCTTTATTCACTATAGTATTACTATTGTAATATTATAATGATATGTGCATTGTTGTTGCGTGTGTTCGTGCGCATGTGTGTATTAATATTGAGGAGAAACAGAGAAACAACATCACAGAGAGCAAGGATTAAGGGAGAACTAGGGGATTAGAGGAACAGGGACAACGGATTCATAGAGCCTTTCGTTTTTACCAACTGTACACACTGCAATGTCATGTCAATCGGATCATGGACACAAACACATGCCCGTTGCATTTTATTTTGTTGTTTTTTGTGTCTGATGGGTTTGTGGACGAGAACATGGATCAGAGAGAGCCCACATTTACTCATGCAGTAGAAAGAAAAAAAAAATGAGCGCGCCTTTTTTTCTTTCTTTTTTACAACATTGTGGAATGATGAAGAAATACTGGGGTGCTTTCTCTCTGTTTTTTTTTATGTCTTTGTCATTTGATTGAGCATATCAATGCAAACACACATGTTACTATGATAACCGTTAATACCGTTATTATTTACTACTGTCACTATTATTATTGTCATTATATTACAACAACATCAAGTCTCAATGATGATACTTTGCACCTCTCATCCTTCTAAATGATGGATACTATTTTAGAACGAAAAAGCACACACACGATGTGGTTTTCTTTTTTTTGTTCTCATCATGCAACCTAACGAGTTGCGTACAATATGTTTGTGCTACCGTCAACGGACCTATCAGACTCCAAACAACAGTTGACGAGCACATTAGCGCATGGGTGCATGTTGTTGCAATGTTTATGGCAGAATCATGCCAAAAAAAGAGCGTAAAGAATCATAACTGACCAATAGAAAAAAACTTTATCCAATAACCAATCCAATGTAATTCTTAGGTACCTATGGCAAGGTCAAATTGGCCACACACGCACTCACTGGTCAACAGGTCGCTGTCAAGATCGTTGCAAAATCCCACGCTGCCATCATCACCCGTGAGATCTATCATTGGCGTTGTCTATCTCATCCCAATATTGCTCATCTCTATGAAGTTCTCACGACCGAATCCAAGATTTATTTGGTGACAGAGTACTGTGCCAACGGTGAGTTATTGGAGGCTTTGATCCGTGATGGGCGGTGTAAACCCTCTCTGGCAAAACGTTGGTTCCGTCAGATCTGTCTAGCGATCCAATATTGTCATGCTCGCAAGATCGTCCATCGAGATCTCAAGCTCGAAAACATCCTCCTTGATAGTCAAAATAATATCAAGCTCATCGACTTTGGCTTCACACGGGAATGTGAATCAAAAAAGTTGCTCGAATCCTACTGTGGTTCTGCTGCGTACACTGCACCCGAAATCATTGTCGGAAAAAAATATTCTGGGCCAGGTAACCTTGTAACCTTTGACTGACTTTTATCAGTAATCTTCAGTTGTTCCCGCTTTGTTAAGAAAAGCCTTTTTTTTTTTTTTTTTTTTTTTTTTTTCTTCCTATCGATGACTAACATGATGGCAAAAAAATATATACTCCTTCACATAAAAAAAAAAAAAAAAAAAAAAAAAAAAACCTTCATTTTCGTAGAGGCCGACATTTGGTCATTAGGAGTCATCTTGTATACGCTTCTGGCAGGGTATTTACCTTTTGATGATGATAATGAAGCAGTTGTACAGGACAAGATTGTCGACCTAGATTATGAAATGCCCCCAGAGCTGTTTTGTAAAGGTAAAGATTCAAAATATTTTCAAACATGGCGGACAAAATTACTTTGGTGGCAATATTTAACGCAAACAAACTATTTTCTTTCACTTCTTAAATCCCCATCTCTACAGAGGCACAGGATCTCGTCAAAGGCATTTTGAAAGAGGATCCCAAGGAACGACTTTCGATCGAGCAAATCTTGAATCATAGTTGGTGGACACCTCGATCAGAAGATGATGAAGGCGCAGAGGGCCAGGATGGGGATACAGCAGATCAAGATTTTTATATTACAGGAGCACACCACGGACGTCAAGGTTCATTGACCAAACGAGAGATTCACCCAGTGTTGTCAATACAGAGACCACCAGAGCCCTTTTCTGCTTCAGGATCACCACAGCTTGCCTCACCCCTCGCTCAATACCCCCTGGGTGCCTGGGGAGGTCAGTCACCCTTTACCTTCAACCTCTCTGGCGAAAACAGTCTCAAAGCTTCTTTCCATGGAGGCTCTGCAATGCCATCCCCCTTGTCTTCACCGTTGCCCTCCCCATCCCCCTTGGTCAATAAAAGCTTTTCACGATATGACTTTGGGACCGCAGAGGGCTCTATACCAGGAAGATCTGCATCGACAGGAGCATTTCCAGCGAACGGATTTGAGCAACGGTTATTGCATGCACTGGGCAGAATCGGCTTTGATCAAGAGGTCTTCACAAAGGGCATTCCTGCACAATCTTGCGACCCAGGATATGGTCTCTGGTGTTTGCTGGTAGATCAGGTCCGACAACGGTCTGTTGAAAATGGGACGACAGTAGAATGGGAGCAAAGCATCGCGCTCATGGACACAGTCCCGCTCATGAGCTCTAGCTCAGTTAGTAATCACCCCTATGGACCCTTATCGACAGCGGAAACTGGCAAGAAGTCTCCACGTCCCATGTCAGATCCTAGCCCTACTTCTAGTCAAACAAACCTTCTTTTACCTCTTGCAAGTCTACATCAACAACACCAGTTGCAGCAGCAGGAACAGCAAAAACAACAACAGGGGCAACAGAATCAACAGCAACAACAGCAACAACAGCAACAACAGCAACAACAGCAGCAGGAGAATGAGGCCCTTCAGCAACAGATTGTTGACCTCAAGCTACAGCTAGACAAGCACAAGCTTGAAGCAGAGCTGCTTAAGGTGGAGAAAGAACATCTACAGAAGGAGAAAAAGCTTGCCGATGAGTCAACAGCAAATAGGCTCCACTCTCTGGACACCAAGGCATTGCCACCCATCTCTTCACAACAAAGTCCAATTCCAGCCGTAACAACCCCCACTACTTCAAAACCAGATCGTCCAGTACAGGATAGTGGCGCCTCAGCTTCGACGTCTTCCACACCTCATTCATCATGGGAGTTGACGGAACGAGAGACACCCGCGCCCGTGCCAACAGTACGACCTCGTCGGAAGAGCAAAGGAATTCTGCATTCATTAAAAGATAGGTTCTTTAGTACGGGTGATTTGGATCATCATCATTCTGGAGCCCAATCACCTCATCCACCTTCACCCATACCACCCAAGCATCTTGCAGGACCAACAACGTCGGCCTCATCGTCCGCTTCCTCTGCAACGACTTTTGTTATGAGCACAACGCCTAAACCTTTACCTGCGCCTCCTGCACATCCATATCCTCCGTTCTTGCAACAGCAGCAGCAGCAGCAGCAGCAACAGCAACAACACCAAAGCACCACATTGTCGCCTCTAAAAACTATGTCCTTTAAATCTGCCAGTACAAGCTCACTGGCCATAGAAACCGGCCATGCAACGACCACGAGTTCCTCCTCGAGTCCTCGACCGGCAGCTGCCTCAACAGAACAATTGGTTTTAGCGGATCAGCAGGACGATCACGATGCAGTACCAGTTACACCTCAAAAGAGCAAAGGATTTGTGGCATGGATCACTGAGAGTGCGACAGGGACTGTACTCAACAAATCTCCTGTCACTCAGAGTGCAGCAAAGGTACCAAAACGTATCAACCATCGATCTTTCTCCACAACCGAGGCAATTCCCATTTCGACCACGCCTACAAGATCGCCAACGTCGCCATCGTCAGAAGAAGCTAGACCTCAGATACCTGCTATCCCCGCTAGCTTTTTTCAACCTATTTGGAAGTCTCCTAGCAACAACAGCAACAACAACAGTACTAGCAGCAGCACTGCTCATGGACCTTCTACATCCTCCTCTGCATCTACACTTCCGCCCACAGGATCTTCCATATCGTCTTTGGCGACCTCTGCCCCCACCGCTTCTACAACGATGAGCATCCGCCAACGACTTGCCTCGTTTTCATCGTCGTCATCTGCAAAAATTACGCCTGAGGAGCGACAACGTGCTGCTGCGGCAGCCGCAGCCGCCGCGGCCCTTGTGGCTCAGCCAACTGTCCCAGAACGTGCACACTCACCTACACCGCCTTCCTCACCTCGAGGCCCGAGTGGTCCTGGGTTTGCGGCACTCTCATCAGCCCAAACAAAGACTGGCCAGCAGCAGCAACACCAGAGCGAGATCAACGACATTGTGGCGGCAGCTGTAGCTGCAACCGCGAGTGCGAATCTCAAATCGAGTGGGTCTCGAAAGAAGAACATGAGTCTAAACAGTTCTAGCTCTAAAAAGACCAAGAGTTCAGAGAAGTCCAGCAAATCCAGTAAAAATAGTGGCAGTGGTAGCGGTAGTACTGCAACGATGTCGACTAGTGGTGTTTCTGACATGACTGAGACGAGCTCAATAACCTCATCCACATCAAACGAGAGTCATTCCCGGAAGAAGAAAGAACAGAAGCAGCAGAAGCAACAAAAGCAGCAGCAGCAACAGCAACAGCTCTCGACTCTGCAGATCCCTTCACCTTCACCTTATCTTGTAGGAGGCCCCTCAACTCCAACCAAAGATCCTTCCTCGCCTCCATTGTCGTCGTCATCCACGTCGTCTGGAAAGGATGATAATTCAAAGAAACCATCCATCAAGGCGTCCAAGGCATCGATGCCATCTTTGATGACTGCATTTTCATCGTTCAAACCGTCTAGATCGACCCCTTCCTCACCTAAGGTCCTATCCACTAGCTCGTTCTTTAGCAACGGTTATAATGATTCTCCAACGACAACAACTCCACCATCATCGACTGATTCAAAGAGATCCAGTTTGATTAGGTCCTCCAAGGAAAGTTACCGAAACAGCAGTAGCAGCAATACCAGTTATAGCAATCAAAGCAATAGTAACACGAACTCGGTCATTTACAGCAATAACAATAACAACCATGGCCGATTCGATGAACCGTCAAATCTCTCTAGGATGATGTCAGCCGCCTCTAGTACCTCTAGTAGTTCAAGATCTTCTGTCGCAAAGTCCCCAACCTCTACCTCAGCTAATACCGCCACCATCACCAATACAACAACCACAACGACTACTACCACTACTATAACTACAGCTACTACTATTGCAACTACTGCTGCTGCAACTGCTGCCGCTGCTCGTTCATCACTCTCGCAGGTCAGGGGAGCAAAAGAAGCGATACCTGTACCACCATTACCAATAGATGATTACACAGGTCCAGGAAGCTCAACTTCTCCAACTTCATCCAGAGTATTTGGCGATGGAATTGTGGTTCAAGAGGAAGCTGCTCGACCCAAGAAACGTACGACGAGTCGAACAAGCATCACAGCAGCGTCCCTAGGGAGGCAATCGAGTGAATCTGTGGCATCCAGCGTTGATCACCATCGCACCCACTCTGAACCCGGGAGCCCATATACGAACATGAATTCGACTCCTACCTCTCCTATTCAACAGCAACAGACGTCCAAGCGAACCAGCCTTGGAAGTTTGAGCAGTCGAAGAAGTAGCAGTAGTAGTATGAGAGATCGTAACATCTATGGACTGACATTAGACAGCACTGGAATTGGATCTGGATCCGGAACAGGAACAGGAACAGGAACAGGAACAGGCTCAGGCTCAGGCTCAGGCTCGGGGTCTAGGAAATCATCTTTGAATCTGTCGAGAACATCCTTGAGCAAGACAACCTTCCAATCGCCTGCAGGCTCTCCGGCCTCTCGTCGTGGAGAAGCAGATCGTAGTAGCATGTATGGGCATTATTCACGACCTAGCCAGGATGAAGGTATTGCAACTGCCAGTCCAAGGACATCAACCTCCTTTACTACAACTCCCACACTAGAAGACCGATACAGGGCAGAGTTCGGTATGTCTCGTAGAGACTCTATGTCGTTTGATAGGACACAGGAACAACAGCAACAGCAGCAGTTGGCGCGACAACATTCTCGATCGGGATCAGGAGCAACTCAAGAGACAAAGGAGACCAAAGTGACGAGTGAACTTCGCCATAGTAGCAGCACTGGCAGTGGTCGTAGGATTCGGCCATCCACCTATAACTCGTCGAGCATAACAGAAAGCGTGGTAGGGCCTAGCACCATTACTTCCGCAGCGATTTCACCGTCTTCATCTGCGTTTCCGTCCTTGAGCAGAGTTGAAGCCGCAGGCGAGAGTGATCGTAGACGTTCCAGCGATAAGACAGCTGTAGGGGATGTGTCATCTATTTTGAACACAATGACCTCTACTGTCACTGAAAGCTCTATTGGTACTACCATTCCTACGTCTACTTTGGCACACGAGGATGAAGATACATCATTCAACTCAGATTCACCTCGAGTAGACTTTACAGATGGCTGTAGTTTGATCCCTTCGCCTCCCCCATCGCCCGGTCCCATCCGTACTGACTCCATTCGATCGTCAAGGTCTGGATCTAGACCTGGATCAGGCTCAGCTTCTGGATCAGGCTCTTTGCCAGCAGCAGCAACGTCGGTAGCTACATCTATGTCTACGCCGACAACAACAACAACAACAACAATAGCTACAAAAGCCCCTATTGCCATTGTGATTAATACTCGTCGACCCTCACAGGATATAGGACATATAAGTGTTAAGAGCGCTAGTATTAATACTAGCCTGTTGGAGGAGCCCAAGGTGTCATTGCTCTCTACCAGTTACCCACCTCCTCGTCCTTCAAGAACATCGATTCCAGAGGAAGATGAAGAAGAAGAGGAAGAAGAGGAAGAAGAAAGAGGGAAGAAGTCAGCCGTGGCTGACTCAAAAACGACATTACTCTCTTCGTCCTCCTTGTTGGGAGGAAGATTAAGTTCTTCACAGCTCCATGGAACTTCACCCCCTTCTCCCTTGTCCTCTCGACCTCTAGTCTCATTTGATCAACACTTTTCGAACCAGGCCAAGGTTAAGGATTACAGGGAACGAGATAGGGATAGAGATAGTAGCACTACGCCTCGTAAGATCGTCACAGGATTTCAACCTCTTGCAGCGAAACGACTTTCGAAACCAGGTGTGCCCTCTCAACAACAACAACAAAATCAACATCTATCCTTGAGTGGTGGGGCGAACGATACGCCATCATCCCCTTCATTGCCATCATCATCGAATAACTTGATTGTGACCCATCCGTCTCCTTATCAATCCTCGTCCTTCTCATCAAATACAGGGCCCCCCAACGCGTTTGCAGGACGTCGTCGTGGTTACAGAAACAGTACGGGTTCAATGGCCAACATGTCATTGCAACAGCAGCAGGCTTTCCAACAACTTCAACGTGAACAATTGCTCAAGATCCAGCAACAGCAGCAGCAACAGCAGCAGCAACAGCAATTTCATACTTACCAGCCTAATGCAGGATATGAAGCGACCGCGGCCATGAAGATCAATCCACGTCCTCGTGCAGGATCTCACTTTCCGAAACGAGAATATGGAGGTGTTTCTTTAGGCAATAATGTGTCCTCATTAAGCAATGGAATGAGCATAGGAGGTGGGGCTCATCAAGGGATGAATAATGACTTTGATGCATCTTTGGGTGGAGCTGTCAAACGAGACTCTTACTCAAATCGTCGCCAGAGTATGGCCACTGCTATGGGAAAACGTCCTGGTGCTGCGCCGGCTGCCATCCAGGAAGAGGAGGAGTAAAAAAAATACTTTGACTGTAATTCATTCTCTCTCTTTCTTTTTTTTTTTTTTTTTTTTTTTCTTATTTACTATTATCACTATTACCATTACTGTTACCATTACTTTGTCATCATTATCATTTCAAACCATCTTCATTCATGATTCTCTAATTATCTTTCACTTGCTTCGCTTAAATTTGTTTCCAGTTTCAAAATCTAGTCTAGTTCCTTTATTTTTTTTTTTTTTTTTCTTTTTCTAGTTCAACTTAACTGTATATTAAAAATGCTTCCCAAAGAAAATAGTTTTTTGCTACTTTTTATGTTGGCTTTTTTTTAAAAAAATGTTCCCAATACGTATAAACAATTGCTTCTTGAGTTCCAATAACTCCATTCACAGTTGCCTTGACTTGGTCAGCATTGGCCTTTTCCGTCTTCAACTGACGGTCCTTTATATCCTGGACCTCAATCTTGGCCTCCAACTCTATGATCTCATCAGACATTGGACCAGAGCTGGTTCAAGAAGATGCAGGCTTCTGAGCAGCTGCATGAGTAGCCGCCTTGGCTTCCTTGCCTGGTGAATCAGGAGTAGCTGCTGCCCTACATGCATCCTCAGCAGGAGCAGTAGGACTCTTCTGCTTCTTATTCTTCGCATCCTTGGTGTTGTGTTTTAGACCAAGTATCTTCTACTCCAAGAGCGGCAGAGGCGTGCAATTCTGACAGGGCGAATGGGCTTCCCACTTACGCTTGGTGGGGCCCGGGAGATTCGCCACTGTATCCCATGGGCCGTGGGCTTGGCCTGCAACCTGGTGAGACGATACCATTGCATCAATAATATTCCCGTCCTCACCAAGCAGTAAGACCGGGGGGAAACCGCCTTGGTTTAAAAGCACCAACAGCGCTGCCCTTCTTTGCTCCAAGCCTTCTAAGCCTTGGCTGGCTTGGAGTAGTGTGGTGTCATACTCTGGCTAAGGCATAGAGGGTTGCGTTGTGGCAGTCGTCGTGGTGCGCGTAGGGCGGGAGCATTGCGGGCTCAAGTGTTTGAATATGACAGCCTTGGTTGAGAAGACTGATTTGCAGGCTGGGCACTGAGGCTGAATATCATTATCGTTGAGTCGCCTCAATTCAATGACGGTACATTTAAGGCCCATTGGATAGGCCGATAGAATAGTTATGGGGCACTCCTGCCAATAACTGGTCATGTCAGGGTCCTCTCGTTTGGATTGACGTGCGTAACGAGCACGCCGAGGAGATGACATTTCATCAAATGAATTCGCTACAGGTTTGAAAAGAATAAGACGTCGCTTGTCAACAAAACAGTCTAAATGGCATATAAAGTCTGCGCTATTTATCGCGTCTCTTAGTCAAGTATGGCTAGGAATGAAAACAATGCAACCCCTTACCATCAGCGACAACACTCTACGCCTCAAGTACGTCCCATAATCGTCCAGCGTAGGATAACCATGGACGCCGGTATGGCACCTCAGGATGTATCCTCATTGACGTGGATTACATCTTTTAGGCGCGGTTTGCCTAGCTCGTGAGACGACAGGGAATAGCGTGCATTCTTTGAGTAGAAAGGCACATATCGAGCATGTTTAGGCGGCAAGGACCTGGGCAGGTGAGGCAGGATGACCTTTCCCAGGCTAGACTGGCACATGCGGATATGTGGACATGTGGATATGAGATGGGGAGCAGTGAAGAGACAATGGGTGAGATGGCTCGGTGAAGAACATTTTTGTGACGGATCGTGTCTCCTTTTTATGCATAATTATGGGCAAAAGGTTACGATAGAATGTCGTAAATGTCATGAGACTCAAGGCCATAGAGTCATTTGGCCTGGCCAAAAGATCAATGACGATCTTCAAAAGCTGATAGATCGGTCCGGCCGTATGACCAAGAGCCGAAACTGAAGTAGGGATCAAATCCCCTTCGTCCAAAAGTTTTAGAGGGCATAAGATGGAGTAGTTTGCAGATACGAGCGAGTCCGATATGTGACTGATGGACTGATGAAGAAAATGTTGTAGACCTATTCGAACCATTCGAAAGGATCATTGATGATTTTTTTTTTTTTTTTTTTTTGATTGGGTATAATAATGACATGTGGACCGCGCTTACGCTACGCGTGGCAATGCTTCGTTTCATAATGTCTCATCTCCTTTCTTCCTAGTTATCCAAAAAAAAAAAAAAAAAAAAAAAAAAAAGTTCCTTTCTTGCCTCTCATGATGCTCGAAGTAATAGAACGACTCCAACTATCCACAGTACTCTAACTTAAGGTCGTCGTTCGAATCGATCCAGGTAAGGACTTATTCGAACCCACTCGAACTTACCATTACCATGTTTCGTTTTCGATTCGAGTGCATTTGAACCATTCGAGTTCGATATGTTTGATTCGATTAGGAGCACTGATTTTGATCACTGACGCCAAAATACATCATCGTTTTGCCCTGCTAGAAGGCCACTCTATATGCCTGTACCCCCTTTGCAGGTCGAGTGACCTTGCAGATCATCCAACAGTGCCAGATGAATATGAGGATGCAATGAATCAGGACCACATCGATGTCCTGACTCGAGAGGGGAAAGCCGGGGTGGAGCGGCTTGTAGGCGCCATTATCGCTACTGGTGAGAACGCAGTGACGATTATCTGCGTTGTACATTATCTCCGGGCCGACCAACAGCATCCGCATGCTGAATCCCTGAGGCATCTCCACACTAGCATCTCAGATAGAGTCGAGTACTCAATATCTGTTGCGGATTAAAATTACCGCCATGCCGGACTGGTTTAACAATCCGCATCTGGTCGTTGGAACAAGGTTAGGAAACTACCTTGTAACAGTGTCCAGAGGTGGAAGCGGGTTCAACGTTGGTCCAGCCAGATGTGAGGCATACAAGGTTTCAGAGCACACTCGCCTTCTAATATCCACGAAGAGGCAGGACGAGTCTCTGATAGATGGTACGGTTCTTGGATTGGCGCAAGTCAGGACAGCGTTTGAGAATCCTGTTACCTACACTACAAGACGGGCCACAGTAGAAGGATTCGATGACTTGTCTAAGATGTCAGTAACGCTTTTCACATTGCATAACTGGAGCATTTCCGGGACTAAAGTCTTCCACCAGCTCTACATTCGGTCCTTAGAAAAGAACCCACAGGGGGTAATTTTGAAGATAACCGATATTGATGAGCCCGACATAGGAGGAGCCCGGATTGGAGAGTGCAATGCAAAGCTGTCCGAACTCTTTATAAACGGAGAGCTAAATGTCTCCAATTCCACAGAAGCAGACGGCATATTACAAGATATGGCCAATATCTTATCAAAAGCTATTTCGGACAAGAATCGAACACTCTTAAGGGAACCATAGATGGATTAATGCTTGCCCTAAGCTTGTAATCTCGTAAATACAATAGAAATATAATGATTAACTTAAACAAAATGTCGCTACAACTGCTTGCACTATTTAGACTCATATAGCGTAAACGATGCATTTGCAAACTCAAAATTTTCACTTCTACGTCTTCTCCCTATAAATGGTACAGTGGAATCTCGATAATTGTACACTTTTGTACAAATTTCAAATTTGATATATTTCTAGGCCATTGGTTGGCTAAGAGCCTTACTCTTTTAAAAAAAAGTATTCTAAAAAACCCACACTCAACTGGAGTAGGGGAATCAGCAGAGGATTTTTAGAATAGTTTTTCATGAATTGTGGGCTTCTTAGCCAATCAATAACCGAGAAATATAGCAAATTCGAAAATTGTACAAAAGTGTACAATTATCGAGATTCCACTGTATACTCTTCTTTTGTGTTTTATACATCCCACATTCTATCGGAATCCGGTGCCTTAGAAGCATGGCCGGCAGTTTGGAAGGAGGGGTGGGGGTTCCCATATTGCATATCACATATGATTCCAAGTCCGAGGGCTCGCATCCAGTGCTCCTATTCGATTCGAACAAATCGATTCGAACAAATCGATTCGAATAACGCGAATGGTTCGAATAGGAGCACTGGTTCGCAGTAGTAAAAAACGCTGAAATCAACTTTCATGTCTTAAGTATTTATTATCCCAGTCCCTGGACAATAATATAAATGTTTTGTAGTCGTGTGCTGTTGCAGACCCAATTTCTTTTTATTTTGTCCTCACGAAGCAAAGCAATAAATTCTCTGACGAGATAAGAGCCGACTGTGACGAAGCCACGGTCTTCGGTTCGTTATTATTTTTATTCCTTCCTACAACTACTTCTTCTTCGAGTCCTTACTCGCTGTCTGAGAGACGGGTGCGGCCTTCGACGCCATGGACGCGACCTTACCATCGGGGATCAAGATCAAACGTGCAGGCTTGTCACCCTCTGCAACCGAGTCCACAATATAAAAGCCTTTGCGCTCAAACTGAATAATGTCTCCCTTGTTCAACTCTGCTACATTACCATCTGCAATGGCCTCTGTCTTGAACTCAGTGACGGGTGTAAGGAAATCCATCAGGTTATCCTCTTCCTCAATCTTCTTCTTTGTGATCAAGTAATCGTAATCCATCAACTCAACCTTGACCAACTCTGGACCATCAGCCAACCAGGTCAACTTCTTCTTGGTCTTCTTAAAGTCTCCCTCCAAGTGAAGCTCAAGTTGAACGGCTGTGACGACACCCTCAGAGTTCTTCTCAACGCTTCGAATGAAAGCATTGCCCCAGTCCATCAACGTGATCTCCTCATTGATCTCCAGTCCCTTGGCATCCGCCTGATCCAGCCAGATGGTGGGACCATAGGCAGTTCTCTTGTTACCCAAAGCCTCATTCTTCTTGTGACGAGGCACCTCCTTAAAGTTGTAAGGATCCGCTCCTGCCACTGATACCTTAACCTTGTTCAGACTCTCAATGGCAGTGTGACGAGGAGCAATCGGGTCAATCTGTTTACGATTCACGGCCCAGAGCTTATCCCACTCTAGTGTAATATAGTTGGTAGAGGCTCCTTGCATCAAAATGTAGGTCTTGAGAGCTTCCATGGTCAAACCACGACGACGGATACCTCGGACCGTAGGGAAACGAGGATCATCCCAACCATAGACACGTCCTTGATCTACAAACCAGGTCAACTTGCGCTTCGACAACAGTGTGTAGACAAAGTTGAGACGACTGTACTCCCAAATGTGAACCTGACGGAGACCGAGGTTATCGAGGAACCATTGGTATTGTGGGTTGCGGTCGTGATACTCATCTGTACGGAGAGCATGTGTAACACCCTCGAGAGAGTCGACAATAGGGCATGCAAGATCATAAAGAGGATACATTTTCCACTTGTCACTATTTCATGATGAAAACAGGTTTTAAAAACAGATGTGATTGCATAGTTAGTGAAGTGAGAAGCTGAAGCGGATGATGAGGGGAGATGAACAACAGGGCTATATATTCTATTATAAGCATTTCATTTTCAACCTCACTACTTACCCAGTACGAGCATGAGGGGTGAGATTGCAGCGGTAGATGACAGGATCACGAAGGGCCTTGTTAGGGTTATCAACCGAGATCTTTGCACGAAGACAGCATGACAATCCAAACTCAGTCGCGTTCTTCATCTCATCGAACCGACGCAAGTTCTCTTCCACAGAGAGATCACGACACTTGGATGCAATACCGTCCATACGCTCTGCACGCATCTGCTCCTGACTCGTATCATCGCAATAAGCCTTTCCATCCTTGATCAATTGAAGAGCATACTGGTAGATTTGATCAAAGTAATCGGATGTGTAGGAAACCACTGAAGAATCAATACCAATCAAGAGTAAATCTTCCTTGATAGAATGCTCGTACTCAAGCTTCTCTTTCGTAGGGTTTGTGTCGTCAAAGCGAACAATGAGTCGTCCCTGGTATTGATCTGCAAAGTACTTGTTCAACAAAGCGGCCTTGGCATGTCCAATGTGAAGGTAACCAGAAGGCTCGGGTGGGAAACGGGTCACAACTTTGCCCATCTCTGCATCGATCAGGTTAATATCAAATGATCCCTGATCTGCCTTTGCCTATTATTCATTTAATATCCATCCATCCATCGACCACAGTCATCAAAAAGAAAACGAGGAGGAAAAGAAGAGAGAGACAAGAGTTGTATTTCATGAGTCAAATTTGTTGCCTTTGTCTTTTATTTCCTTCCAGTGATGAATTCATGTCTTCAGCAATCAACAAATGCTTTAGTCCTTGACCAACGATTGATTCACACAAGCTGCGGACGGGGGAATGAATAGTAGTAGTAGAAGTAGTAGCAACAAAATCAAGAGCACTTACGACTTTAGTGCTCTCGTTCGCATGAGCAAGTTCATTCAAAGCAACGTCCACATAGGCTTGAGCAGAGATATGGTTAAACCAACGAGCCAGATACACACCCAGATCCTTTCCTGTCTTGAGTTGACGAGCGAAAATGGCGTTGGCCTTCAGAGCACCCCAAATAGCAATATCAGCCACAGAAACCTTGTACCCAACAAAGTAACTGCGAAGAGTCAAATGATGGTTCAATTGCTGAAAGATCACATCGAGTGACTTGAAATCGGATGTGTTGATAATATCCTGACTCTTGTCGATAAAGTCGTCAATCTGTGTTTAGGAATATATATATGAAAAATAAAAAATAAATAAATAAATAAAAAGGATGTTATTATTGCTATCAACGAAAAGGTGAATGTCCACTTGATCGTAATATTCATTTCTATTAAAGTACCAAGCTGGTGGAGGCAGGATCAGTGCCATAGAGAGTGTTCTTGTGTGAGCGGACGATATAACGGAGGATGGCGCTGACAGTAGTCAATGTGACTCTAATAAGATTATACAAGACGTCATGACGTGAGTCTTCTCTTCAATATCCTTTATACGCTTTTAACTAACAACTTTTATTATTATTATTATTATTATTTTTACCCATCGGCGCTCAAGGCAATAGCAGCGTTGTTATGCTCAGCAAGAGTAGAGATATTCTTGTACTCGATCTTAACAACCGCGGGGTTGTTCAAAGCAGCAGCAAGCACCAAAGGTGCTACATACCCCGAAAAAACAAAGTCAATAAACGCGCCTGGTTAGTCAAAACATAGCCATTATCCTTATTTAGTGTTTACTATTGCCGAGATAAGTGTAGCTGCTTTGTTTGATTAGGTACCATAAGGAAAGCTAGAAGCCTTTTGAGCGACTACAACAGTGACCATGTTGTATGAATGTATGAATGTGTGAGCAATGAAAAGAAGAAAAAAGAATCTAAAAGACACCTTAAAAAGTAAAAACAAAGAGGAGGCTGAGTCTACCCTTTAAGTGACTGCGACACTTTTTTTTTTCAAGACTCAACTTGGGTCATTCAGCCTCCTTTCATTTTAGTAGTTCAGAACTTGCTCCGTTGGATCCAACAAGGAGACATGTGTATGAATCATACATGACTCTATCTATATTATAGGATGATCATCCACTTGACACTCAGTTATCAACTTGTCTTTTCCTCACTCTATTACTTCTACTAGTCTAGAAGAGTTATTTTTTTTTTAATTGATTCAAAACAGGGAGATACAAGCATATGAAGTCTGGATACTAGAACGGTCCTCCTAAACCCATACCCATCATCGGCCCTCCTATGATCGGCCCATCAACGCCGGGACCAGCACCCATTGGCCCCGCGAACGGCCCGAACCCCCCTCCTCCTGTAGCTCCGCCAAAAGGGAAGGGAGCTGTGGCAGGCACAGGTACAGGTGCAGGCACGGGGATAGGTGCAGGAACTGGATTCGGTACTGGAAAAGGCTTCGGTATGGGAACAAGTTTGACCTTTTCATGAACCCGACAGTGGCACCGGCGGTAACCAAGGTCGTTATGGCCATCATAATCATCGTTTTCGTCATCGTCGCCATCATCATCGTCATCGTCATCGTCATCGTCATCATCATAGTCATCATCTCCACGCTTAACAAAGTTCACATCAGGATGTGTGCTGTAATATGACTTCTGATAGGGGAGTGGATACGGATATGGCATGATTACATAGTCGCCACGATCTCCTTCTAGTAGCTGTGTACCGGGAGTCTCTGTAATGCCTTTACTCACTGGAATAGAGTACGCAACATGACATGCGATTGTAGCCAAGACTGTCATCGAGAGCGAGAAAAGTATCGCCTTTCGTAGAGGAGTCATCATGTTCTCGTGAATGGTAGAAGTGGTAAGAGATCAAGTACCTAGAATAGTTGGAAATAATTGGAAGTATACTATGGTTTTAAAGTAAATAAATGCCTTTGTTGATACCTCAGTGGCCTTTTATAGATGAGGCTAGTAATCACAAACTACAGACCACGAACGGAGATTGGCCATATAAACATGAAGACCCAGTGAAGATTATAAAAATCACATTATGATCAAAAAATGCCACTGGTGATGGTTATAAAAAAGAAAAAGAAAAAGAAAAAGCACAAAGAACCCATGTAGACCCCTCTAATCCAACTGTGTTGATGGCCGATCTTATAGCAGACATTTAAACGACTGATTAATATGAATAATATGATCAAGGAATCTTGAAGGGTAAATAGTCATACTATAAACACTTTTTTTTTATACATGCATTTTATTTTTTTTATTCAACGCGTCGATATATATATTATTCATCTTTATATACAACATCTACCATCCTCTGTTAGAGCAAAAACGATCCAACACTTAGTTGTTCAAGGGGCTAGGACCGCTGGAATAAATGAGGAGATCGTAGATGAAGGCACCACCGAGAGCGCCAGTGAAGGGTGCGACAATGGGGACCCAGAAGTACCATCCCTGACGGCTGAAAGCACCAAAGCCCCAGCCAAACAAGGCAGTGAACAGACGAGGGGCCAAGTCACGGGCAGGGTTGAGGGCGAATCCAGTCTGGTGACCGAACGAATCACCAATCAGGACCAAGACCAAGCCAAGGACCAAAGGCTGGAAGTTGCCAGCAGGAAGGTTGCCCTTGTCCGATGTGGCAAGAATAGCGATGAGCAAGAGAGCAGTGCCAACGAACTCTACAAAGAATGCAGTTCCAGTGCTGACATACTTTTGAGGTCCAGTAATGAAGATACCAATGGTTGCATCGTTATCGAGTCCCTTGAAGCTAGAGTAGTTGGCGATGTAGACAATGAGAGCACCAACAAAGGCACCAAGGAATTGAGCAGCCCAGTAGATAGGAACCTCAGCCCACGAAAATCCGCGGAAGACAGCTTGAGTAAGGGTGACAGCAGGGTTCAAGTGAGCGCCCTGTAAAATAAACAAATAAATATAAAAAAAAAAAAAAAAAGTATGAGAAAAAGGATTAAGATATTTTGCTTGTACGATATTTTTTTTTTTTTTTTCTTTCTTTCATCCTGATGCGATCGGGAGTTTTGCTTTTCCAATCCAATGCTCCTTGCAATGTTCTCATTTCTTTTGTATGTATATTTATAAGAATTGCTATTTTTTTTTTTATAATAAAAAAAAAAAAAAAAAAAAAAAAAAAAACTTACCGAGACACCTCCAGCAACATAAATAGCAACAACCAATCCAAGACCCCATCCAAAGCACATGGCGAACCACGAACTGTTGTTTGAGAAGATCAACTGAGCAACAGCTCCGGAACCAAAGGCAATCAAGAGAAGAGTTCCGAAAAACTCTGCAAAAGCCTTTCTGAACTAATCAGCATTAATAAAAGGAGATAAAGGAGGAGTGTCAATGAGGAAACCGTATTTAAAAAAAAAAAAAAAAAAAAAAAACATAAAAACGCGAAAAACACTTGCTTTTCTGTAACGTCTTTTTTATTTTTTTTTATTTTTTACCTTGTGGCGAACGCCAGCCCACTTGCTGCGAGGTTCATATAGATGTTCCCTGTTCAATCCAAGGCCGCGTTCAACGCGCTCGATAAGAGGATCAGTCTCGTGGTGAGGCATGGCTGAAGGAGATGAAAAATAAAAAAATAGGAGTCGTGGTTTGTGGGGGAGGATGGAGGATGGAGGAGAAGGTGAAGAGGAGAAAAGAAAAGAGAAAAGAGAAAAGAAAAGAAAGAAGAGGCAAAAAAGAAAAAAAAAGAGGTTAAGGACATGAAGAATTTCTCATCGCCAATGGTAAGATGGTAAACAGTGGCGAATATATCTCATCTCTCTCATCTATGCACGTTCTTCTTCTTTGGGCCATACAGAGAAAAAAAAACAACCGAAAGAAAGTGAAAAAAAAACCCGCTTTCAGAACTCGTTCAGGGCGGGAAGAATCAAATAAACTATTGTTGCAATGGGGCTTTGAATCTCACACTTTACATGAATTGTTACTGTACCAAAGTAAAAAAAAAAAAATGAGAGCAATTGAGTGGAGAGGCTAGGATTTTGCTCTCTTTTTTTTTTTTTTTTTTTCCTTTTCATCGTCACAAGGCATTGCATTGGCTTACGCAAATAGCGTTGAAAAAAAAAAAAAAAAAAAAAAAAAAAAAAGCCATTCCGCGGGAAAGGATGAAAATAAAAAATGACTGTGGATCTAACGAATAGTACTAATGCTTGTCTGTAATCTAGATGAATGATCATCTAGATGCAAACAGAAGATAAATAACATAGCGAAGAAAAAGAAAATAAAAGAAAAAAGGGACATCATGAAAGGAGAAAGAAGACAAGAATGGAAAGAAGACAAGGATAGGAAAGCAAGGATGAAAGAGAAGCCTCAACTGCATGCGGTGCCATGCAGGTGCAAGGAGACGTATGCGAACTTTTTTTTGTGCAGAAATGTGATGTGAATATTGTTGCTTCCTTTTTTGGTTAGCCCACAGTTACAAGAACTCCACTTGGATCCGTCCAAAAAAGGAAACCAGAACAAGCCTCCCCGCCTCCCCTAACACTCTCACACAACAATATTAACTAATAACACTAACAACACTAACAGACGAACATTTGAGCACAGACAATCATGGTAATCTGTGTTTGAGATTAAATCATTGTGAACAAAAAGAACATACCGCGTGCTTTTTGGAGGTTTTGGATACGAGATCTGTGGATCGAATGACAGAGGGTTTGGATAAGATGACGCATTTTGTTGGCAAAGCTGATAAGGCCATTTGTTTGTTGAGCATCATAGTGATCGTCGGCAAGAGTGTCCACCATGAATTTGTCCAATGGTCGGGTGATCTGGGCTAATTGTGATTGAATGGAGGCCAGTTCGTTATCGAATTGTTGATTAGGTTTTTGGTTCTCGAGCCATGGTACATCTGTGATTGGCGGGGCTGAGTACTTTTGCAGCAGATTGTATGGGTATATTGCGACCATTTGTTCGAGCTCCTCCCTCTTGCTCTCTTTGTCCATTTCATCAATGGGGGCGAAGAAGTGCTCTCCATCCAAAGACGGACAGAACGCCAATTGACGCTCATCAGGCTTGAATTCAGATAACCCAGAACAGGGAACAATGTAATGGGGAACGTTGATATTCCCTTGTGGATATGGGACAGATTGACTTATACTATCTTGGTTAAGAGCGTATAATGTGGATGGATTTGTGATATAAGACTCTGGTGTGGATGGATCCTTGGTCCCGATTGCTTGTGTCAATGGAGAACGTAGGCCATAATTATTATGATCGGGGTTGGACATGGCGGATGTATTTTTTTTTTTTTTTTCTTCAGGAATGTGTTTTTTTTAGATGCGAATAGGAAAATAGGAAGAAAATGAAAAAAAGAGAAAATTCAACTATTTTTATGCTGAAAAGGATTTTCGATACCATATAGGACTGACGCACTATTATCTCACATTGTTCTATCTTTACTGCTTCAAGAATCCTTACAAGGAACACAGGACAGCCCAACTCAGATCCACACACTGTTTATATATGGTCGCATCAAACTCCATTCAACCCTTCGGGATGGATATGTTAATGTGTTAATAAATTAGAGTTCAACCATTTAAGGACTAAATAGAGGTCTCTCTTGAAACATTTCCTATCGGTCGTCAAGCATGAAGAGAACTTTACACTCATTCGCTCCTACATCTTCACGAGATCGGAGCCTATTGCGACAGAGCAACACTTTGGGTTTTCTCGAATGCCGGAGTTCATCCTTCGATGAGCCGGCTCCATGTTTCCATGTGAGAATTTGGAAATTGGGCAAAGTAGAAACAAAAGGGCGACCACAAGTGAGAATAAAGTTAATCAAACACAATTGGAGTGCATCTCGAACGCCCAATTCGCCTGGTTTACGCCCATATACAACAATCGTCATTCCTTTGAATCAGTTATCCGGAAGGGAATCAATACAGATCTCCGCTGTGGATCTTTACAAATAATATTAACGCTTTAATAACTTTCTATGCTTAAAACAAATCTTTTATGCTACTCAATGGGGTATAACCTATAGTTGTTGTTTTTTTTTCCTTTCTTTACAGACGCGCCAGGGCTTGAGTTGTTTGGTTTTGCTCACGATCCAACTTGACAATATCCTTACGGAGGATCTTTCCTGAGGCAGATTTAGGAATCTCATTAATAAAGACAACACCTCCACGCAACTTCTTGTGAGGCGCGACCTTGGAAGTAATAAAGTCTATAATGTCCTTCTTGAGCGCATCATCTGCTGTGGAAGCATCATGGGGAACAATATAGGCGCGAGGGATCTCTGTGGCCTGAGCCGCATCGTAAGCAGGAATGACAGCAGCATCCATAACCTTGGGATGAGTCTGCAAGAGGGCCTCGAGTTCAGCAGCAGGGATCTGGAAGCCCTTGTACTTGATCAACTCCTTCAAACGATCCACTACAAACCAGTTGCCTTGTGCATCCACATAGACGATGTCTCCAGTATGCATCCAACCATCCTCACGAATTGTAATCTTGGTCGCCTCAGGGTTGTTGAGATAGCCCTTCATAACATTTGGGCCATAGATCAGCCATTCACCCTGTTCACCAACTCCCAGCTCTATAATAAAACAAAAATAAAGGGGAATGACGCATCATTTAGGGGCCGCCCTAGAAATTTCAACATTTTTTCTTTTTCTTTTTCTTTTTTTTTAGCATAATCACCTTTTCCTGTCGCAGGGTCAATAATCTTGGCCTTCAGTCCTGCAACAAGGGGTCCAACTGAGCCATCAGGACCGCGCTGTCCAGGGCGCTGACAGGCGACCAAGGGTGAAGCCTCTGTCATACCAAATCCTTGGCGACAGTAAACACCCAATCTGCTTTCAATCAAATTGCAAAGCTCTTTGGGGAGAGGAGCGGCGCCGCAAGCCATGTGGCGGAGAGACGACAAGTTGTAATCCAAAACCATGGGGTGTTTAGCCAAAGCAAGAGCTACAGGGGGGACGATGAATGTATTGGTCACTTCGAACTTTTGAATGTTTTGGAGGAATGATGGCAGATCAAACTTGGACATGATGACGGTTTCTGCACCCTAAAATATGTTCATTTGGATAATAATAGACAAAGATAGAAAATGGCATTGGAATGATTACTAACGAAAGAACAATAATAGTAGTAATTAGATATGAAGTAAGGAATAAAAAAAACATACAGTGATCAAGGAGATATGCAGGCAGTTCATCAGACCGTAAATATGATAAAGGGGCAGGAATACTAGGATGACAAGATTTTTTTCCTTGATAACTTCAGCATCATAGCTCATGATCTGGGTCAAATTCGAGGTGATATTGCGATGCGTGAGCATGACACCCTTGCTCTTGCCTACAGCATATGGGTAACAAAATTAGAGTAAGTATTGGATATTGAATAAACGAGAAAATGCATCGGCAACTTTTTTTTTTTTCTTTTCACACAATCAGCCTCATTTGACCAATTACCAGTGGTTCCACTTGAGTAACACAAATAAGCAATGTCTTCCATGTCAATCTTGATAGGAGCTGCCAAACGCTTGCTATAGACACTTTTATAAGATCTTTTACCCACGCCATCTTTGCCACCGAATAACAAAATGGCTTCAGGAGCAATGCCACAGATCTCAGCAGCCTTAGTAGCAACCGGGAGCAGATCAATTATAGTGACCATATATTTTGCTCCAGAATCCTTGAGTTGGTGTACCACTTCATCGACAGTATAAGAATGATTGATAGTCGTTACAATTCCTCCTGCACAAAGAGTTCCAAGGATTGGAACACCAAAATCATACTAGGGGTTACGTTACAACATTGCATCGAACACAATTTATATTAGATTTTTTTTTTTTTTTTTTATGATGACATATTTTGAAGGAATGAAAGAATGGAGGGAAAAAAGGGTACCTGATTGTAAGAAAAGATGGCAAGCACATCCCTAGGTTTGAATCCGAATTTGTCCTGCAATCCAGCAGCGAACTGTTTGGTTTCGATCTGGAACTGACTAAAGGTGAGATATTCTTCAGTAACAGGATTAACGAAGATCTTCTTGCCAGGTTGCACACCACATGGATTAGATTCGAGGAAGTGGTAGATATCTACTTCAGGATAGATAGGATCGGGATCAGAGGACTGGAAGATCATGTTGACTTTACAGAAATTAAATACTTTTAACAAAAAGTTGAAGAGAAGTTAAAAAAAAAAAAAAAAAAAAAAAAGATGAATGAAATCTTTATATATTCGAATGAGTAGCCATCTCCATTCACAAAACATGTACACCCATTTTTCTTTTTTTTGTATAATATTAATCAAGAACAAAGGAAAATTAAACTCAGACATCCAATTGAGCAGAGAGAGGAAAAGAATGTTCAACTGGTATATATTTTCTCATGCTATTTCTTTTACCGAGAATAGATTAAACAGCAAACCTTGTGTCTGTCGGATTGTCTGTTATACACATTATATATTTGTAGATAAATATATTTGTGTGTATGCTACATGTATATATATCTATATATCATTGACAGAACCACTTCCCTTCTTCTTCTTCTTTGAGTGAAAGGAGGAGTAATTTTCCTTTCATTCCTTTCAAGGAACGGACGGATGCGATCGCCGGGTCTCTTTTTATCCCAGCCAATCAGAGTGCGAATTATATTTAAGGTTCTTGACATTCTCGGCCTTGACATGTCTTGGTTACTTTTCTAGACTCACTCATAATACAGTTACTTGGGATAAATGCTTATTTTTTTTTTAAAAAAAAAAAAAAAAAAGCTTTTCTTTTCACTATCAATAGAATCTGCCTGGACCTCCAATTACCATTAAATACACGTTCTTTTTTCCTTGAAATGAGTATACATGAAGATGTACACCACAGCATAGCAAAATTAAAGGACAAAGCTACAATTATACTCGGCATTGTACTATATACAAAGTAGACTCATGCCTACAAAGGCATCGAGGATACTCCACTATTCGTATTGGAGGATACTCACTCAGGGTTGACGATGAAAGCAGCTTCATAGAGCTATATGTCTCAATGTGAACTCTGTACTATCTCGAATTCAGCAAGTTATGAGAAAAGACTCTAACAGCTTGTCCACATTCTACAATGCTAGCGTCAGATGCGTGAGGTATACATGTGAAGAGCTCTTATTATGAAACAGATGACTTGGAGCCCTTATATACAGTGCACCTCCAGAAAAATGTCGCAGGTCAATATGATAGCGTTTTTCCTCTTATTCAAACTTTATTTTTTCACGTTGGTTCATTCAATGAATCACATTTCGTCACGTGGAAGAGTAAATCTTTGAATGAGAGTGAGATTGGACGATAGTTTTGCATCAGTTCATTGTCACCGTTCTTGAAGATCAACGTTGTCGAGGCTTTCCGGTGAGAGACTGGGGGATCACCACTTTCAACGCCAGCGCTATTGACTGATAACTCGCCGAGTTAGCCTATTGGTCTACAGGCAACAACAAAGCGCGTATCTGTAATTTAGTAGAAGCTATCTTCATCAAGTGTGTGCGTACTGTGGAACATGCAACGTCCTCTAATATGTGACAATCGAGGCTGAAAGCTGTAAGCCTTCTCGCAGAACCACCTGCAGAACAATAGAAGTGAAGCATATGGTTTGCCCGACAATCAATAGTGATACATATAATACTAGGTGCGTGAAGAGATATCTCTCATTCATCTCGCTCTTCAGCATAACCAAAGTCGTCGATATTCTAACCGAAGAGCTAAATGACCTATGGTAGATTCTTGTTGCTGAGGTATGGATCCGAGCCTCGAACTATTCGATCTCAAGCGGGAACACGGTTTATGTCTGTCGCTGGAGAACCCATCCGAGTCAAATATACGGTTATCAAACATCCTTGAAGTGAAGCAACGAAAGACAATCGTTTGCGGTTTGATCGTGTGTGTTACTAAGGTCAAGATTCCCGTCAAATTATCTACAGGCACAACTCGAGCCAAGTCTTATAACGGTGCGTCCGATCGTTTGCACCATTGAGGATTGCGGCAGATAGAACCATCTCCAACTTTTGAAGAGCCTTATTCGAGCAGAAGCGGTCAAACCGTATACGTCGCCAGCCATTGTAAATACCACACATGGACTTACAGCCACTGAGGGTTTGGAGGACATCGTAGTCTACTTGGATTGAACGGGGATGACACACATCCAGAGACAAGAGTGTGCACCCTTCGCCAATTTGTCTGCGTACTCAGTAGAAACGGAAGGGGCTATTAAGGATCCTTAAACTCCTCGGCATCAAGGGGCAGAAGGATCCTTCTTGAAAATATATCAATGAACTCACCGGTTAAAGACGCTGATTGTGGTTCGCAACAAAAAATAAAAAATAGACTTGTATAAAAAGATTAGCTATTACACTTTCTTATAAGCACTTGCCCTCTAATCCACATCCATTTTAATCATACTATCATTTCCCCTCGCCTTGCCCTTGACACATACTTGGTAGCTGCCATCAGCTAGTTATTATTACCATAGCTATCTTTTTTTTTTTTTCTTAAAAAAAAAAAAAAAAAAAGCATAAGAGTAAAACTTTCCAAGATGCCACAAGACTCTCAAACCTGTACTAAACACCATTGTCGAGTTGGTACCGAGTTGCGGGACTTCAGCACAAAAGACCAGCAGCAACACTATCAAGATTGTCACTTGGACGGCCGTTGTGGCGAGCTCGAGGAAGTGCTGACATGGAGGAAGCCTTACGAGAACATCCATATGGCCGTCAAACCAAGAATCAATCTAGCAGAAGTCCGTGAATCCGTCAGAGCCATAGTTCAGGAGATCAAAGAGATAGGAAAAGACCTTGCTGCAAGAAACATAAAACAGGCCTTGCTCTTGCAAGGAATGGAGGAACTCAGAGACAAAAACGAAGGTGGGGATTTGCAAGGTTGGCCATTGTATTGATAGTTTGTCTATTTTTCTACTTGTGTCGATTACTTACTTATTTTTACTGTTTAGAGTTCATAAGAGAGATAGAAGGTAAATTGAAAACAGTAGTCAAAGGTCCTCATAGTTCAAAGAAACAGAAACTTACGTCTTTGTGCAACAGTCTTTAGTGACAATGTCTCTAGGATAGAACAAAGACTTGGACAAATACACGACTGGCGAAGAGAAGAACCTTCATCTCGATTAAAGCATCAAAGGTCAAGGGCTTGGGCTGAATGAGTCTTGGGTGTACAGAGCTTATATGTACTGACAGTGGGAGTTGCTAAAGTTGGAGAAGTTTCTGCCCTGGTATCCTTTTAATTCAATACCTCCACAGAGGCACAGAGGTAAAGAAGAGCATCTGTAATAAATGCTACATAATTTTGCTGCACGTTACTTTCATAGAAATCCCCATGAGCAAAGATCGATCGAATCTATCGAAATTGGGTCTAATGGAACTCAACGGAAATGATTTTTTAGTGGCAGAAGTGGTGTGTTACGACCATTCTACCATTCAGTTGGTTGATTTGTCATCCAAATAGAACCCCCCTAGAGATAATTCTCAGGAACATAATCTTCTCTCTAATGATATATACCAAGTATATTTATACATGTATATGTACCCTTGTTCCTCCATGCTTTAACCTTTTAATATTCACATTCATGCAATGTTTTAGATCGACATCCAAGGACAAGAAGGCAAAAAGCAAAAAGCAGAGAAGTCACCTTGGGTGATGGATCAAGTTTGTTTCCACATGAGGCGATTTTTTATTTTTATCCTTGTGAAAATGAGGAAAGAGAAAGTAAAGTGACAGACGATTGAGCACTGCAAAAGAAAGGTGTAATCGTCGGTCATATGTCATCAAGACAGAACAGATAGAGATACTTTTTGTTGCATCCGAATGTGCGTCAATGTTGATAAAGACATAACGGATTGAAATCAAAATCGCGTGGAATGTAATGGAATATTTTTTTGGCCCACTGCGATTGGCCAACAGCAACAATGAACTGACGCATTTTTTAAATCTTCTTTCGCTCATTCTCTATTTTTTTGCCAAGTCACCCTCAGGAACAAATACCACCACACACCTTTTATTCACATTCTTTCTCTTTCTTCTTTTCATTCTTCATTCATTCACCCTCTAGACTTCTCACTCAGCCACCCAAGCTACCTTCCAACAAGGAAAGCATTTCTCCTTAACCTCAACAAACTAGAACAGCTCATAAACGACAACAAGCACCGACTACTTTTAAATACTTTTGAAGGAAACATCAGGAAAAACAAACAAAGAGCAAAAGCAGCCATGACTTCAAGCATCGCAGCAGAGCAACATAAAATCAAGGGCAACGACTACTTCAAAGCCAAGGCTTTCGACAATGCTATCCAGGAGTACTCCACAGCCATCGTACGTCGTATTTTTTTTCTTTTTTTCTTTATTAATTTTATACTCTTTACGATTCTACGATTACCATCTTTTCTAATTCATCCTTCTCTTCATCCGATTAAATTTGTCTAGGTCAAGGATCCAAAAGTAGCCATCTACTACTGTAACCGAGCAAACTGCTATCTGAAGGTAAAAACGAAGGGGATTATATATATTTTTTGTTTTAATAAACCAATGAAGGTAATTATGATGTGCATCTAATCAAGGGAGGGGTTTTTTTTTTTCTTTCTTCTTTCAATACTTTCTGCTTATAGCTCGAGAGATTCACCAGTGTAATAACTGATTGTGAGCGTGTTGTTGAGTTGGATCCAAAATCAGGTTAGTCTTTTATTATTTGTGTTTGTGTAGCACCAACTTAAGTTTGCATTTCATTTTCCATCATAAGGAATGGGAACGATAGTTTTACCCACAATGCTAACTTATTTTTATCCACAATGCACCATACACTATGCATTGCTTTTCTGTTGTTCTTCCCATTCCAGTCAAGGGATATTACTTTGTAAGTTTTATGCATACAATTTTGAAAACTTCAATTAATCAATGAATTGATAAAAACTAACACAGTAACTGATTAATTCGAATTTTAAATTAAAATCGGAATTGGGATTTAATATTCATTAGATGGGCAAAGCACAACTAGAGCTCGGACAGCCATCTGAAGCATACTCAAGTTTGAAGAAATGTATGTCTTTATTAAATGTCATTGCTTCTTTTTTTTTTTTTTTTTTTTTTTTTTTAAACATACGTGTATATGTATCTAAAAAAAAAAAAAAAGAAAGCCACATTCCCCTAACCATCCCTTCCTCCTCTCATTTTATTCTAATAGCATACGAGTTGGCATTAGAGCAGCGATCAACGTTCACAAAGGACATTGTGGCGATGATTGCAGAGGCCAAGAAACAAAAATGGATCCAAGAGGAACGGAAACGGCTATCAGAGACATCAGAGACCTATCGTTACCTTTCTGGTTTGGTGGAAAAGGATTTTCAACAACAAATGGATGCATTAGATCAATCTGCATCGGATTATCAGGACAACCTCGCTTACCTTCGATCTGACAAAGAGCATCGACTCAAACAATTAGAGATTCTCTTGCAACGAGCCTCCAGGCCTGACCCACAGGCTAAACCATATGTCCAAAAGTATTTGGATCAACAACAACAACCACAAGAATCCGTGGTCAACGGTGACAATAACAGCAACACAAATAACAACACTACCCCCAGTTTGATCTCTCCTGAAGCATCACCCCAATTATCTACAAAGCCTTCTAACATGGGTACTATAGATATTGTGGATGATGATAATAACGACGATGACGTCAAAACAGAGAAAACAAAGAATTCCGATGCGGGTTTAACAAAAATGGGTTCAAATCCAGACCAGTTCGAGCTCAGGGAAGTGCCAGAATACATGTTGGACAAAATCACCTTTGAGTTCATGCACGATCCTGTCATCTCCACCAAATCAGGCATCAGCTATGAACGAAGTACTCTTTTGGAGCATTTCAGTTATGGGCGTCTATTTGATCCTGTGGCACAAGTACCCCTGACAGAACGCGACATCGTTCCCAATCGTGCCCTCAAAGAAGCTTGTGATGACTTCTTGGCAAAGAATGGGTGGGCTGTAGATTACTAATTCTCTTTTGCACATACATCTTTTATAGTTTTACCTAATTCATTCTTCATAATAATTCAGAAACTTTTTTTTAATGTAGTAACTTATTGTACATAATAAATACTTTTGATTGGAAACTTTTTTTTTTTTTTTTTTTTTTTGTTTGTTTGTTTCTTTTTTTATTATTAATATTGTTGTTGGTATAATTTAATAATGGATTATTTTTTTCTATTTGCCAAGCCGACAAATCTCTTCCCAACGTTCCTTCAGATCCTTGACTGGCATATGATGCTCCATATCAACACCAGGCTCGATATCATTGCTCGTGTCTTCAATGATAGTGCCATCTGCTGCTTGTCGCTTGATCTGATAACGCGTCGCCACCACAATACCCTTGCCATTCTCACCTGTTGATGTTTTTTCGGAATCTGTAAGAGCATTGCGTGAATAGGGATCCTTGATTGTAGAAAACTTTACGGAGGAAGCGGACTCTGAAATGCTGTTGCCGTTGTTGTTGTTTCTGGATTCATTAACGGGTACAGCAATATCGGAGGTAGGCGTTGATACTGAACTTGAAGGCAAAGTTGAGCTTAAGGTCGAGCTTGGGCTTAGGCTCGGAGTGGATGCTGGGGATGATTTTGTGGTCATGGTTGAGGATGGAAATGCGGTTGAAACTGAAAGTGAAGTTGGGGCGGAGGCTGAGCTTGGAATTGAAGTCGATGATGAGGTTGCACTGCTCGATGATGAAGATGGTCCTGAACGAGTTAAAACAACAGCACTGGTGGTCTTGGCCCAGAACTGTGTCAGATCTGCAACAGAAGGAGTCACCTCTTCCTCTTCCTCTTTCTCCTCCTCCTCTTCTTCCTCTTGCTCTCGCTGCTGCTGTCGCAGTCGTCGCTGTCGCCGCTGCTTCTTCTGCTTCTGATCCTGCTTCTGGTTCTGCTGCTTCTGTTTCTGCTGCTGCCCCTCAGGTCCATTAGACTCTTGGAGGAGATCTAACAACGAGCTATGGAGGGCTAGTTCGATCGGAGGCAAGACCATTTCCTTAAGAGCCTTCGCCTGTACTTCCGCGGCAGCGAGTTGTTGTTGCTGTTGCTGATACATCAACTTCAATGTGCTTTTACTCTTGAGACGGAAAGTGTCGGCGGAACCACGAAGGGTTTCTGTGTTATCTCCACTTTCCTCATCACCATCATCTCTTTCGTCTTCTTCATCCTCTTCCTCTTCAAGAACGGTCTCTAGAAGCCCATCTGAGCGGTGGTTAAACACTAAGGCTTGCTCAAAAGTGCTCTGAGAGTGATCTGTTTCATCTCCGCACTCAACCGTATCATACCTTTGGGCCTCCATTTCCTGCCTCTCTTCTTCTTCTTCTTCTTCTTCTTCTTCTTCTTCTTCCTCGTTCCCTTCTTCTTCTCCTTCATCATTCTTTTCCTCTTCTCCTTCTTCATCCTCATCATCAGCTTCCTCTGCCTCCTCTTCCTCCTCTTCCTCCAGGAGAGCATTGACTACATCCATATGAAAGGCAGTCCTGATCATCTTGAAGGTTTCATTGATATCTCGAGCTGTACAGTTCGTTCCATTCTTGACGCGCATGAAATCTTCAAGTTCGTCCAATGCCTCACGAGAACCCGTGATTTTGAACACGTCCAAGGACTTGGACTTGACTGTCTCAAAGATGCGCTGGCCCTTCACAAAGGTGGGTCGAGTCCTGGCATCCGTTTGCCACAGGGTCAAAGACATTTCTTGAGGTGAAACACGAACCACTCCATTCGAAGGCCCCAATGCACTGAGAGCATTCAGACCAAGACTCGATGCCGTTGCCTTGACTTTACTCCTGTCAAAGACCATCACCCCAACTGCCATATCTCGTTTAGTTCCTGGGTTATAAAACCCTACAGAGAGTGCGTCTGGTGCGTTGGACATTCGACGAAACTCAACATTGCATTCGCCCAGCTCTGTGTATTTACGGCCTGCTTCTAAATCCTTGTTAATATCCGGAGAGCTTGTGCCCGTAGAGGCTCCGATAGCTCGCTCGATTTTCTTGGCGATCCTGAGAGGATGAGAACGGTAATCCATGCAGAGGAACGTGTTGTCGGGTGAGATCCGAGCATTCCTCATAAGCCAGGCATGGTACTTTTGAAATTCAGCCACGATCTCGGAACTCGAGCAGATGATTCGATACATCTTTGCAATCATCACCGACTGTGTCTCTGGTTCAAATTCGATATGTAGATCTGGATGCAGCCAGCTGCGAGCATAAAAATCTGTGATATAGGGAGGTTCCACAAACATGACTTCGCCCTTATGGAGACGCTTACAACACAAGAAGAAATCGTCTCGCTGGCGATCAATATCGTTGAAGGGAATCAGGCGAGCAGGCCGGAGGACTGCAAAGAGGGCACATTCGTCTCGGAAATAAGCTGCACGGTCTTCGATGCCCATACCAAACTCTCCAGGTGCCATCTTGCCTGACGTCAAGTCCACGATCTGGACACTGGAGTCATACAGATGACTCTTGCGGAACGGGATCGGATGTTCTAGAGGGGGGATCACCCCGAGGTCCAAGGGAAGACGGCGAACTTCCCAGAGTGAAGGCTGACCAAGCTGCATACGGCGAGCTTGTTCTTCCTCTTCTGTTCGGGTGAGTTGATCAGGATCGATCTCAGGAATCGGCCCCGAGTCCTCTGTGAGGTTGGCACTGGATTTACGAAGAGCCTTCAGACGCTTAAGGAACGACAATTTTTGAGACTTGACCCTGCTGCCAACAGTGTTGATACTCGTAGTGCTGCCAGTGCGTCTAATTTCTTCTTTAAGGTTGTAAAAAAAAAAAAAAAAAAAAAAAATATCAGGGTGTTATAAAAACAATTTATAAAAAAGAAACCTCGCCTTTCTTTTTTTTTTTTTTTTTTTTTTTTTCTTCTTGTTTTACCATTTTCATCTTGTTCGCGGCAAGCGTCTGTAGGCTTAGGCTGCTCAATGTTCAGCTTACGCGAGCATTTGATCCAAGCATCACGCTCCTCAGAGCTCTCTGCTTGAAGGATATAACTTGTATGGTTGTAGAAGCATACCATCACAATGTTCTTTTGAATCAAAGGAGGATGGATCACATCTGGTGTAGATGAGATCTGTGAGTCAATCACAAGGACTGGTTCATGTAACAATCGCAGCTGTTTTTGAAGTGATGGTAATGGTGATGATAGTGATGTTCCCTTTTGAGGGCCGTCTTTCCTGCTGCTTTTGGTGTTGTCACTGCTATCTTGATGTTCTACAGCTGTAATAGTAGTAGGAGTATCAGTAGAAACAGTGACAGTGACAGCGGTAGTGGTAGTAGTAGTAGCTGTAGTGGTGGCGGTGGTGATAGGTGTTGCAATGATCTCGCAGAGGTAAATCAACCCCGAGACAATGATCAGTTGGTACTCTTTAGGGACTGAAGAAGAAACAGCGACTGGCCCCTTCTTTTTGCTGCTGCTGTTGTTATTATCGTTGTTGGGGGATACTGCTTGCGAGGGAGAAACATACTCGGTCAATTTCCCTGAACGAATCAACTGTAGATGACCAATCCTATCTCTCGAGAAGACAGGGTGGATTGGTTGAGCCTTTCGTTCCTCTGCTGTGGTCAGTGCATTTTCTTTAGGCAAGACCTTGTGGATATTGGTATAATCAATCTGATAATGGAGTTGATAAAGTTGTTTTGTGTTCTCAAATTCCATCTGAGCCTTTTCAAAGATGGATTGGATCTCTTCACCACAATGTTTTGTAATACTCTCGATCTCCTTGATCAACACAAATTCGGTAGCTTGGTTTGAAAATCTTCTGTAGGCTTGAGCTAATAGTTGAAACGATCTCATCTGAGCTACCCAGTTGGCACAGACGTCTTTGTGGTGCTGAAAGGCCTCTGATGGGATCTGAACGAGGATGCGTGCAGCAGCAGCGGCAGAAGCAATAGCGTCATTGTTATACTTTTTAGAAGAAGATGATAATAAAGAAGAAGAAGAGAAAATGGATTTACGGGCCTTGGGTGATTTGATGCTTAATCCTGCTGATGCTATTGTTGATATTGTTGACGTTGCTCCTGCACTTCCTCCTCCTCCTCCTCCTCCTCCTCCTCCTCCTTCACTGCCAGCAACCGATGAGCCAAGGAGGGTCTGGAATCGTTGGACAAGATCCAACAGGGTATAGTAAATTAAGGACCAGTCCTGGATCAATTCTGTGGTATCACGATGGCAGCTCCTGACGAGTTGATATAACGATTTGATGGCCTCGTACTGCGTAGGTTCCGACTCTAATACCTGGTTTTAAAATATCAAAGAAATTTAAGTACTTTTATTCTGTGAAGAAAATAAAAAAAAATGTCCATGGAATAGATGGAAGTATTTTTTGTGTTACCTGATCAAAACTTTGGTGACACAAAAAGACGCGCTCACACTTCTTGACAACGTTCTCAATGGTGTCTGAGCCATCAAATTGCAAAACAGTAGCAGCAGCTTGCATTGCACGAATCTGCTCCATCAATATCTATTCGCAAGATAAACAAAACAATACAGAAAGAAAGAAAAAAAAAAAAAAGACAAAAAGTTAAATCAAGGAAATACTTTAGTGGTTTTTACTTACTTATTTATTTTTCTTATTTTTGTTGCTGCTGTTGCTTTGCTTACCCTAAAGTTGCTTGTGTGAGGACGATGGACGAGTGTCAGCTCTTGAAGAGCATTTAAGGTGTTATCTTGAATATTGGCAGTAAGGGCAAATTCTTCTCTTTTGAACCCATGTTGCAGACGGAAAAGATTGTCCTTCACCTAAGAGGTGTTGAAGACATTGAAAATAATATAAAGTAAAAATAAATACTCATGGTGTGTGTCTTCAAACAACTTTACACAATAAAAATAAAACCTTTTGGCATTGGTTCTCTTACATATTTATCCTGTATATCATCTGTAGACTCTTCTTCCTCTTGAACATTTCTATGGCGGCCACTTTCACCCTTCTTTTCCTTCCCATAGTCATCACAAGCACTATTATCCCCCTTCTGATCATCCGTTATCACAACCGTCTTGGTGATATCTTCATTAGAATTGGCCGCAGGGAGGAACTCCTTGAGCTGTAGCTCTTTATGACTCGCATTGCTACTCTTGTTACTCTTGCTGCTCTTCTTATTCTTGTTGCTCTTGCTACCTTTCGTGCTCTTGTTGCGTTTGATGCTCTTGTTACGCTTGGTAATGGTGTCGCTATTCATATCCTCATTATCACTATAATCGAGCATTAAAGCCCTTTCCTCAACTACAGTTTGAGCTTGGTTATCCAGTTGAGTTGATTTGAGGAATTGGTCCTTGTCCATCCCCGTAGCCTGTGATACAATTGCCTTCAGGCTCTGACTGCTGTCGTTCGTTTTCTCTTCTACCGTAAGCAAGTGCTGCAATAAAGTTGTACTATCGTTTGGGGCCTGAGAGATACTCGCCAGGTGCTTTGGATCAGTGTTGATGTTCATATTTAGTTGTTTTTTTTTCTTGTTGGTAGGGAAATCTTGAATTGTAATGGTATCTGAAAAAAAAAAAAAAAAAAAAGAAAAAAAAGTTGATGATATTGAATGAGTGAATGAATGGCGAAAAGGAATTAAGAATTTGTTGAACAAAGAGCCACTAAGCGCGTAAGAGGAAAGAGAATAGGGAAACTGGAGTAGAATGCATAAATATATAAATCTATGTATAAGCAAAAGCACTTGAAGTCAAAGTTAGTTGGAAGCATTTGAGGCATTAGGGTCTAGCAGTAGACGCACCGATCTTCCATGGCATGAAGACTATTTACACTTTCTTTTTTTTTTTTTTTTTCTTTTTTTTTTTTTTTTTAATATGGATATGTGGAATAATCTCCTCCAACCAGCCCAAATGCCAACGGTTGTTAGGCAGACAGGCTATTCTCTCTCTCCCAAATGAATTGAATAATAGCAGAATAGGATAGAATAAAAATAATAATAATAATAATAGTAAAATTATATTTAACAAAATAATATTCAACGACGTTCAACGGTACATTTTAAGCCTTCGTTCCTGATCTGCACTGGCTTGTTGCATTTTCAATGAATGCATGTATGTATGTCTGCTTGTCTGTCTGTATATATGCGTGTAGTTT